TTTTTTTTCCTTTTGTACCTTCCTCTGTCTCTATTTTATTCAATTTCTTCTGCCATGATGTCCAACTAACCGATCGCAGATGTATTTCACGGCCTGGTATTCTCGCTCTTCATCGTCGACTGGTTGGACGCCCAAGGATCACGGACAGTCTTTCTGACGCTGGGGGGCATCCAACTAGGGGCTTTATTGTTTACGATTCCCATGTATATGTACGGCAAGCGCGCGCGGATGTGGACGGTTCGGCGACGACTGATGGAAAGGTTTTAAATTCTGCAACTATGACGATGTGGTCCGCATGAGACCGCAGGCATCCGGTGTGGCGGTGATGGAGGCGCCAGCCACGGGCCACGGGCCACTTTGCCGCGAATCAGGGACTGAGAATCTAGACCGGCCATTAGGTGTCCGAGAAATCGAGAGGGGTCGATCCTTGCGCGTTCCGGGAGGGTGGATGCCCCGCCTGGACGGTCCAGAGACCACCCTGGTCCAGCCGTACATAATAGTCGGTGGTGTTTGCTCTCAGGAACGAGGGGACTGCCAGCGTGCTTTTGAACATGAAGTGAGATCAATTCCGTACTTGATCGATGTATCCCGTCGTAGATATCTTCTCCAGTAGCCTACTGTAGTAATCTGTGAAAAAAGATATCTACACCTCAGGCACCAAGAATGAGCTGAGTCATCACTACGCAGGCTGCGAGTGGCTGGAACGGGGCTCCATACAGCCGCTGATTCGCTGGTAGGGTTTCCGAATAGCGGTTGGCGCCAAGCAGCAAAACCGGTATTGGCCGCATTTCTCAGGTTTCAATCCGGTTTGCAGTTGCGATTTCATCAATTCCAAGGGGCGTCTTCCCTTGATGGGCTCTTGAGAGTCCATCTCTTTCTCTTTCCTTTCTCTCTCTGTCCTTCTCACACACTCTCTCCATCTACCTCTAATACTCGGGCTATCTTTCAAGCCAGTCAAGTTGAGCGGACCATCTCACCTGGAATAAGGCCCCTCTGATTGGCGAGAATCAGCTGGTTCATCCAAATCATCTGTATATCTGGTCCAGGGTCAGACAGGGAAATTTAAAGAATAATTAAGGAAAAAAGTGGGGTTCCACATCAACAATCCAATTTAATGAAGTATTCCCGTTCGTGGAATCAATTCCATTAAATCTTTTTTTTTTTCCCTGCTTTGGCCAAACTGACCTCATCCTACCTCTATACCTGCCAGGCGAGGGTGTTATTGCTTCTGTGGCTGGCTGTTCGTTCCTGATCCGGTGTCACTTCTATTGGTGGTTCTCCCGGGTGATGACCTACCTGGTGATTGACACCCTCTTGATTTTGCTGGAATGGTCCGGATCTGATTGGAAATGACAGTTAATCAATTCAATTCATGCTGTCTCCAGTGTGCCTGTCCCACCAGATTGATTGGTTTCGTCCCCACTGCCGTCGCCTGGCTCATCCGTCCATATTAAAGACCATCGGGGCCAATTCCCTCTTTCTCTCTTTCCTCAACCATCTTGTTTTTTGATTGACTTCGTCGAGGCAATCTATTTTTGACAATTCGAAGTTGGACGTCTTTAGTTCAAATCACTTCTAGTCCGGCGTGGCCTGAACAAGAGAGGAGATTGTATCAACCGAGGTGTGGAGTGAGCCACGAGCAGCGCCACCCACGGGTCTATGGACCGCGAACTCGTTTTCCTATCTCGCTCCTCCATCGTCACTTCTTCTCTCCTTCCACTCCCATCTTCTCACGCTTTACGCAATGGCTTCTGCGACGACCACCCGCCGGAGAGACAATGATCATACCTCTAGCCGTCGGGCCCGCGAGGTCTACCGCTATTTTCGCCCGAAGCGCTCCTTCCCCACGATCGACGAGAACGCCTCCTTGTCGTTGGATGAAGACATCCCGTCGCCGCATACAGGGTCACCACGGTTGACACCGCCGGCGCAGGCGCCGGCCGACAATGCGCATCGCCCGCAGCTGTCCCCGTCCTCTCCCTACTTCCCGTCCATGTCGTCGCCCCCCGCGGACCGCAGCTCCGTGCTACCCGAGGAGCTCATATTAGGCGACGCCAATGCCACCCTCACTTCGTTCGCACAGCTGGCGGCACTACGCTTGAACATGGAACGGGTCCTGATCAGGTAGGCTCGCGTACCCACGCCGCGCGCGGGCCATGCTAACCATCTAGTGTCTCCGATCGAAACTCGCAGCACATCATCGCCCAAGCAGGGCAGACTCGCCGGGGGGATGATGATCTGGAATCCCTGGAAGGCGGCCTCTGGAGCGGCTGCCAGACGCTATCGTCGAGTGCGTTGTTCATGTGCATGGTAAGGGATCTCTTTTTTTTTCCTTTCCGACGCACGCAGGCCTCGGGGAACTCCGTTCTAACCAAGCCACTAGGACACCATCGCTCTGCCGGCGTCGGACCGATCGCGCAAGCTGTACAGCTGCAATGTGGTGAGCGACCTCGCCGCCAACGAGCGCTACCAGGACCTGCCGTTCGTCAAGGGCGAGCCGCATTTCCGCTTCTACGCGGGGACCCCGCTCACCACGGAGGCCAACCTCAACATCGGGACCATCTTTGTGCTGGATCCCCGCCCCCGGGAGGATTTGGACGCTAGCGAGCGAGAGACCCTTGGAACGCTGAGTTCCCTCGTCATGGACTACCTTAAGGTCAGCCGGCAGGCGTCCGAGGGCCGCCGTGCCGCGCGGGTTTCGCGCGGTTTGAGCTATTTCGTGGAAGGGAGCTCCAGTTTCGTGGACAATGCTTCGGCGCCCAGTGTCGCTCCCGGCCTGGGGACCCCGCCCCCCTCCCACACCCGCCGCAATCACTTGTCCGTAGACTCCGGGCACAGCTTCGAGGGGCCGTCCCACCGACGATCGCACAGCAGTCGACGGTCCCCGTCCCGCAGCAGCGATGCCCGCTCCGTCAGCTCGGTATCGGAATGCCGGGCCGAGTCCTCCTCGGGGTTAAACACCCCGTTGCCCGATTGGTGGGCTGGTACCCGCCAAACTGGGGTAGACGAGTCCCAGGGGAATACGTGGGCCTTCCGACGGGCTGCTAATCTGCTCCGAGAGAGTCTGGAGCTAAGCGGCGACGGGGGCGTCATCTTCCTCGACGCCGGCCACAGCCCGATGGGTGACATCGATGCCGCCGGCGAGTCACTCGACGGCGCTCCAGCTCCGGTCCTGGCCATCTCCACCAACGATGAACCGTTCGCCCCGCGACCCGGCTCGAGGGCCCTGTACCCGGCATCCAATCTCGCCAACGGCTTCCTGCATCAAATACTCCACCGCCACAGCAAGGGCCGGCTATGGTCCTTCCATCAGGACGGGATGGTCTCGAGTTCAGACGACGAGCGCTCCCCTCGGCGGAGCGCCTCGCGCGCCACGAAACCGACAGAGCCGGGCAAGGGCCCGAAGAAGTGGAAGGTCACCGAGAACGCCATGTTGAACCGGTACTTCCCCGGCGCGTCGCAGGTTATGTTCGTTCCGCTGTGGAACCCAGCCAATTCGCAGTGGTTTGCTGGCTGCTTCTGCTGGAACACCGAGGAGACTCGGGTTTTCAGTCCGGACGTCGAACTCAGCGCCGTTATCGGGTTTGGGTCGTCCATTATGGCGGAGTGCAGTCGCGTCCAATCTCTCATTTCGGATCGGCAGAAGGGGGATTTCATCGGGAGTATTTCGTATGTCTTCTCTTTTCTCGTTTCCTTTTACCCTTTCTTTTTTGTTCCGTCTTGGTAGTCTATTTGCTTTCGCCATGACCACCGCGTCCCACATTGATCGATAAGGCTAATTCCCCCCTCTAGTCACGAATTACGAAGTCCCCTACACGGGATCCTCGCGGCCGCCGAGTTTTTACAAGGCACCGAGCTGAACGAATTCCAGGACTCTTTATTAGAAACCATCAACGCCTGCGGTCGGACATTGCTCGACACGATGAATCAAGTCCTAGATTTTAGCAAGATCGTCTCCCTGGAACGCACCTGGCGACACAAGCAACGCAACACATCCCAATCCGATTTCAAACCCATGCACCAGATGTCCTCGCGCTTGGATACCTATGTGGCCACTGATATGGCGATCTTGGCGGAAGAGGTGGTGGAGGGTGTCTGCCTGGGCCACTCGTACGGCCAGAAATCGACCACCCCATCCGATCTCCCGGGGCCCACGGCGTCTCCGGGCGCCGAGGAGTGTATCCCGGTGGTCACAGGCGGCGGAGTAGAGGTGGTTGTGGATATCGCCCAAAACGACTGGCTTTACCAGACGCAGCCCGGCGCCCTGCGGCGGATCATCATGAACGTTTTCGGGAATGCGATGAAGTATACCGATTCAGGTCGGGTCTCGTTGCACTTGGCGGTGGATGACGCGTCGGACCGTCACTTGCATCGGCCTAGGACTGGTGAGGAGGTTGTGACGCTGACGGTGACAGACACCGGCAAGGGCATCTCGGAAGAATTTTTGCGGGGGCGACTCTACACGCCATTTGCGCAGGAGGATACGCTCGCCGTGGGAACGGGGCTGGGGCTGTCCATCGTGCGAAGTCTAGTCAAGGCGCTGGGAGGCAGCATCGGCATCCACAGTCGACCGGGCGAGGGGACCACCGTTCGAGTGTCGCTACCATTTGAGCGACCCACTCCCGCGGAGGCGGGGCTGGCGGAAGATGGTCCCAATCTGCCATCCCCAATTATGCGAGAGAAGACGCCCTTGCGGAGCGAGAGCGTGCCGCTGCGGGATTCGCACGCGGGGCGTCGGGTCGCCATCATCGGGGTGGAGCCGACTGTGGCCGCTGCGCACCCGCGGTGGTCCCCCATCGCGCGCTACCTGACCGACTGGTACGGGCTGGAGCTGGTGTCTTGGTCCAGCATGGCCGTAGACATGGCTGTGGCCGACGAGGAAGGGCTGGCCGCTACGTCCGACGCCGGGTCGGCGACGCTCCCGCCCCTCCTCCTCCTGTGCAACCGGACCGTCGGCAACAAGATTACACTACCCGAGTGGCTGTCTACCGCCAGCTCCGTCAGCCAGCTGCGCCTCCCGTGCGGCCCGCAGAAGCTGGCGCGCTCCATACGCCGCTGCCTCGATCATGAGGCCCCCGTGGTCGGCACGGTTGTACTCCCTCACCGCCCGCACAATCGCAGCCAGCCCAGCGATATATCCGACTCATCAATGGGGTTGTCCACCGATTCCGGCTTTGCCTCCTCGGTCGGCAGCTCAGCGGCGTCAGAGACCGTCGTCGAGGCGACAGTCCCGGTCATCGCGTTGCCATCTCTACAGGCTGACCTGGCGACCAAGAACCACCGGTCGCCACGGGTCCTCGTCGTCGATGACAACAGCATCAATCTGAACCTGATGCTCACTTTCATGAAAAAGCGGCATCTGTCGACATTTCACAGCGCCGAGAACGGCCAAGTTGCCGTGGAAGCTGTTGAACAGCTCCCGGAAAACTACGACATCATATTCATGGGTATGTTCTTCCTCTTTCTGTCTCAAAATATCGTCTCATTCGATACTGACCGATTGTACAAGATATGTCGATGCCCGTTATGGACGGCTTCGAGGCAACGCGGGCCATCCGTGCACTCGAGAAGGAGCGAGGCGAGGGTCCTGGCGCGACGATCGTTGCCCTGACGGGGCTCAGCAGCTCCAAGGATGAATCGGAGGCACTCATGTCCGGTGTCGACCTGTTTCTGACGAAGCCTGTGTCCTTTAAGGAGGTTTCTCGGTTGTTGGATGAGTGGGAGGTGGTGGGATTGCGGGAGCCGCGGTTGCAGATGTGTGTTTGATTTAGCCTTCTTCTCCTGGTCTCTTGTTCTCTTGTCTTCTTCTATTCGTTTATGTTGTTCCATTCGTGGTGCAAACCTTGACGCTGGCGTTCAAGGCGGGAGAGTTGTGTTGACCTTGTGTCTTACACCTCCACTGTGTATCTGGACGGATGGATTGATGTGATACGATTTGATGATACCCACGTTGGCTTGAATTTATAGATTGAATAGAAATTTTGATTGAAACTTTTGCCACGTACCGTACTATCATGGCACTGATGCAGCCAATTCTCATCTTCCTCCTCTTCGTAGGCTGAATATATACCCTGGCCGTCGCTGCTTATTCTTTTTGGGTTTAAGTTGTTCTCCTTCCTGGGTTGTGATATATAGTTGTTTTGTTTGATCGTGGCTGTACGAACCTATATTCAACCCGAGCATTCAGTGTATATATCTACCATGGTTCGTTATCAGGCTGGAGTGAAGTTAAGCAGACCTTGCTATTGTTGGATGTATGGCTCACTGTCTGGGTTGGGAATAGGGGATATATATTGATCTTGTGGGAAGGATTAGATAGGACGCCCATGGTAGGCTAAATTATGATCAATGACCGATGAAAACGGCCAAAACAATGATAATATTGATGATTCTTGAAGCTATGGACAGGTTGCGAATAGCTGTAAAAAGCATGAAGAGTCCAAAATAACAATTGATGTGGAAAAGAACACCCCAGGTCAGCTGACATGTTGCCTGGTTGTATGCCTCAGTCGTCGACAATCGTGATGAACACCTCATGTCAAGTTTTCATGAAGGTAAACTACGTAATACCATCAAGGTTGTTGAATCAGCACAGTGCTGACTAGCCGTCTTTTTCAATCCCAGGAGTTAGACCCGCTCAAGTGGCACCATACGTGTTGCTATGTGGCCCCCTCGCTCTTGCCTAGGATCCGGTATAGGTGTGATCATCTTGTTGGGCCCTTCTGTTCTGATAGATCTATTGGAGTATATTCCTGCTCACCCCGAGCACCTCTGCTACTACTAACAGGGCTAGGTTCTCAATAGCTTTTTATTGGGGAGTCTCGTTCATTGATGAAAGGAAAGCCTTCGCCCCCCGCTTCCACCATTATCAACTCAAATTTAATCTTTTCAAAGTAATGATTCCTATTCCAACAACGATATTAATACTGTCCAATTACTAGCAATCATGTACGCACGCCTGGAAGACAAAGTCAAGGGCAAGGGAAGAAGAGAACAAAAATGTGGGACTTTTCAGTTTCACTTTAGCATTACACAAAGAGGTTACCAAGCCCCTTTCTATCATTACACAGAGCCCCATAGAGACCCACAGAATCTCACAGAATCTCACAGAATACTTGATCATGCACCGAAGGGGTAAGTGTCTATCACTGGGACAGGGTATCCCAGAGTCCATTGGATTGTTAGCTGATCAAAGACGATACCCCCAAACTATTGCATCCTTTTGTGGGCTTGACTGCGGCAGAGAAAACACTACCTGGCCACATTTAAAGGGAGGGAACGAAAGAAGGAAAAAGGATAACCTGTGTCAGGTGATATTTAAGGCTACATCTACTTGGAAGTGCTCCCAGGCAAGAGCAAGGGAAGCACATTATATGTATTCATTCAATGAGATCACAAGGAAATACAGCGCTGCGATCAGTCCATTCTTCCCTTCCTCCCCCGCAACCTTTACCATCCCCGTGCACAACTAGTCTCTCTGACCCTCCGCATCGGCTCGCATGGTGATGACCAGCAGAAGGGGCCCCAGTTCGCACATGTGCTGCGCTTTCGGTGTATTCCACGGACAATCTTGGTGCATGGTTAAGAACGACGCACCACAACGGTGTGAGGTGGAAGAAGGCTGGTCGTTGAGATAGTCGATGTAGTCTTGGTTGTATTCGCCAACCATCACGTATATCTAAATTCGGTCCTGGAACATATGGTTGTGACTACATATAACATCAACACTGCACCAGGTTGTGGGCCCTGGTAACAGGGGTGACCTCTATGATGATGCTGGATTTTCTAGAACGGTCGCAAATGTAACTGTCCGTCCTTGCTTCGAACTAAACGGTATTGAGACCGTTCATCTTCCATTTGAGAGGCCGAGGCTGTAAATGGTTCTATCGGCAAGATTTCGCTGGGCTACATGGTCGTGCCACTCCTGGGGGGTTTGAGGGGTTGACGCTGGGATGCCGCCCATTGTCACAAACTCGCAGTATGTAGTGTAAAATCTAACTGATGGACAGGTAAAAGTGCAGGGTAATTGCTTCGAGAAAGGTGGCCAGACCAATGTTCACAATCTGCTCGTCGATAGTTGGCGAATGCAGGACGCTCACCAATTCCCGCAAGATGGGGGTATCTGGGTCGAAAGATGATGGCTCATCTTTTTCAACTTTGAGGGAATCTTTGGGAGTGGTTTATGCCACGGAGCTTTTGAGCGTCGCAGCATCGTCGCTGCGCGGCTTCCGGATTGGAGTCTGTAGGTAGAGTTTAGCCATCCGGGTTAAGGTCAATTGTAGTGTTTTCAAGCTGGTTGACGACTTCTTATATGGAACCTGTTAGAACACACTAAAACATGCAAAAGGATGATGAAGATCAAGAAGGACTTGTGGGGAAGATTGTTGTTATAGGTAGAAGCACGGTTACGGGCCCACTTTTGTTTGATATACAAGATTCTGCCGGTATCCACCGCCAAGCTGCTAGTACATCCTGGCGGCAACCGCATGGAAACAATCTTGGTTATGGAAACAATCGCAAACAAAAGGAGCAAACGCTCCTAGATTTCTATTGAGGCCCTCAACGGGGCTTGATGGCAGAAGGCCAAGCTACGTGTAACGGAGGGGGAGGGAAGGAAGAAGAAACTTAGCCTCCCTAACTGACTGGCTACTAGTTGACAAAATACATGCTAGTGCCACTCCTTGGGTGATTGAGGGGTTGATGTTGGGAGGTCGCTCATTGTTACAAGGCTACTGTGTATGGTCAAGCAATGCTCAAATGGGCTCACAGAAAAGATTAGCTTGTTAATCAGTATGGGTACTTGAATAGCTTACCTGACATCAGAAATTGATTAGGTTCTTAGCAGTAGAAGTAGTTTTTGAATCATGACTTTGCCTGATCCTTTGCATTCACTAGTACAAAGGAGAATGTGAGCAGTTGAGTGACTACTATCCAGATACTACCAATCTATCTAGATATTATATCAAGATATTCATCACTGATCTATGACATACTGGATGATAAGTAAATCAAGTCTTGGGATTCTTTACATTAATTAGTGAATGTGGGCAGTTGATAAGCAGCTACCATCCAGGTACTGCTAATATAATAATTGTACCTCGTCAGTGTCTCAAGACATTCATTGTTGATTTGTGATGCATTGGATGGTGAATGGTGGTATCTAGTGAATAGTGACTGTTCAAGACTGGTAGTCTTTGTCGCCCGGTAACTGGTCCAAATCAAAACAACGCCAACTGCAACCCCCCTACCTCACCATTTCATCTTCTATACCTCGAAAAACTCGGGATATAAAATACGAAAGATATTCATTTTCGCTACTTAGTCTTCCCTTTCATTTTGTTCACCAGCAGATAGGAAACCCTAGATTGAATTCAAGTATCCGAGCGCAAAACATGGCCGAGGAACGGCCCGAGCATCTCGAGCGACGCATGGTCTTGGTGGAGATGGAGGCCAAGATCGAGGCTCTTCACATCCATGAACTGGATATGTCTCAGCTGAAGGAACTGAAAATTGACCTCAAGCCAATGTCTCTCCATGGGACGTCAGCCCGCAAGCCGTTCTTCTTCCTACCGCACTCTGAACTCCCGGAGCCGGAGGATGAGGAACTGAACGAGCTCCACGAGGTGTTTGACGACGAGGATACCTGTTTTTCACGCCCTGTGGACCGTGCCCATCAGGTAGAAGTCAGCTTCACGTCTTATACTTTTCATTTCACCCTAGTTGGAGAGGCCGTCACGCCGTGGTCCACGAAAGGGTGAGTGCCCCTCTATGCCGAGTTCGGTCCCCTTGAACCCAAGCCAATTCCAAACATTGATGATGGTTAGCGTTGGCGATTACACCCCTTACAAGAGCGTTTATGGATATGAGAAGCCGGAGTTTGGGACTTTCCATCTGACAGACATCCGAGGAGGGGAATTTCCCCATTCCAAGGCGGTCATCTACAATGGCCTCGAGGGGAAGAATCAGCACTTGCTTCGTGGAGAGCTGCTGATTCTTCTTCGCATAATGTTGGGCCAGATGAGGAAGCGGCGTTTTCTGCACCATATGGTCGCACCGGTATTGTCTCTTTTCCGTTTCTTGAATTCGTCGACGAACCGCTGATTGTGCTTGTACAGGTTTTACTCATCTCCTTCCTGGGCAAGCGCGGACGTGTGATCGAGGGCTACTTTGATGGTGAACGTCTAATTCTGGGCTGTACCGACCTGTACAACTTGCGCGACGAGACTGCCCTGGCACTGAAAGATTTTGCCGAGTGGTATCTGGGCAACCCTACCGGTGATACATCCTAACTGGAAGCTCGTGGTCCCTTTATGGCGTTGTCATGGGCGTTGAACGGACTTACGTTTAGGTCACGGCAAATGGAAACTTGAATATGATTAGGCTTGAGTTTGGAAACGGCGTATGCTGGAGGTTACAATGATATGGAATACTGGATATGGATAGGGATGGGGCTGGTTTAAGCGCTTACTTTGTAGCCTTTTACTTGTTTAGCTTCGAATGTCAAGACCCACTGCTGGAATTACTGCGACGGCCTGCGTCGAATTTAACAGTACTTTGTAAATAGAAAAATCTTAACATCAAGTTCTGGAGAGTGACAGAAAGAGTGGTTGTGCAGAAGCTGATGGTGTCGCGTGACCACTGGCCATTTCGACTGCATCTCCTGCAATTCTAGATCTCTTTCCAATCCATCTCTCCATCTCTCCACTCCCCCAGTCTCACTGTCGTCATCTCATCCAGCTCGTCGACAAGAGTCACCACACTATACCCCGGAAACTTCCTAGTGTCATGTTGATCAATTTAACGCCATCGGGGAAAGATTTCGCCATCTCGCTTGGGTGAAATCTGAGCAATTAGGCGGTCTAATAGTCCTTGAACCTGGGTAATAGAAACAGCAATCTCCCAAGTCAATTTCGAACCGGTGCTAACCGTTGAATTGTAGTTGTAGAAACCATGTTCGTTAGGTGAGAAGCCCCATTATGAACACGGGTTTGCCCCGGAACTGCCTCGGAGTTTGTTCGTGGCCGCTTCCTGTCGGCAGTAGTGGACCCTTTCTTTCCCCTTTCTTGGCTCCTTTTTTGGCCGTAGGGTCAACGGACTCGCGGACTGCTCAACCATTCCTACTCTGGTGTTTGTCTTACAAATCGATGCCCTACAATATAGTATCCCGCCGGACAATGTCGGAGCACCCCGCAGATGAATTGGTCGTGTGCCACGAGCGGCGGTTTGGGCGGCGTCTTGGCTCATTCCCCCATGGTGGAGGCGCAGGTCAAGACCAGATAAGCCTTGATTTTAGTGTGTATTGTGGAGTCGGTTGACCTCGGCGAGTCATATCATTGGCTGTTCCCACATCCCGACACGGCTTAAACAACAGCTCATCCTTCCGAGGACGACGACTGAGCCCTAGACAGGCAGGGGCCGATTTTCGCTTTCCTTGCGAGGGCCCAACATCCCGTTGCCGACCGATTCCCAAGCGAAAGAAGAGAGGAGGGTCGGTTGGATTCAAAAAAAATTCTCTGACTCGGATGTACCGATTCTTTCTGTCTCGGCTGTACGCAATCAGCACGCGACCCTGAATTACTAGTAAACTAACCCGTATGCTTCTCTCGGTAAGGATGTTCTCTCGGTAAAGATATTGGGTCATGTTACAGACTTCTCCACCTGGATCTTTTCTGTCTTCTCCAGAAATTAATTTGACTAATGGATCCAGTTTGTCCATGGTCGTCGTTGTCAATCTCTTTCCTCAAGTGCGGGATTTTCTCTCGACTTTCCGAATTTTCTGACCGTCATAGGTTTCGGCCCCGGCCCGGGGTGGATACCGACATTCGAATCACGGCGAGCCCTAATTGTCTGGCTGTATCCAAGTCCACTTGGTCGGTTTAGTTGATTTTTTAGGATCCCACCACGAGGCCAATCTTGCGGGGTCTCCAGGCTCCGATGGCCTCCCAAGTTCCTGGGGATAAATAAAACTTTTCCCCCGCCATTCTCGTCGTTTCTTCTTTCTCTTCCCACCTTTCCCCCTTTCCTCCCTCCGGCATACTCCCTCCTCCCACCCGGCTGTGACGATGTTGTTCTACGGAAAGGCCCTGCGCATGGCGCAGGCTCTTCTCATTGTAGCCCCTGCCTTCATCCTTTATGGCTACAATCAGTCCGGCCTGGGGCCCCTGGCCACCTTGCCGGGCTGGGTCGAGGTCTTCCCCGAGATCGATACTATCAACACCGAGGGAGGCCAGAAAGCCACCAACAGCACCGGTAAGGGTGCCGTCATTGCCGCCTTCCAATTAGGGGCGCTCGTCGGCTCCCTCTCCTGCACCTCGATGGGCGACTGGCTTGGCCGCCGCAAGACCGTCTTCCTCGGCGCCATCCTCACCATCGTCGGCCAACTCCTCCAGACCGCCGCCTACAGCGTCGAGCAGTTCTCTGTCGGACGCGTCATCCTGGGTATTGGCGTCGGTCAGCTCTCGGTGGCGGTGCCGGTCTGGCAGTCGGAGAGCACCTCGGCCAAGCACCGCGGCCAGCATGTCATCGTCGACGGCATCTGTATCTGTCTCGGTTACGCCCTCTGCAACTGGATCGACTTCGGCTGCAGCAAGATTGCGGGACCCCTGGCCTGGCGCATCCCGCTGGCCATCTCCATGGCCTTCTCCGTCGTCCTCGTCTTCGCCGTCTTCTTGCTGCCCGAGTCCCCCCGGTGGCTCGTCCGCGTCGGCCGCATCGAGGAGGCTACAGTCTCGCTTGCCGCCTACAAGGGCACCTCGGCCGACGACGAGGCCACGCACGTCGAGATTGCCGGCATCCAAACCAGTCTCGAGGTGACGGCCGACTCGGCCCGGCTGATGGACATCTTCAAGCCCGGCAAGCCGGACGAGGAGCGGCTCGCGTACCGGTTCTGCCTGTGCATCGCGCTGCAGTTCTTCCAGCAGATGTGCGGAGGTAACCTCATCTCGACGTATGTGAGCACCATCTTCGAGGAGAATCTTAACATGTCGTCGGACCTGGCGCGGATCCTGTCGTCCTGCGCCATGACGTGGAAATTCCTCTGCTCCTTCATCTCGTTCGCCGTCATCGACCGGCTGGGCCGGCGCAAGGTGTTCATCATCTCGGGCACGGGTATGTGCGTGTGCATGATGGTGCTGTCCATCACCAACAGCTTCGGCGAGGCACGCGTCGCGTCCATCATCTCGGCCGTCTTCATCTTCCTCTTCAACACCTTCTACCCGATCGGCTTCCTGGGTGGCAACTTCTTGTACTGCACCGAGGTGGCGCCCGTGCGGCTGCGTGTGGCCATGAGCGCCATCTCGACGGCCAACCATTGGCTGTGGAACTTTGTCGTTGTCATGATCACCCCCGTCGCGCTCGAGACCATCGGCTACCAGTACTACATCGTCTTCACCGTCATCTCGGCCTGCATCCCCGTCTCGGTGTACTTCTTCTTCCCTGAAACCATGAACCGCAACCTGGAGGCGCTGAATCTCGTCTTCCGCGAGGCACCCACGCCGTGGCACATCGTCAACATGGCGCGTCATCTGCCGCAGGGCGAAGCCGCCGAGGTGGATGCGTTCATCAGGGCGGAGGGCAAGGCCAACATTGAGGAGAAAGAGACTATGTAAATGTATGATTGATTTAATTTTTTGTTTCTTTTGTTGTTCACTTTTTTTTTTTTTGCCGGATGACGGTTCTTCTGTTACCATGGGATGTACATTTGGTCCACGAATGGATGCGTGGAATATGATAGATGAATGAATGTTTACGCCTACTTCCATAATAGAGATCTTAGATAGATATGAACGTGCTTTTCCTTTGGGTGGCTATGGTCCGTGTCTTGATATTCGATATTCGTATGTTTATTCGGAGTCCAGAGATGTCGCGATCCCTCCGCCTGCCTGTCCCTACGTGTTGAAGGAGGACTTCGTGAGCGACTTGACCAACGTGTCACCTGACCATACCATTTTCTTCGTATGCGGCCGATACTGATACTTCACATCCTCATCATCTGTCATCAATTCAGTCATCGTTGATATCGTCAATGGATCGTTGTGATTTCTCCTTGCCTACTATGACAATCCCCTCCACACATTTCTCCCCTTTCTAGGAGTCTATCCTTACAGGATTCTTCCACACCATTTGGATGGTCCACTGGGTAGACGATACTCAGACGCCCTTATCATGACTGGGGTTTTCTTGAGTCGATTTGGTCAATTTCCTCGACCGATCCTGAACGACTGACCTGGCCTGCCCTCACGACGCCTTCGCAGCTGGACTGAGCTTGATCCGGCGTGGATGGCCCCTCAACCTATACCGAGATCTTGGTACCCTAGGTCCTGATGGCTCCATACCCGTCTGGCCTGCCCGTCTTCGCCCTATTCCACAGTCCAACGGCATGCTGTGACCATTCGGGCGTGAAGATAGCACAAAAGGAGAATTGTGCATATGAATGACTCAGCTGCATAAACTGCTACATATCTCGTGGACATTTCCTGATCCGGAAAGGTCGACGACCCAAGCGAGGCGCGGAGCAGCCAATCAGGGCGCAGTAATCATCACGATCTCGCCTTCTCACGACTTCAACTCATCAGTCGAGCATGCACCTTGGCCTGTCGTTCGTGCTCGGTAAGATCGTACAAACTGCCGCTTCGAACGGCTGCTCCGGTGTTCGTCCCGCATTCAGGAAGTGCCCCGATGAAGGAGCCCGCCTGGGGGAGTTGTCAGCTTCATCCTCATCCTTTATTTATTCTATACCCATGCTATCTTCCCCCTCTCCTCTCCTCTCTTCATCTATATCTCTCCCCAATCTGATCCGTGAGATTGATACTCTCCATGGTCATGGCCTTCTCCGCCTTGCGCCATCTCATCCACGCTCACCCCCTCATTGACAACCACGCCCACAACTTGTTATCCGCTGATGCTGCTACCGACTACGCTGCCTATCCGTTTGAGCAGATCGTATCCGAGGCCCACGGGTCGGCCCTCCGCAATGCCCGCTCCGCTCTTCCGCTACACCGCGCCGCCCAGCAGTTAGCCGAACTGTATGGCACACCCTCTGCCGACTGGGATCAACTCGTCGCCGCCCGCGATCGCTGGGTCCGACGTGACTATCCCGGGCTGGTCCGCCAGTGCCTGCAGGGCACCCACGCCTTGCTGCTGGATGACCTGATGACCGACTCCGACGTCGAGCCCTACTCCTGGCACGATCGTTTCACTCCCGCGCCCACCCGCCGTATCGTGCGCATCGAGGCCATCGCCCAGCAGACGCTGGCCCAACTGCCGCCGGTCGACGAGGACAGCCCTGCAGTGGTTGCCGCCCAGTTCGACGCCTTCCGCCAACGCTTCCAGGATCAGCTCGCCGCAGCCGTCGCGGACCCGGCTGTCGTGGGTTTCAAGTCTGTCGTCTGTTACCGCACGGGGCTGAACGTGCAGCCCGTCGACGACGCGGAGGCGGCAACCTATCTGCTCCCTGCGTTCGCACGCGTCCTGCGCACGCCGGGCCACCGGGTCGAGGACAAGCCGCTCAACGACTGGATCGTACGCTGCCTCCTCACCCTTCTTCAGGACACCGCTGCCACCTCCCCCCAGCCCGTGCACAAGCCACTCCAGCTGCACACCGGGCTCGGCGACACGGACATCGACCTGGTGCTCGCCAACCCGGCGCACCTGCAGCCCCTCATCGCGCAGTACCCCGGGGTCGACTTTGTGCTGCTGCACTCGGCCTACCCATACACGCGCCAGGCAGGCTACCTCGCCTGCTGCTACGACAACGTTTACCTCGACCTGGGCGAGGTATTCCCCATGGTCAGCCGCGACGCCCAGGAGAGCATCCTACGCGAGAGCCTGGAGCTGGTGCCCTCGACGCGGCTGCTCTGGAGCACCGACGGCCACTTCTTCCCCGAGTCATTCTGGCTGGCCAACCGCCAGTTCCGCGCCGCGCTGGAACGCGTGCTGGTAGAGTACGTGAGCGAGGGCGACTACACAGTCGAGCAGGCGCGTCAGGCGGCGGCCAACATGCTCTTCCACAACTCGAACCGCCTCTATGACCTGCGCGAGACCCCGATCTACCGCGACGGGGACACCTCGAAACTATCGGTGGGGTCGAACCGCTCGCCCGCCGCGGCGCTGGACGCCTTCCTAGCCCGCAATCCGCACGTCCGGTACGTGTGGATGCAGTGGCTGGACTACACGGCGACGGTGCGGGTGCGCATGTTCCCTGTGGCTGAATTCGCACGCATTGTGCAACAGCAGCGGCGCATCGGCATCTGCCTCGCCGTGCAGTGGATGCTGCAGGACGATCTGGTAGCGCCCGAGGGGTCCGTAACAGGCCAGTACTACATGACGCCAGACCTGGACACGCTGCGCGTCAACGCCGGCCTAGGAGACCAGCCTCGCAGCGCCAGCGTGTTCAGCAACTGGAAGAGCGAAGCCGGAGCGCCTCTCGACGGCTGCCCGCGCAACACGCTACAGCGAGTCGTCGACCAGCTCCGCCCATTCGGCACAACCGCGACCTGCGGCTTCGAGATCGAAGTCGTCTTCCTCCGCGACGGACCCGAGTACACCCCCGCAGTCACCAACCACTCCTGGTCGCAGATGACGCCGGACACGCGCCGCCTGCTCCCCATCCTCGAGGAAATCGCCGAGACCTGCGCAGCGATCGACCTCCCCCTACAGCAGTTCCACGCCGAGTCCGCCCCGGGCCAATTCGAGTTCATCCTTCCGCCGGCGGCACCCGTCGCAGCAGTCGACGCGCTAGTCAGCGCACGCCAGGTCGTCGTGCAGGTCGCCGAGCGACACGGGCTGCGTGCAACGCTCCACCCGCGGGCCGTCCCCGGCGCAGCCGGCACCGCCGCACACGCCCACCTGTCCCTCTCCCCGGCGGAGCCCGACGTGGAAGAACGGTTCCTGGCGGGTATGCTGGCGCACTACCGCGCGCTGGTGGCCTTCTCGTTCAGCCAGGACGCCAGCTACGAGCGCGTGCGACCTGGTCTGTGGGCGGGCAGCACGTGGGTAGCGTGGGGGTCGCAGAACCGCGAGACGCCGCTGCGGAAGATTGGGCCGGCGCATTGGGAGATTAAGAGTTTGGATGGGCTGGCGAATCCTTATTTTGCGATGGCGGCTGTGATTGCGGGGGGTGTGTTGGGGTTGAGGGGGGATTATACTTTGACCAGCAAGGATTGTTTGTGTATGTTCTTCTTTCTTTCTTTTTTTTTCTATCTGCCTTTTCTTACACTACTCGACTGAGAACATCGATACTAACAAATGATAGTCGACGCAGCAACCCTAACAGACACCCAACGCCAAGACCTGGGGATCACAACTCGCCTCCCGACCTCGCTGCAAGAGAGTCTGGACGAGCTAGAAAAAGACACCGCGCTGCAAGAGGTCTTGGGCAAGACGGTGGTAGAGAACTACCTGATCGTGAAGCGTCTGGAGGGAAAGCGGCTGGGGGCGATGGACGCAGAGACGCGACGACGGTGGTTGATTGAGCGGTATTAACCATTATTATGAATAAGGTGTCGTTTAATGCAATCATTTGGTACTGGCATTAGTATGAATATTATGAATGATATTATTATCAACAGTCTGAGCAACAAAAGAAACAGGTATGATAGATACACCATGCTAAACCACCACCTCCTCCCCCTCCTCCTCGACCATAACCTTCCTATCCCCGATCCTCCCATTCTTGACACCCCCCTGCGCCTCCCCATTCTCCATCTGATTCATAACACTCCCACCCTTCCCCTTCACCCCACCCCCACCCAGCAAGGCCTCCCCCTCCACATCTCCCTCTGGAGAACTCCGTAAATAGTTCCACCCCCTGACCAACACAACGACCAGACCGGGAACGAGCAGCACGAGGGCCACAACCGCGAAGACGACGTCGCAGGTTTGCAAGGTGGACTTGAGTATCGGGAGGGACATTCTGTCGAGATCGTATTCTGGATGGTCGATGGGGATTGGGATTGGGACTGTGGTTTTGACTGAGGGGTTGTTTGTCGAGGAGGATGTAGGATCGGAGGTGGAGGTGGAGGTGGAGGTGGAGGCAGTGTTGATGTTGGTGTCGATGGCGTGGTTGGTGGGTGGTGAGGAGGGAAGGTTTGACTTGGAGGAGAGAGCGTAGGGGGGATTGGGAAGGACGAGGGCGTTTGTTGACGTCAGGGTCAAGAGGAGAGGTAGCGTTAACGATTTGAGGTTCATGATTGTGGTGGTTGTATACTTCAAGTAGGGTATACTTGGCGGAGAGATGGATGGATTGGAGATGGTGTGTAGGGTGTACACTGAGGATGGAGAGAACAGTAGAGTGTAGAGTGTAGAGTATGTAGAGTAGAGTCGAGAAGAAAGAAAGAAAGAAGAGAGGAGAAGAGGGGGGGAATAAATAAGTGTTGATAGAGTCGAGTATAGAATGAGGGAAATCAGAGCCGATCTCTCGCCCATGTGTCGGAGCGGCCACTCTGATTGGCCGAGTGTCGACTGATCAACCCTCGTGTTTGATGGAAGCTTATCATAGGTACCTGCAGATAGTCTGTTTCATCTGTTTGATTGTTTCTATTATATATATTATATATTATATACTATTTTATAATAGATTATATAATATTGGTAAGTTGGATTTGTGATGTTTTGGTGGTTTATGAGTATATAGTTGGTTCCTGCATCACTACGTATACTCTGCATACGATGTAGATGAATCAATAAGATTGCCACGTACGAAGCAAGCTGAAAGCAACAAAAGCCACTAGATATCAGATATCTATCAAGACAACACCCAATTCAATCGAAAATCACTAGCACTCTTCCTCCGCCTTCTCCCCACCCACTCTCTCCTCCGTAGCCCTGGCCTTGGCCCCCTTGGCCATAGCCTCCACCAGCGCAAAGTCCAGCGTATCCTCCCCAAGACTCCAAGCCATCACACCCCCGACCTTCTCCGCGTCGATAATATCCTTGAACTTGCGCTCCACCAGCGGCACCGTCTCCCACGTCCAGAACAGATCGACTTCCTTGTCGAAGAAGTACTGTCCCCCGGCTTTCTCATCCGTCTTGGCATCTTTCTCGGCCCGGCGCCATGAGTCGATCACCGAGTTGCCTTTGCATTCGCCGTAGTCGGAGAGACAGCCTCCTTGGCAGAATTCGTCGGTCGTGCCGCTATCATGTTGTCAGTATGCCGTAGTAAAAAAAAAAAAAAAACAACACAAATGGAGCATCAAAAAGAGAGGATTGGGAAAGCATACCAACTCCCATACTGCGAACAACACTGCCCCTTCGGACACTTCGTGCCCTTCGCAAACCCACACGTCCCATCCGTCGTCTCCTTCAACTCCCCCGGCGGCTTCCCCATAGTGCCCTTCTCAAACGTCAAAACCCCCGACGTCCCCGCATCCGACCCATCCTCTTTCTCCAGCGCCACAACCTCACAACCCAGCGGTTTCTCCTCACACCCGGCCCCCTTCGCAGTCGTAAACCACTTCGCATAGTACGCCACCCCCAGGTTCATCTTCTCCGGCTCCAGCCCCGTCTCCGCGTACGCATGCACCGTATCCAGCGAGCCCGCCACGCTCGAATGGTGCGTGGTGACGTTATTACGCCGATTCATCATATCGTAGCTCATGACGTTGACCATGTCGACCGACGGCCAGATCTTGGACCCGTTCTCCTTGGTGAAGGCGATCATGTCGCCGCGTTTGCCGGGAACAGCGATGGAGAGCAGCTTGTCTTTGGGGAGGGCTTTGCGCAGCTCTTGCATGAAGAGCGGGAAGGTCTTGATCTCGGACACCTTTTCGCTGTTCGGGTGCTTCTTGTAGTCGTCGCCGTTGCCGCCGGGGTATTCCCAGTCGATGTCTGTACATATCCCGTTATTATCATCGTCGTCTACTTCACCGATGGAAAGGGCGGACAGCCCGATACAAAACAACAGAGGGAAGTAAAGAAAAGGGAAGTAAAGAAAGAAAAAAAAACTTACCAACACCATCGAACCCCCCGTCCTCGACCATCTTGGCTACATTCTTCGCGTACCGCGCCCTGGACGCCTCGTCCTTCGTCCCCGCTGAGAATCCCTCCGTGTCGCCCCATCCGCCGATGGCGATGAGCAGCTTGGTGTCTGGCTCGAAGCGCGCGCGCATCCTGTCGACGGGCTCGAAGGGCTCGAATTTGGCGGGGGAGTCGGAGTTGAACAGGGTTGACTTGGCGAAGGCCATGATGGCGTGCGTGATGCCGGCTGTGTGTTCCTTGCCCGGGAGGTCGGTGGTGTGCCATTCGTCGATGTACATTGCGAAGCGGAGGGCGGAGACATAGGGGAGGAGGAGGGCGAAGAGCCCGAGGGTTGGGAGGTGCATTTTTCTGTTGTCTCCTTGCTCTTGAGACGGTTAGTTTGTTGGTAGGTTGTTTTGTAAGTAGGTAAGTAAGTGTGTAGTATCAAGTGTGTAAATGTGAAATGTAAGATGTAGATATCTAGGCTCTTATACCGGATGAGATCAAACACAAAGGGATAAAGAGAACAGAAAGGAACCCCAACAGGAGGAATGTCGGCCTTTATATAGTCCCCGTCATTCACTCACTCACTCGATCTAGATAAATACCTGGTAGGTATCCATTCATTCCTCACCAAGACAATCAGTGCCTCTGACCTCATCCATCTTGACACACATTCATGACACTCACCTCCATCCCAGGACCAGCCCAGTCTCACCCACCTCTCACTATTAACTTGGCAGGTAACAAATGCCAAATGATGAATGAATGCAGAATGACCCCATCAACTGATCCATCCATGTTCCCTCCCCCTGTGTGACCTCCCTGTTTTACACTAAATCAGGGTGTCGTATACATACCAGTGTGCATTCTTCACTGGAGGTAACCACCCCCTCATCACACATATTTCAATACTTGGCCTTGGGGTCTGGTCTTTCATTCTTGGTTCATTTCTTCAGGGGATATTAGATAATGAATGAATGGTGGGTGTGAATGTTGAATGGGTGATCTGAGTAAGACGGACCATCCTGGGATTTTATTATTCTGGCTGCTTATGGCTTGAGGGACAAAGGTCGATGTTGATGAACGGATGGAACAGGAACAGGTCTCGGTTTCGGTCAGTCTCAGGGGATCGATAGATGCTGGGGTATGATAAACTAATACTCCGGGGCGGGACATGTGGTACCAGCGGTTTCTTACTCCATAGAGGTGCACAAGACACTCTCTAACAAGGGAAAAAAACCCAACAGGGGAAGAAAAAACGATATTAGATAATTATATTACGACAACTCCCAATGCCGTCTGATAATCGGCCTCGCCGGATCCCACGGCCCCGTCACCACATTCTTATACTTCTGCAAACTCAACAACCACCAACTACACCCGCCCATCGCCAACGCCGTCAGCACACTCCCCAGCACACTCCCCACAACAGCCGCAAATAGCCCCCCCTGCATAGTCACGCCCACGGCACCCCCGGCCACGATCACCAGCGCCAGCGTCAGCAGCACGTGACCCGTCCAGGAGACGTGGCGCAGCTGGCGGCGGAAGATGGGGAAGAGGCCGAAGACCTCGATGGAGAAGAGCATGAGGCTGAAGACGTGCGGGGTTGACGGGAGTCGGGAGGCGAGGACGGTTGATGCCATTACGGCGGTGTTGGTTGAGAGGGAGGCGGGGAACTTGGTGGCGCCTGCGCCTTGGCCGCTGCCGTAGTCGAAGGAGAAGATGTTGATTATGAGGAGCCAGCAGCTCATGGCCCAGATGGAGTCGCTGGCTGTGGACTTGGTGAGGGATTTGAGGATCGGGCTGAGGCCGAGGAGTGCGAAGTAGATGAGGAAGGCGGATTTGAGGGTTGATAGGCGCTGCCGGTTGCGCGATGTTAGGATGCGTGACTTGCTGAGTTCGTCGCTTGTTGCTGGCCATGGGCCGCTGCCGTAGCTAGTTGATGGAGGAGGTGACGACGATGATCCCAGATCGCACGGCTCGCCATTTCCCTGCCGATGCGGCCCCGGCTCCCCAGCCGACATGGCCAGTCCCAGCCCATGCACCACCGCATCCCGACTAGCCAGCGAGCTCGAACTCGACCCATCATCAGCGGTCTCCGCAGCGCGCTCCTCCGCCGCCGCCGCATCCTCCCCATGAGCCCTCAAAAACCACATATCCCACAGCACCCAGCCCATCCCCGTAACAACACTCCCCCAGCACACAACCGACACAGGACTCAACCGACCCTGCACGATGCCCACAAAGCAGCACACAAAGATCGCAACAGAGCACACATGCTGCACGATAACCGTCGAGTCGGCCACCAGCGGCCAGAAGTCGTACGGCCTTACCCGGGGGTTGCGCTGGAGATGGTCGAGGAAGGTTTCGGTGTCGGTGTAGTTATCTGGATCTGTTGATTGTTTCCCATTAGCATCTCCTCTTCCTCCTTTCATTGCAGCGCAGCGCAATCCCAACCAAAGAGATTGATATAAGGAAACATACAAGACTGCCGAACCCAAAGCAACTTCTTCCAAGCCCCCTTCCTCTTCCTCCTCCTCCCCCCGGCCCCACCGCCCACCTTGCGCAAATCCTTCCGCGCCGCACCTCCAAACGCAGCGCCGCCGTTCAACACCGCCAGAGACTCATCATAGCTGGTCTCCGTGCGCGAACGCATCACGGGCGCGAAGTATGCATCTTCAGGGGCGAGGCGCGTCGGGTCGGGGAGGCGGGACGGGCTCAGCGCGGAGGAGAAGGAGGTGCGGTAGGGGTGTGTCTCGACGGGGACGGGCGGGGGGTCGGAAGGTGAGGACGAGTCTGTTGGTGGCAGGGAAGGCATCGATTGGGGTTCATTCTTGATTTAACATTGTTTGGAGAGATTTCTGGAGGGATTGGTTGGATTGGAGAGGGAGGAGGTTTATCGTTGATCGCGGATGGATGGGTTGACTGATTGATTGATTGATTGATGGAAGGGCTGGTCCACGTGTGGATTAGTCATGTACTTACTTGGTTAGTAGCAAGGGTTGTTTTGGATGAGTATTGTTTTATTTTATTTTTTTGTATATTTGTATATATTTTAGATGTTCTATAGCTAGTATAGCAAGTCAGTATTGATTTACTACATGTGGATTATCTAGAGCATGGTGGATTCAACACCGAACCGTCAATCCTTCCTTCAATACTCCGAACCTCGGTGTAAATCTGACACTACCAAAATCGCTACCTGTATAATTCTTGAATTCAAATAACAAATAATATATCCAATATATCACGCTCGCTCATGCTCTTGTATGCGCAGATGTGTCGCGTCTTTCTATCCCAGGAAAATCGAATCATCCTTCGCCATCTCTATGAAACGACAGCATTGGCTCTGGAAGAACAAACATTTGCACACCATATCCGACCCAAAATTAAACATAATAAGAAAGAAAAAAGATTACCATGATCGTACAGAAGCAAACACCAGCGACAACAATAATAACGAGTGCAGATGTCCCGGCCTGGAGCAGGTGGGAAATCCGAGTCTATCCATTCGACAAGAGCGTCAACATAATCAGCGGGTATCAAACGCTCAAGATGAGACCGAAAGGGTAAAGGGAGAAGATAATGGGGGAGGGAGAGTGAGAGAAAGGGGGTAGGAGGGAGAAAAATCAAAGGGCGTGGTCCTTAAGATGACCGTCGAACGTCTCCTTGTCCGGCGGCGCAGTGGTGTCGTCCAGACTGGTCCGTCGCCCCCAATTTGCCGGCTGTCGGCGTAGAAACGCTCCGACCGCTCCGATGTAGCCCTCGTGGCGGAGGAAGTATGCCTGCTTCTCCCCCTTGGACCAGAACCGGATGGCGTAGGAGAGGGTGTTCATGGTCTGGCGATGTCCGCGGATGAACGACCCGCCGAAATAGATGTGCTTGACCTGGTGTTTTTCAGATTGGAGATAGGCGATCTGTCCGATATTGTTGCTGCGAGAGTCAGTACGGCTAGAACCGGATCGGGATGCGTGTTCCATACCTAATGGCGTATAGTAGGCTCCGGCTCATGTCCTCATTCTTGAAGGTGACATTTTCATGCTGCTCCTCTCCATTGGGAGCCGCCTCCTCGGCATCGTTCTTCATGCGAAACACCTTGCCGAACGTGCTCGCGATCGCCGTGCTTTTCAACCCGATCTTGCTATAGTCCATGCCGTAGATGTCTCCCACCAGCATGTCCACCCCGCTGTTATCCCCGCTGTCCGCCATGGCCAGCATCTCGTCAAAGGTCCGCGCCCCCGTCAGCAGCGACAGGATCCCCCAGAATGTGCCGCCCCCGAGGTGGGTCCCGCCGACGCGCTCAAACTGCCGCGGGCCGGACACCTTGATCATGGAGACCCCGGACCCGATGTTGACCAACATGTATGGGTAGACGTCCGGTCGGGCCTCGGCAAACTGCATCGGCTCGGTTTCGCTGTAGGTGAAGACCTCGTTGGGGATTTCGGTGACGAAGAAGTCGAGGCCTAATCATTAGCCGTGGAACGAGTAAGATAAGTCACATAATGGAGGGAAACGAACCGGTAATGAGACACTGCATCTCTTCTTCCCGGATGATGTTAACCTGCAGCGCATCCTTCAATTTGTCGTAGTACTTGAAGGCGCCTCCGCCGGTCGCAACAACGCACAGCTCCGTCGGAGACGGTCCGTGAAGCCTCACATACTCCTCCTTCAATTGTTTGAGCACTTCGATGCAAAGGTCGATGCGGTGGGTTTCGAACAGCATAAAGTTCAATCGGCCGCCAACGTCACTCGAGTCGATTTCCCGCGTAAAGTAAACCAGCTTCGCGAGGGAACCGCCAATCTAGTACGTGAAGATCACAAGTCAGTAATCGTATCGATCATCATCATCATCATCTGAACCATGTATATCGCGTTGTGGTGGTGTTGGGGGCAAAAGACGCCCATTGCGGGGAGGGATAGACTGCGGGGAACGGCGGAAGAAAAAAAGGAAGAAACTCACATCGACTGCGACATGGCTCACCAAACCGGTATGATGAGGCAGACGAATGTCGCTGCCCTCATAGTGTACCCCCTCCGTTCGGACCGGACTCTTCGATCGGGGGTCTTCATCCACGATAAAGGCACCCTCCACGTTGATCTTAACGGCTCCGGGGTTGGTGATGGCCTTCTCCAAGAGGCGGGGGACGGAATGATGTTGAGCAGACATGATGTGGAGGGAGGGGTCAAAAAGATTGGAGAGGGGATGAAGGGAAGAGGCAAAATCCCAACTCTCTCCGGATTTGCGACCGCGTGGAGGATAGACGAGAGCTCAACCAGGAAAAGGAGGTTGAATATGGCTTGCTGCGACCTTGATTTGATAATTCGGTTCAAAGGGACGCCGTGATAATCGCTACGGCGTATATCTCCTTCTGCCCGCCATCTGGATCAGAGTGGAGAATCCGCCCGCTCCCATTGCTTACCGGGGGTGGTTTCCGATGGATTCGGTCAGGATTGATTTAGGGAGGCTTGTCTATTTCTCTTGTCTTCTTGTTTTTTTTTTTTTTTTTTTTTGGAATCTCTAATGGTGACTGATGAGTGTAGGACAGGCTTATTGTTCACCGACCTGACTCGTGTCCTTGGTTTCTCCCGGATGGAGGAATGTTGACCATTAAATGTCATGATCATGACACCAGTGTAAAGTAACTGTCTGTCGCTGATAAGATGATCAATAGTCTAGAGAAATATCATCGCTTCGGTTTCTTGACTGTAAAACCGAGGACCGCGGCTCTCGAAAAGCAGACCTGCCTGGCCTGAGGCAGAATGCACATCTTGTATTGCTTATTCATCACTTATGCACTGGTCTATCATGTACCTGTACTGCAGTCGGCATGCTATATACTGGCAGTGTTCATAACTAATATTATAAATTGATGGATATAAAATCTGAAAATGAAATACATGCCTAGAGTTATCTTTCAGTTACTGGTTCTAGGTATTTAGAAACAAAAGTCATGCCGAAGTGGCATATACTACGTAGTACATACCCTGTATACCTGGATATATATCAGGTTATCACCGTGGGCTGTCATACAAAAATTTAACTAGTCACTCCGTCGTAATGTATGTATGTAGTTACCATGGCTTGTAACTGCAAGATAAAGATACTTCAAGTATGTCATCTTCTCAATTATCTCTTGGTAGCCCTTCTACTTCATCCAAACCATTTCCAGTGACATACCCGACAGCCCTATATACACTGAGGCTATGATATCTTAGCAGTCTTGACAACCCTGAGAGCTCATTACTAGACATTTTGCTGCTGTAGATATACAGTGACATGCATGATACAGAGCGATCAAGCATGGTTCTGACCTGTGGTCATCATAGCATACCTAGGGAATGTCCATCAACATACTGATGTAGACATCCCAAGTCACTTCGGTAATAATCACTACTGCTCCTACTACTACTGTGGGGTCGGAAACTTCATATCAAACAGTTTACTGCAAAGGTGAAACATCCCAACTTGATGTTTACAGTACAACCCTACCCACATTGTTCATTCTCTCTTTCTTTGACATAGCGTGTCTGTTCGACCAGGCATCTGTAGGCATGGAAGCTGTAGATGTTCTCTTGGGATATAGTAGACTGGATACACTGGGGATTCTACCTCCATGTAACAAGATACTGCTGCACAGGGAGAATCAAAGCATGTCTCATCGGTAGATACTGTAAAAATTGCCATCGTATGAGAGATGTACTCAAGTAAAGCGAGAATCCAGTCAGTCATACAAACAGAGCATTCACTGACCAACAAACAATCGTCCTCAGGCTCACCATTCACTCTCTCCAACTGGAAAGATTCCGCGTGACTCTGTCTGTTTTGTTTCTCTCCTCCTCTTCTCTTCTCTTCTCTTCTTCTCCCTCTTCCTCTCCCTCCTCCTCCCACTCTCTTTCTTCTCTCTTCTTTTCACCCTACCAACCCCCCCCATCCAGCTTTCTGTTTTCCCCTCCTTGACCCTTTGTACACCAGTGTCCACTTACGATAGTAAAGTTTTAGTGTCTTCAGGTGAGCTTCTTTACTTTATTTCCTGTCTATCCCCTACCATCCCCCCCGGAACGCGTATCCTGTCTCCTTCCAGACCTTTCAACTCCCCGGAAAAGAAGAACAGTGCTGATACCAAGCCCCCTGAGGACGGAACTGAAGAACCACCCGTCAAGCTCAGCTGACCATGGACTTTGACGTGCCTCACGCGGGTGATGATCCCCTCAAGGATATCACCGATGGCAGTCTCAACAAGAAGACTGAAGCGTCCAATGTCGCCCGTGAGAAGGGTTGGGTGGCCCCTGAAAGCTACGACTATGCCAAGTACACCTATGACCCTCTCAAGAAACCTGAGGAGCAGCAGAACCTCGACGACCAGGCTCCCGCCTGGGCTGCCAATGCGGCCAAATATGAGTGGAATGATGAGTATGGTGACGTTGGCCCGGCCAATGCCCAGCTCGAGGAGATGTTGTTCCGCAGCGAATTCATCAACCGCGCCGGTTTCAAGCTGGGAAAGTAAGTATTCGCAGTCGTGCCACCACACCCCTAACTAACCAACCCAGCCTGCAAAACATCGAGGTTGTCGCCGAGAGTAGAGAGCGTCCCAACCCCGTCAAGAAGGTGAGCCTACCCCATTGCTTGGTAGAGCCAAGAGATCTGATAACCAGTCACAGTTTGAGGATGCAGGCCTCCACCCTATCATGATGGGGAACATCCGTCTGTGCCGCTACGACTTCCCAACTCCCATCCAGGCGTACGCCATCCCGGCTGTTCTGACGAACCATGACTTGATTGCAATTGCGCAGACCGGTGAGTAGATAGAGTGCTGACCAGTAAGCGGCATCTGACCCGAAATAGGTTCCGGAAAGACTGCCGCGTTCTTGATTCCCGTTCTTTCGCAGCTGATGGGAAAGGCGAAGAAGCTGGCCGCCCCTCGTCCTAACCTGGCCGCGGGTTTTGATCCGTTGACCGATTCCGTCCGTGCCGAACCTCTGGTTTTGATTGTTGCACCTACTAGGGAGCTCTCCACCCAGATCTTCGACGAGGCTCGCCGTCTGTGCTATCGTTCTATGCTTCGCCCATGTGTGGTGTATGGTGGCGCTCCCGTGCGCGACCAGAGGGATGAGCTGCAGAAAGGATGCGATATTCTCATTGGAACTCCGGGAAGACTCATGGACTTCATGGACAAGCCCCACATCCTATCGCTCCGTCGTGTCAAGTAAGTTCCCTGAAAGCGTGCATCTACATGCTAATTGCTCTAGGTACACCATTATCGATGAAGCTGATGAGCTCCTGCTGTCTGATTGGGAGGAAGATCTGAACAAGATCATGTCGGGAGGCGGTAGGAGAGTAACTCCTAACCTGTTCGCTCTCGCTGACCGATGTAGATGTTAACGAGGATGCTGACCATCGGTACATGATGTTCTCGGCTACCTTTGACAAGAATTGTCGTCAGCTGGCGCGCAAGTTCCTTGCGGACGACCATGTGCGCGTTCGCATTGGCCGTCCTGGCAGCACTCACATCAACGTTGATCAGACTGTAAGGACAATGGGTCCGGAAAATTGCGATATGACTGACCGCTGTAGATCGTCTATACCGAGGCCAACCTGAAGAAACAGGCTCTCTACGACCTTTTGATGTCCATGCCCCCCTCACGCACCCTTATCTTTGTTAACAGCAAGGCTCAGGCCGATCTGTTGGATGACTATCTTTTCAACAGTGGGCTCCCGAGCACCTCGATCCACTCCGATCGCACCCAGCGTGAGCGTGAGGATGCTTTGTGAGTTCGTCCTAAAATTATATCAACTCGCCTAACATGTTAGGCGTGCTTTCCGCACTGCGCGTTGCCCCATCATGGTCACCACCGGGGTGTCCGCCCGCGGCCTCGACATTAAGAACGTGATGCATGTCGTCAACTTCGACCTTCCTCGCGTTGATCATGGTGGCATTACTGAATACATTCATCGCATTGGTGAGTCTTAAGAATTTTCAGCCATACATTAGCATCATTGTCTCACCAATAGAAGGTCGCACCGCGAGAATTGGAAACGAAGGCCTGGCAACTTCCTTCTTTAGTAATGACCGAGACGCCGACTTGGCCCCTGACCTGGTCAAGATCCTGATGGAGTCCAAGCAGAACATTCCTGATTTCCTCGATATCTACAAACCTGCCGAGGAGGAGGGAGTGAAGTTTGACGACGACACCGATGACGAGGCTGGCAATGAGAACGACAACGATGGGACTGGTGCCTGGACTGGCTTCCCTGTCGAGTCCACCACTGACACTACCGCCACTAACACCGGTGGCTGGGGCGGTGACTCTATGGACGCTGCCAAGGGCGCTTTGGGAGACGACTATGATTTCTAATTCGCGAGTTGTCGCTAGGATAGATGATATACGTGGTGATATCATCAGATCCCGACAAGTGGCGCTTCATGTGTGAGCGGAGGGTCCAGTTAAGGGAAGGAAGCTAGTGCTTTGAGTCACGTCGGAATAATCGTCTGAACACAGGTAGGCCGATGAGTCTGGACGAACCATTGACCCGGCAGGTCATGAGATTTGTTCTTCAGCGCGGGAGCGCGGGAGACGCGACTGGCTGGGTCTACGGACTGGCGCACAGTTGCGTGCTGGTTGGTTAAGTTGTTCGGTTCGGGATAGCTTGCTAGTGTTTGTTTGAGACGATTTGACTGACTTATCAATGAATTTATTGATATCGGTTCTTGTAGAAGGGAGGCGCCTGCCGTACGCATTGTTCGAGTTGCTTGCTCCTTCCCAAACAACAACGACACTGAAGTATATACAAGTAGTGTCGACAATCAGCACAGTAGTCCATCGTAGAATATAGCACGCAGCATATCCATACGACCACATACTACATCACAGGATACAGCATATAGCAAAACAGACGCGAACCATGGCACACCCAGACCTTATCAAACTGATGGCATGGGCATGGACGGCCCTAGTGCTATCCACACAAGCCTCCATGATCATCGACTCCTTCCAGAACGCAGACCGCAACGATCTCCAAGCCTGGCACGGCGTCACCCCAGGGCTCCCCATCTCCTACGGGGCCGGCTATGTGCAGATCTATCCCTCAACCCCAGACCAAGCCTACCACACCCAGCTCAGCCCTTCCCTCTGCTTCAACCTCATTGAGCACCTCCTCCAAAGCCTCCCAGCCTCTGACCCCAATACCAACAGTAGCGAGTTCAAAGAACGCGCCCTACACATCCACTTCAGCGGCGCCCCCGTCTTCAGCATCTCACTGTCCCAAAACAACGCCGGCTGCACCTCCCCAACTCCCGAGACCTGGGACTCCGTCGACGCAGCGCGCTACGCACACAATGGAGAGATCTACATCCCTTTGTCCCACTTCGACATCGATCAGACCCGTGTCGTGGGGATCTCCATCGGCGGCTTCCACAACGACACAGCTGAGCTGACCCCACACCACAAAAACACGACCGGAATCAAGCACACCCGCGACGACGAGGACGAGGATGAGAACGAAGAAGATGACGTGGACAACGAATACGACGAGCCCGTCGATACCTCTTCCATCGCCCTCCACCACATCGACATTGTCTCCTCCATCCCGGACTCCTTCCCCCGTAAACCGACTAAGCTCCCGTCTGGCACGCTCCACCAGTTCTGTACCGTCCCGGGGTCGTTTGCGTTTGGTATTGACGACGGAAGGCCGGCGCTGGCGCCTGCTATGATGCGCATTTTGGAGGAGGAAGACGCGCTGGTGACGTTCTTTGCCACGGGTAGTGGACTGCGGGATGAGAAGGCGAACTTCTCTGGTGTTTATAGGGAGATGTTGAGGAAGGGGCATCAGGTGGCGATGCACTCGGAGAGGCATCCTAGGTATTTCTTCCTTCCATCATTGGTAGGTATTCGAACTACAGACTAATGATGATGTGGGATATAGAATGGAAGGCCTCTCCTCGATAGAAGCCATCGACGATGAAATCACCCAGAATATAGAAGCCATGAAGACCCATCTCGGAATTGAATGCATGTGCCCCTCTACCTTTTCTAACACTTCCACGCATACCTCAACACAAAGTAACTAACCATCCATCAAAAATAGCAAACTACTTCCGCCCTCCCTACGGTACAGTAGGCGCCCGCACACGCCAGCGCCTCGCAGCCCTCGTGTCCCCCGCCCCAAGGATCATAACCTGGAGCGTCGACATTGAAGACTGGCGCTGGGTGAACTCGGACACGCCGGAGCGTCAGCTGGAAGCATTCAAGCGGGACGTGCTGGCAGGAGGGAATCTAGCCGTGCTGCACTATCTCGACGAAAGTACGGTGGGATACTTGCGAGAGGCGATTCGGTTTGTTCGCTCGAGGGGATTGACTGTTATGCGGGTTGATCGGTGTTTGGGGGATTAGATGGACTCTGTATGATGATTGATTGCTGATTGCTGATTATTGACTGTTGATTTGGTTGGGTGGTTGGTCTGACTGGTGGTTTATTCTTTCCCTTTGTTGTTCGCTTGTTCGTGCATTCTTTTTATCGTCAGGTTCGATCAAGTCGTACATGCCTTAGGTTACTTTAGTGAGTCAATTACTGGTATATTCGTATACAGGATTGCATTTCATATGAGACAAGGTGATTGAAGTAAACTAGACATTAGGATGAAGTCGACTTACTACATGTACAGGTAGATAGGCAAGTAGGTAGGCCGACTCGATAGATACCTAGGTAAAGAGGCAGACAGGCAGACAGGCAGACAGGCAGACAGGCAGACAGGCAGACAGGCAGACAGGCAAAGAGGAACAGACAGGTAAGTAGGTAAGTAGGCAGATCAGCATATACCTAAATAGAAGTAGGTAGGCAACTAGGCAAGTAGACAGGTACGTATGTGCCTGCACTGGAAGTATAAGATTCCTTACCTACGTAGCACAAAAGCGTCATGGTGGAATTTCTAGCTGAGTGATAACTCTGTCCCATAGTAGATGAAGAGGTGGGTAGGTAGACGGGGGACCTATACGTAAGTAGACAGGTTAAGTAGGAAGTATGTAGTAAGTAGTAAGATAGTAGAAGGTAACAAGTAGTAAGGTAATAAGTATAAGAAAGCCCGAACCAATTTAGCTATCTAGTTATTTCAATAGCCAACAACATCAACAACAACAACTCCGTCTCATGCATTGCATTTTATCTCTCTTTTCCTTCCAACGCCATTCGACAAGGCAACACAACGACACGACACAACAACACAACACAAGCCAAAGAGACAGAAACAGACAGAATACTGTAGATAGAAATAAACAAATAGCCCACCTGAACCAAGCAAACCAAACAAAAAAACCAAGATAGCTATGATAACACCACGCAGCAAGACAATAATGAAAATAGTCTATAATACAGGGTTGGTTTTTTTCTTCTTCTCCATGGTGGAGTTGAGGATTCTTTGTTCGGCCTGCGAATTGACCTTATAATATATTTCACGAAGAGTGATCCCTCTTGGAGGGAGGCGTGGTTTGATGTCGAGTTGTTCGGGAGATGATGTATAGGATAGGTTTCTGGTGTGTATCTCGGGAAAGGATGGTCGAACGGAGGAAGAAGGGGATCATGCACCCCATTCAATGGTCGAGCAAGACGGTGCGCTATTCATCATCTTCTCGACCCGCGGAACCAGCCATCCGCTACGGGTGTCCCCATGAGCCACGCCCAATCGCGGGTGCTTGCCCGTGTAGCATTTGCGCTCGCGGATGGCGAACTGCGTGCACTCGTCGTTTTTTTCGCAGAGGCGCTGGCATTCGCGGAAGGAGCTGATCTCGGAGTGCTCCTCATCAGACAGGTTGTCCCACTTCTCGCGCGAGCCGGACAGGGCCGGGAAGATGAGTTCTTTGAAGATATCGCTATGGAGGAGGATGCGTTTGCGGGTGAGCTGGGGTCGGAAGATGGAGCGGGTCTGCGCTGCTTGTTCGGCCTGCGGAGTGTTAGTAGGATTCAAGAAGATTTTATGAAGGGGACGTACGGCACGCCAGCGTTGGGTTTCAAAAGCCCAGAGGTCTTGAATGTCCTTGGCCTGCAGGTGGTGAAAAGCAACCGCGGGGAAGCACCACGGCCGGCGGTAGAACCCTTGGGTGAATTGGTCCAGTTCCCCGACGTTAGAATTCTGCAGGATAGGCCACGAGTAGTGCAGCGGCACGCCCACGTCCGAGAGCACCTTGCCCAGGACGCAGTCGCCGGCCCAGTGGATGTCCGTATACTCGTTCAACTCGACATTGCGGGTGGTGTAGGCGTCCGACACCAGCTGCATGGCGGGTTTGGAGACGGCGAAGCCCGATCCACCGTGCGCGAAGATGACATCGGCGATCTGGGTCTCGGTGCCAATATACCAGGGCTTCGTCTGGTCGAAATGGGCCAGCCACTCGAGCAGCGTCGGCCACGAGAAGTAGGTGTCGGCCTCCATGAACACGTACCACTTGGCATCGCCCTTGTATTTGAGGGTTTCCTGCACCATGGGCAGAAACTTCCACTTGTCCAACTTCCAGCCGGGGTTGTTGGGCTTCCCGATGGCGGAGTTGGCCTCATCCGCAAAGTCGTCGCGCTCGAGTCCCGCTCGGCCGAGCTCCTGGATGCGGTTGTAGATATCAAAGTCGGGCACCGACCGCTTGACCTCATCGTCCATGTTCGCCAAGGCATCGTGTATTTGTACGCCCTGGATTTCCTCGGCGAAGTCGGAGAAGATGACGAAGTTGGGGACACAACGAAGGGTGGTGTCGAAATGGACGGGGACCTTGTCCCTGGCCTCGGTGACGCCGGTTTTCAAAACGACCAAGACATCTTCCATACCCGGAAGAGGTGGACACGGGGAGCCACTGCGCTCATCGATGGGTTGGGATTGCCGTTGTCGCGGTTCGAGGGTGGAGAAGAAGTGGTAGAGGAGGAAGAGGCCCAGCACGGAGGCGATGAGGGGGGCGCGGCGGCGGAAAACCCGGCGAGTAGCCATGCTCACCAGAACCTGAAGCTGGACGTGTGTATAGTAGGGAAATATTATAACCGATCCTCGTAGGTGATCAAGCCAGCTAACATGGTTTCCCGGGGGGTCCTTGCTGACAATGAGGGACGGAGGTTGCGAGGCGCACCGCAGGGGAGGAGGCAACTGACGGCTGCGAGGGAGAGGAAGGAGCGGAGACGGGAGGGGGGAGCGGAGATGGGGGCGAGAGAGACGAGGACCTAGAATCGACCAAAAAAAAAAGGATCAAGAGGTGGGAAAAGGCGAAGCTTTTGTCGAGTCGGTGGTTCGTATACGGATCACAGATAAAATTCAGGTTGTCTTTTCCGTCGGAGGAAATTCAGCGGCGGGAGAGAAGGACGACAAAGAGAGACGATCGGCCCACGTCGCATGGCGATCTAAACGGTTGTCGATGACGCGTTAACACTCAAACGGGGAAAGAATGGACCCAACCATGGAAGACAAGCTCAAGCTGAAACCCACCTGGAAAAAGCAGAAACAGGGCCAATACTCGAGGGGACAAAATGAGGCCAGATCAAGCAAGCGACGAAGACATTGTGGGAGATCAAATAGGAATTGGGACGAATCACGGAGAGGCTTCTACTCAAGCTGGTGATCGACACAGACCAGGAGGAAGGAGTTTAAAGTCCGATGCCGACACCCTGGCCAGAGTCAGTCAGAACTGCCGCTAGGAACGAAAGAAGAGTAGGGTGAGCTGGACCCACCTCGTAATTGGGTTGAGACCGTTCGGAGCCAAAGAAAGCCAAGAGGCGACTGGGACAGGGACGGGACGGGGATGAATTCCAGGGAATTGGTAGGGTGATCTAACCAAGGAAATTGCCACGTCAGGAGGCGAGTATCCAAGAAGGCAACCACGGTTATAAGGAAGACGATAAAGAAGAGAGAAAGAGAGAGAGAGAATGAAAGAGAAATAAAAGAGAATGATGGATGAGAGCTGGATGAGATGCATGGATGTGTCCAATCATATCACGGGACTTCTGTTGACTCAGCCTATTGCCGGTTGCCTGATCAGGCTAGCTCAGTCCTCAGGCCAGTCACATCGTTGGATTGGACACATCGACGTCATCTCAGTTGCAGCTGGAGCAGCCTCGGTCCAGGTCGGAGTATATCGACCTGCTTAACACGACGATATCGGAGAATACCTGATCCAACTGATTCAAATTAGAGAGTAAACACAACACATACGGGCACATCAAACATGCATGTCCCTGCAGCGAGCCATAAGCCATCTCAAAGGATCTATTAAGGATGGGACGGCGTTTCAGACAAACTACCGAATCCAACAAAGAGCTAAGAAAAGGAGACAGGGAGGATTCGACACTCGTATCTGAATCTCTGCATAAATCTCATCCATCATCTGACGTAGGCATAAATACTACCTGTCATGCCGGGATCTTGCATCTCGCCGATACGATTGAGCCTGTCCAGTGGGATTACATAGGATCTCAGTTTCGAAACTGGGCTGTCCGTAGGTTGTTATTGTGATACTATTTGAATGTGGTGTGGTCACTCGACACTCTCCCTAGTGGGTCATGGTTCAAAAGAAGTATACAACTTGGATGGTGATCGAAGGCTCATGCTCGGGCAGGACTTATGACAGGAAGATAGCTAGGACCAAGTAGTCGCTGCCTGAGGTTGACTATTGTCATATCTCGACATATGTCACAAGTACAACTCCTATTTTATCTTCATCAGGAGTTGCATAGTATCTAGACATACGCAAGTTTTCAATTTCATGCATAATCCACAATAAAAAGTGAAATAAATTTTGTCTATCGTCATCTATCCGTGCTTTTCCAAAACCACATCCCGCACCGCGATCGAAAAAGATCCACTCAAAAAAAGAGAGAAAAAAAAAAAAAAAAATTTTCAACCCATCAAGAAACCCATCAAACGCTAGCCAAAACGATGATATACCCAAATACAGCCAGAAAATTACAAACCCCATCCTCCCAATTAATCTACATATTTCGGCAGCGTCTTGAGGATGCCGTCGCGGGCGATGTCCTCCATCGCGGTCGTCACCTCCTTGAGGAAGCGCTCATCAGTCCGCAAGTCATCACCGAAGAGGTTGCGGGTGGTGAGCAATTCCCAGGGGTTCGTGCCGCCCGCGCAGGCCTTCGCCTGGAGCTCGTCGCGCATCGGATCGATGACGTCAAAGGGTTTGCCGCTGTCGTCGACGCCGTTGAGGTAGCGGAACCAGGCGGCGGCGACGAAGCACAGGCGGCGGAAGGGGCCGGTGCCCCAGATGGCTTCGGCGATGGAGGGCATGATGAACTGGGGGATCTTGCCGGAGGCGTTGAGGCAGACGCGGGGGAGCTGGTCCATGATGGTTGGGTTGGAGAAGCGCTCGACGAGGGTGCGGCAGTATTGGTCGATGTCGACACCCGGGATGTGCGGGAGGAGAGGCTTGACCTCCTCTTGCATCATCTGCCAGACGAACTTGCTGAACAGCGGGTGCTGCATGACCTCGTGGACGTAGCGGAAGCCGGCGAGCTGGCCTGGGTAGCCGATGGCGGAGTGGCTGCCGTTGAGGAGGCGGAGCTTGTGCTTCTCGAATTCCTCGACGGCATGGACATTCTTGACGAGCTGGGCGCCGGCCTTCTCAAAAGGCGGGCGGCCGTCGGAGAAGTGGTCCTCGATGACCCACTGCATGAAGGGCTCGGTGACGACGGGCCAGGCGTCCTCGATACCGAACTCGGCGGCAAGGGCCTCCTTGTCGGCAGGGGTGGTCTGGGGGGTAATGCGGTCGACCATGGCGTTGGGGAAGTGCGCCTTCTCGGCGATCCACTGGGCCAGGTCGGGGTTGCGCAGGCGCGCGAAGGACTGGAGCATGTTGCGCGTGATGGCGCCGTTCTTCTGCATATTGTCACAGGACATGACGGTGAAGGGGCGGAGGCCGGCCTGCTGGCGCCGGGCCAGCGCGGCGTAGAGGAAGCCGAAGGTGGTGCGCGGAGCCTTCTCGTTGACCGGGTCCAGGTCGTACTGGATGTCCGGGTGCTCGGCCTGGAGCTGGTGCGTGTTCTCGTTGTAGTAGTAGCCGCTCTCGGTGATGGTGAGCGAGACGATGTGGGTATCCGGGTGCGCCATCTTCTCGATGACCGCCTCGCGGTCGTCGGGAGCGAAGAGGAAGGAGTTGATGCTGCCGACGACGTTGGCGAAGCTGCCCTTGGCCGAGCGCTCGATGACCGTGTAGAGGTGGTCCTGGGAGCCCAAGGCGTCGCGCATGGTCGCGTCGAACGGCTGCAACCCGACGCCGCAGATCGCGTAGTCGTTCACACCATGGTTCTGCATCAACTGGTCGACGTACACAGCCAGGTGCGCTCGATGGAAGCCACCCACGCCGATGTGAACGATACCCTCCTTAACGGCGGAACCGCGCCGGTAGGACGGGATCTTAATCTGAGCCTTACCGGCGGCCGCAATCTGCGCCAAATTCTTGCTGTTGAGCTTGAAAGGAGCCATTGTCGTCGTAATAGAGAGAAATTGACAGGAATGAGGAGACGAAAGGAGTGGAAGGGAGGAAGAGACTTTTTTTTATTTTCTGACAGTGGCCAACTTGACAAGCCCAGCTGGTTAACGTCACCGCCGGTTTGGACCAAATTCTTGAAATGCCCCCGGACCCACCCCCCTTTGCCTAGATGGGATAATTTCCCCTAAGCTTTAGCCATCCTAAAGGATGTTGGGGGCGGCCGAATGTAGCGGTCTCGCTGCTTCTCGAAAAGTCCCCAGGTACGGGGGTGGTTGGCCACTGACCAGCCATCTCCGCGGTCGCGACTGGACGAGGAAGCCATTGACCCAGTTTGATTGGAGCAGTGGTCTACGTCATGGTGGGTCACGGGTTGAACAGTCTTTTCATGATCTCATGATGATCGGTGAAGGCGAGAGCAAGCGTGATAAGAGGATGGTGATTGATTTGACGGGGTAGAACTGGGGGAATCGGGATCCGCATTGAAGCAGCTGGATCCGGGATGGAAAATCGCATGGAATGAAAATAAAATAAACAACCTTGATTCTATTAATAAATCCCGCCCAGAATGTGCCGGATGCGTGGTGGTCACGTGTGACACTTTGTTTGTTGCTACGTCCTTAATTTTATCTTATATATTGATTCGACCTCTCACATGGTTGCGCCGCCGGAGATAGTTGATTATAGTCCGTTATAGTCAAACCAGATGCTGTCACGCGATGTGCCACTGTGCGCCACCAATAATTGTGTGGGTGCATAAGAGGTGTATGATTGATGCTATTCGCCCTCTCGGCCGACAAAGGTCCTCATATATTCGCCATGATTGGATTGATTAGGGAGTCACTCGACTGGAAAAAGGTACGAAAGGTAAATAAATAAATAAATAAATATCCCACGTCCGTTTTAAGTTTGCCGAACTCAAGCTGAGGCCTAGATCAAGCGGTGAAAATTCTTCGGTCCCCCTGCAGCGGATAGGAGGCGATGATTGCCATCCCAGCCGTGTCCCTTTGCAGAGTCGGTCGACGCTAGCCTCGTATTATGGTGTGTTTAAGGCGTACCCTCCTGGTCGGGACCCACGAGCTAGTCGCAAGGCTAGCTCAACCCGCGGCCGTGAGACCAACATCCCGTTGCGTCTCCCGCCACCCAGCGTGAACAGTGGAACACAGCGCAGTTGCCAGTGCGTGAACCGACCGATAACGGACCAGGACCAGACCAGCGGTGACTGTGACCGTGACCATGTCCCTCCTCCACTATTTTCTCTACAAAATTCTAGCGGCGCTCGTCCGAACGACGGTTTCCTTACGTCGCGGGTTCCGACCGCTCCGCACCACCCCCGATGTCACCATCCGGATCCCCTCGCGCGAACTCCCCCGCACCATTAAAGCGCACATCTACCGGTCGACCTCGACCGGGCCGTCGCCCGTCCTGGTCAACTTCCACGGGAGTGGGTTCGTCCTCCCCATGCACGGCACCGATGAGGAGTTCTGCCGCCTGATCAGCCGCCAGACGGCCTACACCGTCGTCGACGTGCAGTACCGACTCGCGCCGGAGCACCCGTTCCCGGCGGCCTACCACGACGCCGAAGACGCAGTGCGCTGGGTCTTCCAGCAGCGCCAGCAGTTTGACCGCTCCCGTGTCGCCGTGTCGGGGTTCAGCGCGGGCGGGAACCTCGCGCTGGGCATGTCCTCGCTGCCCCCTGTTGCGTGGGCGGGAGATGAGGATGAAAAAGAGAAAGCACCTCCGATCCACGCCACCGTGGCCTTCTACCCCGTGGTCGACCTCGCGACCAGCCCCGCGGCCAAATTCGCGCCCGACCCGAACGGACGGCCTCTGCCGAAATGGCTGATGCGGTTCTTCGACCGATGCTATATCCGAGGCCCGTTCGACACCCGGGACCCGCGCATCTCGCCGTTCTACGCAGACGCGCAGGGTTTCCCGCGACGGGTGCTGATCGTGACGGCGGCGGGAGATAGTCTGGCGGAGGAGGCCGAGGCGCTGGGGAGGAAGATTAGGGAGAGGGTTGAAGTTGGAGAGGGGGAGAATCGCGTAGTAGTGCAGAGGATGCAGGGGTGTAATCATGGGTGGGATAAAGAAGCGGGCCCGGGAAGTGTGGGGGAGGATGCGAAGGACAAGGCGTATGCCATGGCCGTGGCGTTGTTGACTTAGTTGACCTAGTTTGAGATTGATCGTGATGATCTGTATATACTACACTGTCCCCATATACTACGTATATCTATGACCTACATATTCCAAATCTATTACTATATCGAATACCCACGTTTGAGAATAGGAGGTGAAACAAAACAAAATCCATGAGCATCATCATCCGATCATTCTCCGGTGGGCTAATCAGCGGCCACAACGGTCCCCTGAAGCTCCACTGATTCACACCACATGGGTGTGGACTGGGGACTATCCTCATCTCCTGGTGTCAATCCATAATGACACATGTTCTGTTCTTCCACTGGAGCATCCAGGATGAAACGACGAACGATGAAACGACGAACGATGAAACGTGGAACAGAAATGGTCCAACCCTAAGCCCTAACTGGATGAACCAAGGGACTGGATCAGGAACCATAATGATACCTCGACGATACTCCGTCCACAAACAAATAGAATGTTGATCAGGGACAATGCATTGTGGAAAGAATACGAGGAACCCACCAATCTGGGAACAGAACCAGAGACTTGAAGAAGAAAAGGCAGAAGAAACAATCATAAAGAACATGAATCAGGCTGGAAGGATCAGCTAGTCGGAGAGGGGTGGGTCATCTGCTGGTCGTTTCCCCTAGTAAAAAGTCCTGATTTTCATGTTTAATTAATCCAATCAATCAATCAAGAATAATCATTCATTCCGTTCTCCAACTCATGCTTCGTCCTTCTTCCTCTGCTTCTTCTTTTCTTTGTTGTCCGTTTCCTCGTCCACCGGCTTCTCCTGTGGACGAGTCTCTCCATCTTCTTTCCTTTCCTTTTTCTTTCTCTCCTTTTAATCTCTTTTCCACTGATTTCCCGTTTCTACTTCGTACCTCGGTTTCATACGGTGCATTCCAATGTATATATAATTCTAATATAGAGCAACATGGACCCCTCGTCCGACCTCATTCCCGACACGCAATATCGCCTAGAGGTCCTTCATCTCCCTTCCGAAGATGCCGAATCGGAACGCGACCAGCAGCTCGTCGAAGAGGCCCGTCAACTGGGCCTCAAAGTCCCCGAGATTGAGCTGGTCGCGTCCTTGACGGCGTCCATCGCCTCGGGCATGGTCGATCTGTCGTCCTCGCCCATCCTCTCGTCCGGTTCCTCCGCCGACCGTCAGTCTCTGGGAGACGCGACCGCATCGCCCTCCCTCGACCAAGTCACCTCGTCGCTCTTCGACTGCACACTCTCCTCCGAGCCCATCCAGACGGGGAGTACGCGCTCCACCGCCTCGCCGTCCACCCGTCCCACCTCCTACTCCTCCAGCGAGGGCCGTCCACCCCAAGACAATCACCACCGCCACCTCCACCACCACTATCCTCATCATCATCACACGTCCGCCCTCCGACTCCCCGGCCACCGCGCTTCGGTCCAAAGTGCCGCCTCAAGCGACCGCGAACTCCGCAAAGAACGGCGCAAATCCAGCCTGAAGTCCGCGATCGGCAAGATCCATTTCCTGAAAAAGCGATCGCCCTCGTCCGTGCTGTTACCGCCCGCCGCGCACATCACTGTCACCAAGACCGACGATGGCGGGGTCGACAAGGTCTACCTGGAATCCAAACCCGACGAGAACCAGGGCACGGACGGGGAGCACCAACCCCACCCCGCCGATGACAACCCGCAGGTGCTGCGACTCGAGATCCCCGTCTTTGACCAGGAGTCCCTGCAGCGGAGTCAGACCAATGTCGAGCTGCGACAGATGCGCGAGGCCCAGAAGCTCGAGCGGAGTCGTCATCTGATGTTCCACGACGCGGCCATCCGTCGATTGCGCGACCGCCACCAAGCGGCGGTGTCGGATCAACTCGCGGAGCACAAACAAGCCGAGGAAGCGAAGCGGGAGCAGGTATTACCTTATCTTTCCCCTGCCCATACTTTCCTCTTTATAGAGAGAATAAATACTAATTACCGAGATAGAACGTCACCGATGCCGCCCGCATAGAAGAGCGCCAATTGTCCATCGAAATTGACCAAGAGCGCGAATTCGAACGCGCCAAGATCAACTCCCGCACCCGCATCAAATACATGGAAGGCTACTTCCGTACCTCGAGCCCTCCTCCATCCACCACTACAACAACATCCGAACCCACCTCCCCCTCCCCAGATCAATCACCAGAACCAATCCCCCGCAAATTCACTCCCCAACACAAAGCCCAACTCGCCCAAGAATACCACGCTCACTCCTCGATGGACCAGCTCCACAACTCGCGCATCAAAGTCCTCCGTGACCGCCAAGAGCGCCGTCTCCAAGATGCCGTCGCTCGCATGGACCGCGAGCTGGACGCCCTGATCGACGCGCACGCCGTCGCCTTCGCCAACCTGCACCGCACGCACCAGCACGAGGAGATGGCGCTCACGCGCGGGCTGGACGCGCGCAAGGCGCGGCTTCGCCATCGCTGGAATCTCGAGGAGGCGGTGCTGCGCCGGAAGCTGGAGGTCCAGCATGGGGAGGGGGTGTTGTTTGGACCGTTGCCGCCGTTGCTTTTCAATGATGGCTCGCTTGGTGGCGGTGGTGGTAGTAGTGGGGAGATGAGTCGTGATTCGGCGATTTGCGTAACTGATGAGGAGATGGGGTGATCATTTTCTTCTCTTTTCCTTTCCTCTTTTTTCTTTTTGCCTGCATGTGTGATTCCCCGTTCGTTTTGATATGGGAATGTCTCCCTGTCCCATTTTCATGATACCCTTCTTCCTTATACCTTTTTCATCCCTGCTATCTTGTCTTTTGTTTCGCATTTCTGGTTTTGTTCATCCCTGGATATATTCCCTGTTTGTCCAGTTCTTAAGCGGCATGGTTGAGTGTGGCATATGCATGATTGACTGATTATTGATTGACTGATTGATGAACATTAGTTTGCGTCTAGGATATAGCATAGTATAGTATAGTATACAATATATAGAGTATGTACATAACTACATGAACAGAACTACTATGATACCTCTGGAAGGAAAGTAATAATAGGTCGTTACTTTCATGACACTACTTTATGTCTACTTCATACCTGCGGAGTATCTCCTGTGAGACATGCAATCGGCCACGTCAGCTGACTTGCATTGTCGTCCCATGTAAAAATGTTGTTTCGACTTCATATGGTTCTAAAATCCTGCAGCTATTCGCAACTCCTGCATTGTTATCCGAACCATTGATAGCTGGACCGTTTCCATCCATCCTTACACACTTTATGTCTGCCACGTGGAGTGACTATGTAACGTAGTTAGTGGAGAATATATACTAGAGTGTCATTACAATAAGCTACATATCCTGTCTTACCAAATTTCAAGATTGGTTATATATATGTGGCCCAGTGCCTGTTGGGTACACACCATAAGAACAAGCAGGCTCATAATGTGTAAAAGAAGAATGTATTCATCAAGACCACCATAAAACAAACATGCTCTCCATTCCTACTCACAGACGTTGGAAACCTCCCATAAAATCCATCCCAACCACCACACCCACAATCTACAAGAAAAAAGTACGGAATTCAATCTCAACCACGACCAGGACACCGCAAACCCACTTCATGCTTATCCATAAAACCACAGATCTTTCCATCACCAGCGCCGCTTTGCATCGTGCACTAGAATCAAGCTAACATCAGTACCACGCCTGCTAGCGAGAACTATATCTATAGTTATGGGTCTTCACCTTTCCAATATCATAATTCCTATTAGGGTTAGAGTTAGCTTTCTGACTCTGTGATAAGTCAGTTGGTCATGGAGAGCTTACTGGTTGAGCATTCCTGCGATTCTGCACGACGTGCCGTTGCGTTCCTGTCAGTTGTGTTAAATGGTGACTCTTGGGGTACTATACGTAGGGGCTGGGGGGAAGAAGGGATGCCGATGATATCTTGATGACCGCTACACCGAAACGTTGACCGGTGGTTGCTATAGGGCTTGACCTGACTGATATCCCCAATATAGTGTATATATATGAATTTTGTAGTGTAGTCAATTTGCTATTCATATTATATGTCTTCTTATCAAGTATAGCCCTAATATTTGTTTTATGTCTACCCTGTCTTTGGCTTGTAGCCATACATCACACAACTCACTAGCTCCTCAGATATCCAGGTAGAAGACTACAACATGGTTATAACTACACTATCGAAAAAAACAATTTATAATCAAAGAATGCATGCCTTGAATAAATGACTAAAAAAACAAACAAACACGAATCACCCCTCTATATCAATCTGATGAAAGGGGTTGTTGAAACTCCTCATCATTTCCATCCTATCATACTCATAAACCACATGATAAAGTAAGCAAGCTCAACCACGACCAGGACACACTGTTTTGCCATCATCACGAACACCGCAGAGTTTTCCATCACCGCCGCCGCTTTGAACCGTGCACTGTAATCATGAAAATCAATGTTAGTACCACACCTGCTAACAAGAGATATAGATATAAGTCTTCACCTTTCCAACGTCACAGTCACTATTGATTTTGAAGTTAGTGTTATGACACGGTTTTGAATCAGTTGTATATCAAGAACTTACTTGTTCCAGAATGCTATATGGCATGATGTGCCGTTGCATTCCTGCCAGTGTTGTTAGATGCTGGGTCATAGAGTATATTATACTTGAGGAAAGGAATGAAAGAGGGCCAGGGATGCTGAAAAGAGAGTTGCATACACCGCAGGTAGACCATCCATTTGGACAGTCCCAACGAGCTTCGATCTCGTTGTTCTCGGGTTTAGGGGGCGGAGCTGCCGTCACGACGAGGGCAGCAGCCATGATAGTGAGGAGGGTGTTGGTAAGCTGCATTTTCAATGAAATTGAGACTGTTGGGAAAGGGATAGAGAGATTGAAATTGAATTGATGTAGAGAAGAGAGTCTTGATGGAGAATTGAAGAGGATGGTTACTTAGATTTTGATCAGAATCAGAGGGCGGAAAGGGGGCTTTTATAGATATCTTGCAGCTAGTACTCACTCTCTTTTCCATACAAGAAGATGATAATAAGAAACCATGTCTACCAGAGTCCAACTCTCACGACCTCAGTCAGGCGTGCCTTTGAGGCATCCCACCTGTGTTTTCGCTTCTCATCTCCACCATCACCACCGTTCAGCTCGCTGCACGGTATGTCTAAGCCTGCCTCACAATCGAATCCGATACGGTCGAGTGTCGCCGCTAATGTCAGAGAAGGAGCCCTATCCATGATGATATCTGGATATAGTCAGACATGGCATGGCGGATTGGAAAGTCCGCGTCACGAGCCCTAGGGTAATCCGCTTGGTTCGACAGAACAACTTGAAGGAGCCACTCGGATGAACTATACGTGTTTGCGATATAGCGTTCTTGTGGTGGTTACCTAGTTAGGCTAGACCTGGAATAAGCATGAGCCACCCGGTACAGGCTGTAGGATCTGCTGGATTGTAGGTATAGACACGCTTGACTTTTCCGATGTGGGGTTTGTGATAGCGAGCCCTATATGCTACCCCGCTCTATAGTAGAACATGCCTCGACGGGAGTTATCAAACCCTGACTGGCTTTTGAAGTATCAATCAAAAGACCATTCAAATAAATGTTCTATTTTATGATACTGTCCTAAAATGGCAATCCAAGTCTATCGTCCCAAAACGCGACTAACGAAACACAGCCGGGACGCCCGATCCGGGCAGACCGGAGGGAATATGACCCCTGCAATAACGGACGCCGTAACTGGAGCCGCAAAAATCTCACTGATTTACTACTTGCTGATTGATTTATTTCTCTGTGGGCGGCCTGATCGACAAAACTACCGATTGTTCCGGCTGTTTTCAACTCCCTCGCTACATCCTAGTGTCGAATCAAAATCTGAATCTGGTACATGGCCGTCGGGAGTTAGGCAGTAATTCAAATTCATATCCCATACCACGCTCTAAACAGGTTAGTTCTCAAGCAGACACTGCCGGATTCAGCACGTAAAGCGTCAATCCTGTGAGTGCTCCCACATGTACTTGTGTATGCGTTGCTTGCCGTACATGTTATCGTTTTCGAGGGCTGGTATCTGCACTCATGTCGAACCAGTATACAGCGGTTCAAGCGGCCTGCTTACCTGAAAGGCTGGAGACTAGATACTAGCTTGCACTATCGCCATGGCAGAGCCTCGTTGCTATTTCTAGTACCAACCTATATGTCTGGGCTTGAGGATCCTATTGACTGAGAAGACTCAGTCAGCGCTCGATTGGCATTTCAATTGGCATGAGAAGAGACGACTATACTTTTAATACTTTGAAAATCATAGTCAGCAGTCCCTTCTTGCAGTGTGATATTTGTAACGAATTTACTGAAGTGGAGGGGGGCCTTTCCTGGTGATGTGTACTCAACAGTCACTTGACCTTATGTATGTAACTAATGTTAGAACGATTTAAGTGTTTTTCATTTGTACTGTTCTTAGCATGAGATCCAAGATTGGATTCGTAGAACAAGTTGACTATATAGCCATAGGGAAGTATGAAATGAGCAGGCTACGAGGTATACTATTATCTAGTGCTGATGTAGTCCCAGCCACTGCACCAAAATACCGAACGGCATATTGGTCCGGCGTTATGTGACTGATTTCCCAACATTATGCCTACTTCTGTTGCGTGGAGTTTTACATAATGCTTGATGAATCTACCTTCTCTTTTGCTTGTAGTCATACATTACTGTGTAGTCATACATTAATGTTCACACTGTTCACCTAGCTCTCTTAAATTCGGCTGATTTGATACCTCCAGATGTCTCTAGGGGTCCAGTTATATCCGCGAGGTAAGCAATCAGTCAACATGTCAGCCGTCTTGCAGAGTGTGTCCCTCTATAGATTAGTATCTTGATACTTCAATGTTCTTACAGTCTTGCAACTATTGGCGACCTGTTCATAGTTGTAAGAATCATCAAATCCATCGACAATTGGATCATCTCATTGGTACTCCCACATAATAAGGTATATATACAATAGGCTATTCTACATTTGTAGAAGGTGAGTGTACGGTAGCTAAGCTAGGTAGGGTAGGGTAGGGATATCTCTGCATCCGTCTATTATAGTGTATCTAGAAGTATTCTTAGTATTTCAAACATATTATACATAGTCCTAATGTGTATAGACTTATTATATGGCTCATGAGTTTATCATCTCTGTAGCTTGCAGTAATACACCAATTTACTAGATCTTTAGATATCTATCAGTAGAGGTCCTTGACATGGCAAAATCTACACGACCCAAAACCAACGTTATACAATGAAAGAAATGCATTTATATAAAAAATAGCTTGACAGACTCAAAGGAGTTGTTGAAACTCCGCATAAATCCCGTTTCACCACACTCATAAATCGTCAGCATAATAAAAAGAAACCTCAACCACGACCAGGACACTTCAGAGGAGTATCAACATCAACAGCACCGCAGAGCTTTCCATCGCCACCACCGCTTTGCTTCGTACACTAGAACCAAGCCAATGTCAGCACCACACCAGTTAGAGAAAGAGAGATATGTCTTCACCTTTCCAATATCGCATTTACTGTAGATTATAGAATTAGCTATTGTCATTTTCAATCAATCGAGTAGGAGCTTACTGGTTTGTAAGTGCTATTTTGCAATCTCCGCCGTTGCATGTCTATCCATGTTATCAGATAATGGGTCTCAGGTTTTCAATATATAGAATAGAGAGGAAGAGAGAGCGGAGGGGGGTGTATGGAGGGAATAAAGAGAGAGAGAGAAGAACATACACCACAGACGTTCCAATTGTTCGGGCAGCCTCGAGCCTGGAGAGCTTGTTCGCCAGATGTAGAGGCCGGAGCTGCTGCCACGAGGAAGGCAGCAGCCATGACAGTGAGAAGGGTTTTGGTGAGCTGCATTTTCTTTTCAAGAAGTTTGAGACTATTGTTGAAGGGACGGGGGGGGGGGTGGTCAATCTGAGTATAGATAAAGAAGGAGATCTTCGTAGATAGTTAAAGAGAATGATTGCTTGAATTCAAAATCAGAATCAGAGGGCAGGAAGAGGGTTCTTATAGCTATCTTGTGTCTAGCATTGCTGCCAGTTCAGTATGAGAGCAAGATGGTAAGAGACCATGTCAACCAAAGTCCAAGGCTTCCCTTCGAGATGCCTTGTCCCTGATTTCTTCTCTCAACACCATCATCGTCGTCGTCGTCGTCATCATAATCATCATCATCATCGTTCACTTTGTTGCCCGGCATCTGGAAAACTCTCTCCCCATTGGATCCAGTACGCCCGCAATTGGTATGGTATTGTGGTGGTGTGCAGCCGCCCACATCAGAAAAGAAGCCCTATCCATGGCGATCTATAAAAATGGTCAGACATGGCGTGACATATTGGAGGGCTGCGCCAGGAAGTTTATTTGGTTAGATGGGATAGGTTTAAGGACCCACTCGATTTAAGTATACTTGTTTGCATAACAGCCTTATGGGGGTTACCTGCTTGGGTTAGACCTAGAATAAGCATCATCCTCCCAATGTTGTTGGTTTTCTATATAGCATGTATAGACACGCTTGATTTTCAAATCTAGCGGTCGTGATATTGAGCCCATTCCATATACTACATACTATCCTGCTCTAGTAGAACGACGGGCTTCGACGGGAGCTATCAAGTCTGTCTGGTTTTGGAAATCTGCACTGAAAAGTCATTCTAGTATATGATTTATCATGATACTGTTATAAAAATGGAAATCAAGCCCACCATCCCCAAATGCAACTAACCATAACACAGCCGAGACGCCAGATGTAGGGCAAACAGGGGAGGATACACCCTACGCCATCATTGGTGCCATGGCTGGGGCCGCGCAGATGTCACTTACCCGTATAGGTACCTACTTGTTGACCCATTTTATCGTTTGTGGGCGGGGTGATCGACGGTATCTTCCGGCCCCGCTCCACACCCCGGTGCATGTGTCTGTAGTTGGGCTGCGATCCATATCCATATCCAATACGACTCGTCCAAACACGTTGGCTCTCAAGCAAACACTGCGATATTTCGCACGTACAGCCTCATTGCTGTGGTCGCCCCCACCGGCATTTGCATATGTACTGGCTGTCTGACATCTTATCAGCTTGACTTCTAGGACCTGGACTCATGTTAATTCAGTATAGAGCGGTCCCAGCCGTCATTGCGTGTGCAATGCAAGTAATTCGGTCCGATTTCTCGCAAGGCTGCTGTCTAGGTGCTGATTAGTTAGTGACGTCGCCACGGTAAAGCCTCATCGCTATTTCTTGTAGTGTTCGATATGTAGTCTGGATTTGAGGGTCCGTATTGACTGGCTCTTGTCGGTGACGTCTTCTGTAGTACTAGAGGTATTACATGGAATATATCCAAGTAAGTAGTCTGTCGGGTTGTGTACTCAACGGGGACATGGCCGCTCGTATGTAAGTGACCCCGCAACTATTTGGAATTATCTCTTGATGCCAGAGCACTCGCTTTCTTTGTTCTATACCTACTATCTGATATGCGGGTAGGGCTCTAGAGCAAGACTCTAGAGCAAGTCTGTGATAAAACTATATACAAGCATGAGATGAACGGGCAACAAGATATCCCCTAAATATTGTCATTTTGACTCTGCACGTTTCTTGCAACTATTCGCAACTTTTCATAGTGATGTGGTGTCATTGAATTATCAATATTATGGCCTTATTCCATCATACAAGTAACCAACCAATTTTTAATAAAAGCATGCGTTCATCTAGAAGACAAGTACAACTACAAAACAAACAAGCTGGATCTCACCAGGTACCTATATCCAAACCATCCTCTGATTCCCATTTGAGATCACACTGCACTCGGTCTCAGACTATTTCGCGGGGAGATGTCTGCCCCCCCTACTCACTAATCAGCTCAGGGAGCCCAAGCGTGCTAAGGTCAGCTCAGGAGCCAGACATGGTGAGGCGTGGCACCGAACCCGATAGAGGACACCCCCAAACTGCTTAGAACACTAGAAAACATGGTTGAATAACATTGCTGACACATCTAGTCTGGGTATAATAATATCGAATCAACAACAAAAATCAACGAGAAGAAATAGTAGTAGAAGAGGGAGACGGAGAGGTAGTAGAAGGTGGAGCGGAAGCAGGAGTAAACCCACGCACTCTCTCCAACAACCCCTCCACCCGCCCCGTCAACACACACTCCATCGCCTTATCCCTCCCCTGATCCCCAATCACCACCGCGCGGTCAATCATCCCCCGCGAAGAGATCTTAAAACGCCCCACACGGCCGTCCGCCCACGCCATCCGCACATACGTCGCATCCCGCGCGGTAGGCGACAGCGCCACGATGCCGAGTTCATTACCGACTAACCGGGTCATCGCGCCATCATCCTCGCACCATACATCCCGCTCCCACACCCCCTGGGCGTCGGAGTCGCCATCGCCGTATTCCGGCGCGTCGCGGCGCACGATCCCAATCTGCTCGCGGAGCATGGCGATCGCGTCGAGTCGCAGCTGCCAGGCGACCAGCTGGGCGCGGACTTCGCGCACCAGGCCGCGGAGGTCCTGCCTCGCGGGAGGAGCGTGTTTCACTGGGGCGTCATGGTCTGAACGGGCTGTGAAGGAGGAAGCGAGGTAAACGCGCTCGAGCTGGTCGAGCGGGATGAAGGGCGGGATGGTGTGGCGGTGGATGCGGAGAAGCCGTTTTCCTTCCCCTTTGCTGGGGACGTGGCGGAGGAGGATGTAGTGGGGTTTGGGGAAGCGGCCGTTTCGCGCGCAGATGTCGAGGCGGATACCGAGGAGGTTGCGGGGGGATTTGGTGGTGGTGATGCTTGGGTTGGGGTCTTGGAATGGGAAGGCGGTTGCGGAGAATGCGATGCGGTGGTGGTTAGTGTGGGTGTGGGCGTTGGCGGAACGGACGAGTGGGGAAACGTCTGCGTCGAGGGAAGTGAGGGAGAGAGCCCGGGAGGAGGATTGTCGGCGGAGATGAGATTGGAGGGTGGATGAGGAGAGAAGGCTGGACGCGAGGAGGGTTTTGCGCCGCTTGAGAGCGCGAACTAGTTCTATTAGTTGTCGCTATTGCGTTTAGGGTGGATGGGGAGCATACGTTCGCGACGAATGGAGTCAATTTCAGAGTCGAGTTCCTCCTCGAGCTGGGTGGGGGTTGGGGAGTCCATTTCGCTTTGTGGGGGATGATGATGGGGAAGTTGAAGTTGAAGTTGTTGTTGTGACGATAGCTGTTTGTTGATACACGTGACCCGGCAGATGCAGCCACTTCACCCTCAATTTCTCAGTCTGAATGGTCTCACTTCAACCTCTCTTGCTTTGACCTTGTTCTACTTGTCTTAATCCGTTCAAGATCCATACAGCCGATGTTGACGGCCATCAGCAGAAACGCCCAATCCAGGTTCTGACTAAGATCTTCCGTGCCTGACTAAAGGCCAGCTTGCCTCAATCGGATCTTTGTCAATACTAACGCCCGACGCGCCCCTGTTTTCATTCATACCTCGACCCTCTCCTCTCTTGGTCTTCTGTCCGTTCTACTTCCCCTGATAGAGCCACCGTATTATGCCTCTCCGGTAATTTCTATAACCGCCGGATCCATGAAGTCCAAAGGTCGTACGCTCAACAAGCGTCGCTCGAAACCGTCTCTCACACTCGCCACCGGTCGCGACGGCCAGGCGCATGACGAGATGAACAACAACATCGAGATGCGGAAGAGGGAGACCTCCAGCGAGTCGTCCGCCAGTCGCGCCGACCGCGTGATGGCAGGCTCCAGCTTCTCCCTCGACCAAGACCCCCCCATCACCCCCCAGACCCCCGCCATGACCACCACCAGTTTCTCCAGCCTGCCGGCCGCCGATCGCCGCAATTTCCTGCTGCTCTGCGTGCTGTACTTCCTCCAAGGCGTGCCCATGGGCCTCGCCACCGGCTCCGTTCCCTTCCTCCTGAAACCCTACCTGTCTTACGGCCAGATCGGCGTCTTCTCGCTCGCCTCGTACCCGTACTCGCTGAAGCTCCTCTGGAGCCCGATCGTGGACGCCGTCTGGAGCCGTCGCTTCGGTCGCCGCAAGAGTTGGATTACCCCGATCCAGGTCATCGCCGGTCTGGCCATGATCTACCTGGGTGGACGGATTGAGGAGATGATGAAGGCGGCGGGCGCCAACGGCGGCGCGGGCGTCTGGAACTTCACCTACTGGTGGTTCCTGCTGGTGCTGTTCTGCGCCACGCAGGATATCGCGGTAGACGGGTGGGCGATCACGCTCATGTCGCCGCCCAACATCTCGTACGCGTCGACGGCGCAGACGGTGGGATTGACCGCAGGCCATTTCCTGTCTTACACGGTGTTCCTGGCCTTCAACTCGGCCGACTTTGCGAACCGCTGGTTCCGCGCCGAGCCGGCGGAGGGCGGCTTGCTCTCCCTGGGCGGGTACCTGACTTTCTGGGGGTGGATGTACCTGCTGGTGACGGTGGGACTGGCGCTGCTGAAGAAGGAAGACCGGAGCCCGGAGCGCGACAGCATAATGGACGTGTACCGCAGTATGTGGAGCGTGCTGAAGCTGAAGAACATCCAGACGATCATCCTGGTGCATCTGATCGCCAAGATCGGGTTCCAGGCCAACGACGGGGTGACGAGCCTCAAGCTGTTGGACAAGGGCTTCGGGCAGGACAACATGGCGCTGGTCGTGTTGATCGACTTCCCGTTTGAGATCATGCTGGGCTACTACGCCGGCAAGTGGTCGACCGAGTACACGCCCATGCGGCTGTGGTGTTGGGCGTTTATAGGGCGTCTGGCGGCAGCCGTGATGGCCCAGATCACGGTGATGATCTACCCGGCCGCGTCGGAGGTGCCGTTCTGGTACCTGCTGACGGTGATTGGCGAGCATGTCATCTCGACGTTCATGAACACGGTCATGTTCGTAGCGGTGTCAGCATTCCACGCGCGGATTGCCGACCCGGCCATTGGAGGGACCTACATGACGATGCTAGCAACGTGAGCCTCCCTCCCTTTTCCCGCTTCCCTCTGTCTCTCTCTAATCTTCCTAATCAACAGCGTCTCCAACCTGGGCGGTACATTCCCCCGCTACTTCATCCTGAAACTAGTCGACATGTTCACGGAAGCCACCTGCACACCACCCAGCGTAGCGCCACCCGCCGACAAGCTGAAGGGCGACCTAGTGACGAGCAGCTTCTCGTGCGCGCTGGAGCCGGAGCGCGTGCGGTGCCAGAACGGCGGCGGGACGTGCACCACGATCCACGACGGCTACTACACGACCAACATCCTGTGCGTGGTGGTCGGCGTGGTGACGTTCTTCCTGTTTATCCGCCCGGCGGTGGGCAAGCTGCAGGCGCTGCCGTTGCGGGCGTGGCGGTTGGTGGGAGAGAGGTCATAGATAGATCTTGCTTAGGGCAGTACATAGACTAGTAGCATCAACAGTATACTCCAGATTCAATTTGCTCCATTCCACATATACAACTATACTACTTATACTACCACCATTATCGACAGCAATGTATACAACTATACACAGGTATATAATCAAACAGACCCACCCCCCACAACAACATCATTCCCACCTCAACACCAAGCAGCACCAGTCTTCTCCCCCCAGACCTCCCCCACAACCCACTCCCAAGATCTCGCCGCCCGTTCAGCATTCTCACCAGGAACATCCCCGGGCCCCAGCAAAAACCTCGAAAACACCTCAAAAGACAACCATCCCTCCCACCCCAGTCCCAACACCACAGCCTTCACAACCTCCACAACAGGCAAAAACCCCCCACGATGCGCCTCACCCAGAAACAGCCGCGCATTGCGCGACCAGCTCATCCTCGCCGGCTGCGCAGCCTCATAAAACGGATGCTGTTCATCCAGCGGAGCCAGCAGCCTCTCCGCGTCCGCCATCTGCACGACGAACAGTCTGGCAGGGTCTACGTCCGCAACGAGGCGGGCGAGGGATTGCTTCAGGGCGGAATTCGCCGCCGCGATAGATGACGGGCTTGACGGAATATCAGGGGAAGGATAAATCACGGCAGCGATATTAAAAGCATCAACAGCTAGGCCGAGATTCGGCTCGTTCACACGCTGAACAACATCGTAAGCAGCCTCCCAGGTGTGTATATGCGGAGACCAAGCGAGGGCTTCGTATGCGAGCTTGGTAGGCGCTGCTGCTTGTGCCAGCGCGCGCAGATCGCCCGTGATGGTGGTGATATCGCCTGTTATGCGTGGCTTGCCGGTGTGCGGGTCCGGCGGGAGGAAGTTCGATGCGATGAGGATGGTGTCTGTGTGGAGGGCTTGCGCGAGGGAGACCCAGAGGGGGAGGACGTCGGTGAGGATGTGGGCTTGTTCGGTGCGGTTGGTGAGGCCTTCTGCGAAGCGGAGGGGCTGGAGACTGAGGATTTTGATATCTAAGGTTGTTGCTAGGGTGTGAATTTGGGTTGCTGCGTTTAGGAGGGCTTCTTTGGGGGGTTGGGAGTGGGGGTCGGCGCAGAGAGTGGTTGAGGGGGAGGAGGAGGAGCGGGCGAGGGCTTCGAGGTCATCGTAGAAGAGCTCGATGGCGTGGATGTTGTGTTTGGCGCAGGCGTGGAGCTTTTCTTGGATGGTGTAGGTTTGGCTTTTGCCGAGGGAGACGGTTGTTATGGCTGGTTGGCAGGGCATCTCTTCTTTCTTCGGTTTGTTCTGGTGGTGGTAAGATATGGGTTGGGGCATGTATATATTTATACAGGAGAGATAATCAACGCTAACGGTCTACCAGAGTTAGCGGATCGGACAGATCAGATCTTGTCTTGCGCGTCAGTCATCATTAATTGGTTGAGGCGCTCGATCTAGTGGCGGTGGCATGATTCTTGGCCATCAGCTCTAGAGAGATGGGAGGATGTCATCATGGTAATGAGATGAGCATACTATGCTTAATGTCTCTCAGCTGTGATGTCGTAAAGCATATCTCCCAGCCATAGTTCCTCAGCGGGGTACCACTTGACGATGAAATAAACCGAGTCAGCAAGCCAAAAGCCACACGATACTATAGTCCATCATCTATACGAGCAGTGGCATCAATACTCCCCGACGGGTGTTGCCCAACCGGGGAGAACAGACCAGCAGAATAGCAGTTCGCAGAATGATCCACGCGTCAGATCTACACAGCTGGGAAATACTCCCGACGAACCGGATTCGCCGTGCTGAGGATCATCGCGATGGAGGTAGAATCGATGCAGCTGATCGATCGCAGCTGAAGCCGCGACAAGGTTTCATTTGCTGGGTTTCGGATCCATGCATCATCGCCCATCACTGCTGCCATTCGCTGCTGTCACTCCCTACCAGGGGTTCGGGGAGTATTTAATGGTCTTCAGCCCATATCACCGTACCAGCACTTGAAGATCGTCATCTCATTCCATCCGATCTCCGACAGAATGCACCTGAACTTCCTCCTGTCATTTACATACCTCGTCGCCACCACCACCACCACCGCACATCCCAACCCTACCTCCTTAACCGCTCGCGATTCGCTCCGACCACGATACGTACGCTCCCCCTCCCCCAGCACCCACCCCCAATCTCGCCAAAATAAAACAGCTAACAATGACACAATAGTGGGACCTCCGCCTCCAAAAACAAGGCTGCACCACCAACACCACATCCCCCTCCCTGACCCTCTACCACCGCTCCGGCACAGTCGCCACCTCATGCACCTCCCTATCAACAGACCTCGGGCCCAACGGGACGCCGATCGACCTGGAGACGGTGGATAGCATCTCGTGGAAGAGTCCGGATGCTAGTCGGCGGTATGACCTGTGTTTGTTTCGGGATGGGGAGTGTGCGGATGAGCGAGGGGCGGTGGTTTTGAGGAGCGGGTGGGAGTTTTGTTATCCGTTTGGTGGGTGGGTGGGGTGGAGAGTCGTGGAAGGGGGAGGGGGTTGTTTTTGATTCTGGTTGATTTCGGATGTTGATGGGGGTAGTATATATAAGGAAGGGTCGTAGGTTGAGTATGAATGTATGTCAATTGATGGCGTAGTGTGACATCTACCGTATTACAAGCCAGCCTGTTTGAATGGATGGATACTCCACAGGCAATCCAACCAGCCGGCACGATACATATAAGACCTAGTGCAGGGAGTCAAACAGTAGAAGTTGACATTAAAGCACTGGATCACACGTAGAAAACGCGCAAAATAAACAAGAAAGAAACAAAACCGGAAATCAAAGCCGAAATCATCTATACATTTTGTGCTATAAACCAACGCCGTCATTTTTTGCCCTCCATGTCTCATGGGATTATATTTGGTTCACCCGTGAAGACCGCACGTCCGTTCGCGCATCAGCCCACGCCGCGTCTTTTCATCTTCTGCAGGTATTGTTAGTTTACGGGTCCTGTTTCAAACTGGCGTTACATGCCGGCGAAGTAGATGGATCGATGCTTACCAGGATTGAAAACGATAAACTCATGTAGTCCACACCCACCCGGCACCATCGGCAACACAGGCACCTTCTTATCCGTGATAACCTCCAACAGCGCAGGGCCATCCGTATCAATAAGCCACTGGAGGCTCTCCTTGATCTTCGTAGGATCCGCCACTCTCTGGCCCTGGATACCCATCGCGTCGGCAATTTTGATGAAATCCGGGTTGGCCTGGTGCGTATGGGCGTAGCGGTCCTCATAGAAGAGATTCTGCCACTGCGTGACCATGCCCTGCTCTTCGTTGTTGAGGACGATCACCTTGACGCCGATGTTGAATTGCGCGGCGGTCGACAGTTCCGTGAGAGTCATGTTGAACGAGGCATCGCCGTCGATGTCGACGACGAGGGCGTCGGGCTGCGCGACTTTCGCCCCGATCGCTGCGGGCAGCCCGTAGCCCATTGTGCCGAGCCCGCCGGATGTGATCATCGTCCGGGGATGTCTCCAGCGGAAGTGCTGCGCGGTCCACATCTGGTGCTGTCCCACGCCGGTCGTGATGTAAGTTTTCTCCTTGCGGTCGGCGCAGAGGTTGCTCAGCTCCTCGATGAGCGTCTGCGGCTTGATGAGCCCGTGGCGCTCGGTCTTCTGGTAGTCCGATAGCGGCCACTTTTTCTTCCACGCGTCGATCTTGGTGTACCACGCGCTGCGATCGTCCGTTGAGCGGGATTCGACGTGAGGCAGGAGCAAGCGCAGGTTGGCGCCGACGTCGCCGACGATCGCCTCGGTCGCTTCGACGACCTTGTTGATGTTCTTGGGCATGATTTCAAACTGCACGATGCCGCCGCGGTTCTCGGCGGCCGCAGCGCGAGCTCCGGGCGCGAATTTGCTGACGTTGAGGGTGACGCGGTCGTCGAAGCGGCCGCCGAGAGCGATGATCAGGTCCGCTTCTTGCATGGCCATGTTGGCGTATGCGGAGCCGTGCATGCCGAGCATGTGCAAGGACTTGTAGTCCAGCTCGTCGAAGCCGCCGAGGCCTTGCAGGGTTGTGGTCACGGGGATGGAAGCGAGATCGGATAGCTTCTTGAGAAGCTCGGGGCCGGACTCGGACTGGATGACGCCCTGGCCGGCGTAGATGACGGGCTGCTTGGCCATGTTGACGAGCTTGGCGACGCGCGCGATGGAGGCCTCGAGCTGTTTGTGGTTGAGATCCATGGCGTCTTGGATTGAAGCGCTGGGGAGCGATGGAATCGCTGCATCCGTAGGAATCGCCCTGCGGAGGATGCCGGCCGTCACGTCCTTGGGTAGATCGACGAGGACGGGACCCGGCCGGCCGGTGGTGGCGATCTGGAATGCCTCATTGATGCGACGCGGGAGCTCGGCGATGTTCTTGACCATGACGTTCCACTTGGTGCAGGGGCGCGAGATACCGACGATGTCGGCCTCTTGGAAGGCATCGCTGCCGATGCTTGTCGTCGGGACCTGGCCGCAGAAGACGACCATCGGCGTCCCGTCTAGCAGCGCGTCCTGCATGGGGGTGACAATGTTGGTTGCGCCTGGACCGGACGTTACGAGGACCACGCCTGGCTTGCCTGAGGCCCGGGCGTAGCCTTCGGCCATGTGGCCGGCGCCTTGCTCGTGCCGAGGGAGGATGAAGTCGAAGTGCGTGGAATTGTAGATTGCGTCGAAGACGGGGAGGATGGCGCCGCCGGGGTATCCAACTAATCGTTCAATAATCTTGTCAGCTGACTCTAATCATTGTCGCCATGTGTAATGCCGTGCGCTCTCATCGAGACATACAGATATGTTTGACGCCCTGTCGGAGCATCATGTCGTGAAAGATTTCGCCACCGGTCTTGCCGATAAACCTATTGTCAAACAGACCATTAGCTTGCCTTCTCACGACGGCAGAGGAACAAGGGAATCATACGACTCATCCGTGACATTTCTCGACATGCCCGTCAAGGGCTGCACCTTGCTATCATACTGATTGAAAGTAGGGCTAGGAGTGGGTCGGACCTGGCTATTGAACGCCCCACTCATCGCAGACGGTCAGTCCAAAGATTCTCTTCTCAAGCAGATGTTATCCAGGAGAAACACATACGACGCAGTCGACGAAGCAGTGGCGACAGTGGCCTCGGACCTCCGGTTCGAAGGGACCTTGTTGAGTGACTGGGTAAAGGCCACCGCCGTCTGGGACCTCAATGGCCTGGTCTGGCCCACGGCCCTCAGGGCATTTGTTGCCTGGCGACTTCGGAGCATGGTGAGCGTCGAGGAAAGGTTATACGGTGAAATCAGAACTCGTCGAGAGGCGTATAATTCCGATCGTGGGATCGTTGGGATGGAGATATAGAAAGGCTGGGGCGCGAGTGTGATGAGTCATGCATCCCCTTGGGGAAGATCGACACCGCCGCTTCGGGGATCGGGATTGTGGACCGTGGGGGTGATCTCGCCTTGTATCATGTACAGAAATGGGATTCAAGGGTGTTTATCTGCACCACATTGGAAGAAGGAAGAAAGAGAGAGATCAGGATGTGGTTGAACAGCAGGAAAAGTGAAATTCCAATGCAGGGCTGACTAAGAGTGCACGCCGGCACCGGAGACAGGGATGTTCGTCTGATTCAACCATTCATACGCCTAATTTGGCACCGGTAAGCTGGGGGTATTATCCACTACGGAATCCTTAGGAGGATGATCAAAGCTAGTTCTCGCCAGTTTCTCCATGACAACTAGGATTCCGTTAGCGGTACGGAGAATAGGATTTGATGTTGACAGAGTAGCAAAAACATCATTATCTAGGGTATATGGTCTCAACTCTTTGGTCTTCTTTTAAGGTTAACATGCCCTGTAAACCTTGATTCCAAAGATCGTAAGTTCCTACCAGATCAATACCAACCAAGGTTCCCAAGGAGGGGAAATAATATACTGCAATATAGGTCCAGGGCATGACTCGATCTTCGCCGGCTTCGGACTCTTCACATGTGCAAGCATTGTAACATCAGCTGACTGGCGCGTATTCCCTACATCAGGCGTTCTTTTGACTCTTCTGTTTCTTGCCATCCTGTCATTAATTGTAACTTTGACATGGCTTCAAGGTGGATCAATCTCATCAATATTTGGGCTGTTGTCTGCTGGTCTCCCACGAAATAGCTTTTCGATTGAGTGAACATCCATCAATGACATCAAAGTCATGTAATCCAGTGTATCAGTGCCAGGAACTTGGATGGAGATACCTCGTTAGACTGAATTCTTGGAAATCCTTGTCAATGTGAGTAAGGACATGAGTCACAGTTGAGACTATTCATCGGGACTTGTTCTTTCACTAGGTCACTTTGGTTCGTGGTCTGGGTAGGATAGGCAACACCTAGTAGCTCTCTTCGAATTTTTGTATAATTACATATCCTAGGTATGAGAATGTGGTTGAACAGCAGTAAAATGACGTACTGTAATAGGATTGCAGGGATTTGCACTTACTAGTATCAGTTGTTAATGTGGCTCATCCTATTAGTCGATGACATGTCACCATGTAATTCGTGCAGGCGGTTGCCAGGGAGAGAAACATATATCAACGAAATATGATCATGGAAGCCCTGTATAGATATAAAAGTCTTCGTCAAGACAAGAGGTCAGTATTTGCCGAATAGCTCTGCTGGTTTATTGATGCTACACCCACGTCCCTATATATGTTTATACTGAATAAGGAGCTATGCTCTCATAATGCTACTCCCTTGATCACGAGATATCTGAGAGTTACATAAATGGACCGCTAGATCTCTCAGTACTCCCAATCAACAACGTTGGATAATCCCACGGTGTTTGTTATAACTTTCTACAATTTGTCACGCAAAGTCAGAGACTAACAATACATAAAATAGGCCCCGTATTAACTCTCACCCGCACTAAGCATTCAGGTCTTCCCTCGCCCACCGTTCAATCTCCCCAGCAGCACCAGGAGCATACCGCTTATCCAACAAAGCCAGGTGACTCCCCGGCACATCAACCGTAAGATCGGCCCGCGGCCACCGTGGACGCCAAACATCTGTATCCTTGGGCATCTTATCCGATGGATCCACGGCACGCACAAACAGCGTAGAGAGCGCATCAGGCAGGGGGTGTAGTCCAATATCCCAATCCCGCAACGCCCTAAAATACCCACCCACCTTCGCCAGCGCCACGTCCAAATCTCCAACGAGACTGTCGCTGCCCATGCCTTTGGGGTGGCCTAAGCTTGGCGGCACCTGGAGGCGCGAAACGAGTGCCTCGGCCGGCAGCGCGTTCAGCCAGTCTGGATCTCCTCTCCCCGTCATGGTGAGATACGTGTCCACCAGGACGAAGCCCGCCAGCCGAGGCTGCTCGGATTCTGCGTTAGCCAGTTTGGAAGCCACGGCATATGCGACGGTGCCTCCCGCGGAGTAACCTGCGAGGATGATTCCCGGTCTATCTGAGAAGTGTTTCCGGATGGTGTGGACGTGCAGATCGGCTAGCGTGCCGAGGTCACTTGGGACGGCCTGCGCTTCTGGATGTGGGAGTTCGAAGACATCCCTTTTGCCGTTCATTGCAGATGCCAGGTTGCTATATACGCTGAGACCGACGCCCTCGATCTTGATGCGTGGGAAGAAAGGCGCGATGAAGACTAATGGTAGGGGCAGCTCTGAGTTGGAAGAGGCTGATGGACCGGTCGCTAGGCGCTGGGGTTCCGCTGCGTAGCTTGACAGGACGGTCCCTGTCTTGGGGAAAGTTGGCATTGCGAGCGCGGCTGAGGCTAGGAGATCTGCTGCAGCGGTGTACTGTTCCAGTTGTGACAGCCGTCTGTGGATTGTGGCAAGTCCACGGAATATCTCGGGGTTGAGGTCGTCTTGCTCCTCCAGAGCTAGAGTAGTTACACTAGAAGATGGGCTCAACTCGTCTTCCTTGCCACTGTCACGAGAAACTGACGTGTCCCCAGCTGTCGTGGAAGCATCTGAATCCGTGTCGACTTCTGGCTGTGGCTCTGCTTCAATGCGAGGTAACAGGTACTCTACCAGCGCTGTCGTAGTATCATAGTCCAGCGCGAGTGTAACAGGGAGGTAACTGAGCCCAGTCAACACCCTCAGTCTGTTTGTGAGCATGACAGAAGTAAAGGAGTCGAAACCGAGATCATCAAGTCGCTGATCAGGAAGCATATCTTGGCCCTGGTATCCCAGCACCGCGGCAATCTCGTCTCGCACCAGGCCCAACAGAGTGTCATGACGGTTCTCGGATGGCACTGCCGCAATGTTCCTGCGCCATACGGCGCTTGATCCCGACTCCCGTTTGGCATTCGTCTTGGTTTTGTATGCCGGACCAGCAGACGGCACCAGCGGGAAGGGCCCGCGCAGCAGCAACGGCAGAAGAACCGGCTCTGACGGGTTTGTAGCCTGCATATGCAACGCCCTGTAAAGGAGACTCAGACCCTGTTGATCTGTAAACGGCCGAGCGTTGGCAATGCGCGGGGGAATCGCGTCAAGTTTGCTTCCAGCGGCCATCCCGGCATCATTAGCCCAAGGCCCCCAAGCCAGCGACAGGGCAGGCAATCCTCGTGCGACACGGAAGCGAGCTAGGGCATCCAAGAACGCGTTGCCCGCGCTATACGCCGCTTGGCCTTCGTTTCCGAGGACGCTGACGTACGACGAGAAGAGGACGAACGAGCGGACCGTGTCGGGGACGAGGTCGTGGAGGTTCCACGCGGCGTCGACCTTGGGGCGGAGAACACTAGATACTCGCTCTGGAGTTTGGGAGCCCAGGAATGCGTCGCTGACTACACCTGCGCAGTGAATGACTGTGGTGATGGGTGGGTATTGATGATGATTATGGTTGTCCAGCAGTGCGGCTAGCTGGGCGCGGTCACTGACGTCGCATGCTTCGACACGCACAGCTGCATTTGCGCTCCGTAGCTCATCGTATAACTCGCGTGCTCCCGTTGCTTCTATACCCGACCGGCTAACGAGAAGAAGACTTTTGGCTCCATGAGCGTGCACTATGTCTCGACTCAGCATGGCACCCAGGCCACCTGTACCGCCAGTGATCAAGACAGTCCCGCTCACATCGAGAGACATCGCTTGGGGAGGTTCCGTCACTGAAGGCTGTTTGCCTAACCTGGGAATCATGGTCTTCCCACCATGAACAGCAACAATTTCCTCTCTGGAAACAAGCGCAGCCGTTAGAGCCTCTTCAGACTCGGATGACCCATCTAAATCGATGAGCGCCACCCGGGCCCCGCCGAACTCTGCCTGCGCGGAGCGTACAAAACCCCACACAGCGGCAGCGACGAGGTCAATATCGGAATTGCCGCCGGTCGATGTCGCCCTCTCCGTCACGAAGACGAGGCGGACCTCGTCCGCAGCAGGTGACTTATCGGCCCTCCACTCATGCACGGCATGGAGCGCCTCGGCGAGACCTTCGTGCACAGCTTTGCTGACTGCTGTCGCGTCAACGTCGTGGGAGCTTTCGAATCGAACAATCTTGTCCGTCGTCGTAGATGTTGTGGGTTTAGACGCAAAGTCAATCCATTCGAGGCGGTAGAGGTCACCCCCAGCAACAGTAGGTTGCCAGGTGCGCAGCTGAACCTCAGAAATCTTCGCGAGTACCACACCCGATGAGTGGTCCGTCATTGTCATTGAGAAGCTGTTCTCGCCTATATGATGGATGCGTGCTAGAATTGGGCTAGAGGCGCCAACCGCCTCAAAAACCTGGATCCCTCGGAACGAGAACGGCAGTCGAATGTCGCCACTAGCGACCTTCTCTGCTGAAGCAAGGGTAGACGCATGCAATGCAGCATCTAGCACAGCCGGGTGCAGAATGGAAGTCGACATCTGACTCTGATCCTGAGGCGGGTCAATCTGTACCAGTAGGTCATTGTCATGTAGACGCCAAATGGCACGTACGCCCTGGAAAGACGGTCCGTATGTGAGGCCTGCACCACTCAAGACGGCGTATGCTTCGGAAATGTTCACGTCTGATTCGGCCTTTGTGGGGTCTGTGCCGTTTATGAACGATTCTTGGCTGGGGTTGGGCTGCGATATGAGCTGGAAAGTACCTGTGGCGTGCTGCGTCCACTCATGCTGCGTTGCGACGCCGCGGGGGCGTGAGTACACGTCGACGGTTCTTTGGTTCTGGGTGGCCGCATCCTCAGGCTGTGACTCTCCTATGAGTACTTGGATCTCCACTTCTCCGGGTTCTCCTTGTTCCTCGTCCTCTGCTGAAGACAAGTCCAGCGACGCGATGACAATCATCTCATCCAGGATCAGAGAGGAAATTTCAGAACGCTCTGCACATTCCTGAGCAGCCCGCAGAGCAAGCTCAGTAAACGCCGAGGCTGGAACGAGCGATTGTCCACCAATGATGTGGTCACGAAGCCAAAGCTGTCGGGCCGTGGACAGGTAGCCCGAACAGATGATAGTGCCTGTTCCTGGGATGGACGTGGCGTTGAAGATCATCTCATGTCCCAGCCGCGAGCCACCGAAGACACCCGAGGTTCGCTCTTGAGCCTGCTCCGTGACTGCTCCCATGGACGTCACCGGCAAAAGCGGCGTATAGGGAAGCCAATATCTCTGCCGTTGGAAAGCATAGACAGGTAGATCGACAAATCGCGCACCACTACCATCAAAAACAGCCTGCCAGTCAACTGGTACACCGCGAGCCCACAGTTGGCCGAGCATTCCTAGTAGCTTGTCAACTGTGCCATGCGTGGCGGCGGCGTCCGGAACATGTGGAGACAGGACTGCCGACGGACCGATTTCCACAAACACGGAAACGTGCTCCTTGGACCTGAGCTCGTTGACGGCGTCTGCGAAGCGGACTGGCTCGCTGACGTGGCGGATCCAGTGGTTTGAAGAGCGGAGCTGCGCTGCGGCTGCTCGCTTTCCCGTGACGGTGGAAACGAGCGGTATGGTTGTGGGGTTCTCGCTTTCCATTGACGATGGCAGTGCGTTTTCAAGTCCAGGGAGTATGTGGTCCATTAATTGAGAGTGAAAACCGTGCTTAACGTTTCGCAGTACGGTAGCTCTTCGTCCTAGACTGGTGAACCTGTCTGCGACGGCCTGAATTGCCTCTTGTGTGCCAGACACCACGACCGAGGTCTGCGAGTTGACAGCAGCAATACTGGCAATTCCGTCGAATTGTGACAGCTCAATGGCCACTTCCGCCTCCGTCGCCGCTATGCTCACCATACCCCCGTTGGGTGGTAGAGATGCCATAAGTTTAGCCCGCGTGGTGACGATGGTAGCAGCATCACGAAGAGACAAAGCCCCAGCAGCATGCGCCGCGGCGATCTCTCCCAGGGAATGTCCAGCAACAAAGTCTGGACGGATACCAAACGACTCCAGGAGGCGGAACATGGCCACCTCGAAGACAAAAAGAGTTGCTTGTGCGAAGTCGGTGCGGTCTAGCATGCTGCCATCAGTGATGGCATGTACGAGTGGGCACTCCAAGTGCATGTCCACTTCGTCACACGCTGCCTGGAACGCCGCGGAGAAGACGGGGAAGGTAGCGCGTAGCTCTTCCAGTGTGTCTATGGTTGGCATCCAACTGCCCTGGCCTGAGAATAAGCACGCCAGGCGGGGCTTATTACCGGTGGTGTTTGTGTGTGCCGTCATGACATCGGGGTGTGGCTCGCCTTGGGCTAGCCTTTCAAGTGTTGTTTCAATTTGATTGTGCATGTTCGCTCCCAATGCGTACGTCACCGTGGCTCTGTACTTGAGTGCAGATCGCGCAGTGGCAAGTGAGAACGCTATGTCGGCAGGTTCCTGGTTACGGAGGGGGCTGAATGTGTTACTATCAGCTTCTCTCCAAGCCGTCAGCAATGAGTGAGCTTGTGCGCGTAAAGCAACTTCGCTTGCACCGGAGATGAGCCAGGGAAAGGCGGCGGATATTCTCTTGGAAGTAGAGTCTTGCATCTGCACAGGCTCGGGCTGCTCCAAAATTATGTGCTTTAACCTCAAAGTCAGTATACTGTTAAGATAAGAAGAGTGGAGAAGGCTCACGCTATTCGTGCCTCCAATACCAAACGAAGACACCGCAGCCCTCCTTGGTCTATTCACAGACGGCCACTGCCTAGCCTTGCTGAGCAGCTCAACACCACTCCCTTCCCAGTCAATTTGGGGTGACGGTTCACGAATATGCAATGATGCCGGGGCCACGCCATGGCGCATGGCCTGTACCATTTTGATAATTCCTGCGACGGCAGCAGCGGCTTGTGTGTGACCAATGCTAATACATCACTCTGTGTTAGCCATATATCACATGAACATGTCCGGTAATTGTTAAGACTCACTTAGACTTGATTGAGCCAAGTAGCAGCGATTCCGAACGGCGAGCGCTGTCAATGTTCTTCCTATCACCGTTGCCATAGGCCGAAATCACAGCCTGAACCTCAATAGGATCACCCAAAGGCGTTGCTGTGCCATGACCTTCCAGCACGTCCACGTTCTCCGGTGACATCCCCGCCTGGGCCAGGGCGCTCTGGATACACATCTGCTGGGCGGGCCCATTCGGCGCCGTCAACCCATTAGATTTACCATCAGAGTTAACGGCAGACCCGCGGATCAGCCCGAGGATTTGATGCCCGTTGCGTTTGGCATCTGAGAGTCGCTCGAGGAGGAGCAAGCCGACACCTTCGGACCAACCAGTACCGCTTGCATCACTTGAGTATGCCCGGCATCTCCCGTCCGACGACAAGCCTCGTCTTCTGCTGAACATAGTGAACGGCCGTGGTGTGGCCATGGTTGTTATTCCTCCCGCGATGGTGAGCGAGCATTCTCTGTTTCGGAGGGATTGGGCTGCTAGGTGGATTGCTACTAGTGAGGATGAACAGCCTGTTGAGACGACTAGGGATGGACCGTGGAGACCCTTTCAAGGATTCCAGTCAGCTTGTTAATCTTTGGTCTTTGGAAGGTGCCTGGTCGATCTGATGATTATAATGAGATGATTTTGAAAAATACTCACAAAGCAGTACGACACACGCCCAGAGACGACACTGCTGGACGATCCCAGCCCAAGATGTGCTTCCAACTCTATACCATCGGCGAGACTCGTGAGTAAGTAGAGACACATATATGCTGTTACCGCCCGCAGTAATACCGAAGAGAAATAACTCACCGTCGTTCCCAAAGCCGTTCTCTTCATAGTCTTCATACAGAGTACCCACAAACACGCCGGTCTGACTACCCTGCAGCGACAACGGAGCAATACCCCCTCGTTCGGCTAGTTCCCACGTCGTTTCCAATAACAGCCGCTGCTGGGGATCAGTGGCGAGAGCCTCACGCGGCGCCATGCCAAACAGGCCAGCGTCGAAGCGGGCAAAGTCGGGCAGGAAACCGCCGCGCTTCGTTGTTGAGGTATTAGGGGTGTCGGGGTCGGTACTATACAATGACTCGACATCCCAGCCGCGCTGTGGTTTTGTTAGTCAATCATTTGGTGTTTTAGCAAGGAAAGGCTTGGAAGGACATGACTAGTACGTACGTCGTCTGGAAAGTCGGTGGTCGCGTCAATCTCATCTGAAACAAGCTGCCACAGGTCCTCCGGGGAAGAGATGCCTCCAGGATACCGACAGGCCATGGATACTATAGCAATTGGCTCCACTTCACTATCCGCCTTCGTAGTCGGTGTCGAACTGGGCAGAGGTGCCGTTTTAGGACCCAACAATCGGCCATGAAGGTACGTGCTCACAGCTGCCGGGGTCGAATAATCAAACACGAGGGTATTGGGAAGATCATCCAAGCCAGTGAGACCGGCAAGTCGGTCTCGGAGGACCACTCCAGCCATTGAACTCAAGCCCAAAAACGAAAAGGGCTGGTCAAAGTGCCGACGAAGCCAGTCTGTATTTGACTCACTCTCGGGTCCAGCGTCTATAGTGCATGCGCTGACCGTTTCCGCCATTACTAGTGCTTCGATTAAGTCTCTCGACTGCAACATAGACCGGGCAGTGAGCGGTTTGTTCGTATAAGCAGTCATGGTTAATCTTTTCGGTTTACCAATAACGGTCCGAGGAACGGTGTCGATCTCATAAAACGCTAGCTGGTGTTAAAATGTGTATCATTCTAGAGAAAAGGGAAGAAGGCAAATTACCGGTGGGTATCTTATAATCTGGCAAAACTTCACGACACGCAGCAAGCAAGGCCGATAGATCGAAGTCCATGTTCGCAACGCTCTTGACAATAAAGGCAGCAGGAGTCTCTCCAAGCAGTCTATGCGGCATTCCAGCCACGACGACATCAGCCACGCCGGGATGCCGAAGCAAGACATGCTCCAACTCATGAGGATGAATATTTTCACCTCCTCGAATGATGATCTCCTTCCTGCGTCCAACCAGGGTCAACTCCGCGCCAGCTGCTGAGCTCGAGCGAATTGCGATGTCGCCGGTAGGATACCAGCCGTCCGGCGTAAACGGCGTCCGCGTCTCTCTGTAGTACTCGAGCATCAAACCGGGGCCGCCGATGCAGACTTCGCCTTGCTCGCCGTCTTGGACTGGATGCCCATCTGGGTCCACTAGCTTGATCTCCCAGTGTGGCAGTAGCGATATACTGGAATTGTGACGATAGGTGTGGCCCGTTCTGCTAACAGCGATAGAACCGCAACCTTCGGTACACCCATAGTTGTTCAGGAGGGGAACGCCGAGATACTCCTTGATCTGGGCACCTAGAGATCCAGATGCCGAGGAACCTGCGTACATACATGCCCGCAGCCTGGGCAAAAACAATGGCGAGGTAGGATCTGACCGCTTCGCGGCATCCATGAGATCGTGGAAGGTGGTAGGCGCTCCCACGATGAGAGTAGTTTCTTGGGCGTTCGTGTCTCTGAGACTGTCAAACAGCGTCTGATCGGCGTCAGGGAGATACGCGCTAGCACCGACGACCACGGTGCCCATGATACACAACAAGTGGCCGATGCAGTGGAACAGGGGTAGAGGCCAGAAGAAGCGGTCCTCGGGCGTCAGTTCGAATGCTGAAACCAGGCTGTTCACATTTAACAGCCAACTCCTCTGGTTGGACAGTACCCCTTTGGGCAAACTTGTTGTCCCAGAAGTGTAGTGTAGAAAGGCTTGCTCGTCCTCTCTAAGATTGTCGATCTGGATATCCAAGGTCGAGTACTCCGCGTCTTCAATCCAATCTTGGTATCGCGCAATCTGATGCTTTCCCTCTATAGCATCCATCTTGGGGATCTCCTCGGTGCTTAGAATGATTAAGCTGCCTTCCGCAGCAGCGGTGCGCACTGTGGTCAAGTACCGGCCATCCGTGATTATTACACGTGCGCCACTATGCTCCAGAACCTTAGCCAGTTCTGATGATGGTGAACGAGAATCCAAAGGGACTCCCACAGCACCAGCTCGCGTGATTGCGAGCACGGACTCGACAGTCTGGAGACATCTGCCTAGCACGATGGCCACGAAATCTCCTCGCCCTATGCCGGCATGGACCAGATGGGCTGCTAGACGCCTAGTCCGTTTTTCGAGGTCGCCATACGTCTTTGAGATTTGCGCTGTTAGTTATCACCATACGTTTGAAAATACTGCGTGGACAAAAACCCTCGAGCCTTTTGCCTTGCGGGTTCGTGTCTCCACAACCGAAGACAAGGACTGCAAGGAGTAGAGTGCTCTAGAGAGACATACTATTGTCCACCCCGGACCTGCAAAAGCGACCTTCTCGCAAGACTCCCCGGCGTGGCGGATTAGAATATCCGGTATCAACTCGGGTCGAGACATGTCCTCTTGGTAGCTTATTTCAACTTTAGTTCCATAAGGTTTAATGAAATGATTTGTGTAAGGATCGCACGCTGTAGCAATGCGTTATTACGAGGGCTGCCACGACTTGTCAAACGGGCTTAAATACCCCTAGTCAGCTACAATTTGACTCCCTGGCTTTGGGGTGAGATTCTCGCAGTTCATCCTTCAGCCTGATATCCTACCTCTGGCTAGGGCTGCGTCGAGTGATCACAGCCTTGCTCCATAACACGAACCGCTTATCTGGCCCCACTCCGCAGAGGTACATGCTAGAATCTAGATTGATTACTCTCCACTGCACTAGAATCTTGGTGTGTCTCAGAATCAGAAACAAGGACACCGGCCAGGTTGACTTTCACAGACTAAAAAAGCTGACGCAAGCGCCCCACCCTGTATTCCAACTTTCCACCTCAACTCTAATACCGTATTACATCCAGGAAATTGAGTTCAATTTCTATTCTACTCCGCCTCCAGGTTTAACCATTTTCAGTCCCTTGGAAGCTGAATTCTTCCGAAAAACGGAGGACATTCTACACCCGGATTTGGATGAGACTCGGATAAGTGTCAATGCTGCTGAGAAATAAAAAATATATAGAGCTAGATATACACATGCCAAACACTTGATAGGCGTTGTTAACTCGTTCCAACTACGTAGACACAACCTTTAGCCCTCATGCAATCGATCGATCAAGCGATCCACCACATCGTGCAATAGTATTATCCTGTTCTAGCGTGTATGCTAAGCCGCCATGCGGGGTTCCTCCCGCTCGGAGCAACCCGTGGCCCACATGCGTTGAGGAATATCAATTAACCAACCTATCAAATGATATCAACACGACTTAGACTATCCCACTAATCCCTGTAGCCTCCAGAATAATATACTAGCTTCTCCGTATCACGGTTTTGGATTATAGACTTTTCCTATCCTTGTCCCCGTGTGCACTAACCTGCTACAACCCCTGCATCATCGGCTTGGCATCCCCTCATCAGGCCCCTGTCTTATTCTGCAGGCTGATGTCTATTATACAATGCCATTCTTTGAGCATCTGCAGGGGACCCAATCCTGCGGTGAGAACTGATGTATAGTGTGATATAAAATTCCAGCATACGAGTGTCTTATATCATACAGGGGTCACTTGTTCGGCGCGGCATCCGCGGCCGGCTAAATCTGCGGTAGACCCAAGCCCTAATCAAACAGGTAATTGCTCATCTGCGCTCCTGCAACCCCCTGTATACCAACTATAGCCATAAGCCCTACTTTAGCTACTGTGGGTCGTAAACTCTAGAGACCTGTGATGAACTCTGTGAAAACACCCCCCTTGCAGGTCAGCATAGTACCGGGCATCATCACTCCTGGGCGCTACGTGCAATGATTGGGTGAGGCTTCTTAAGACACCGTATAACCAAAGTGTGAATCTATGTATCTATAGTCTCTAACGTGCTCAATCCGCACTTATGCATACGAATGGCAACCTAACTTAGTTACAAGATTAGATAGGTGGTACAGACAACCCTGGGTAGAGTGTGCTTGCTCGGCTATACTTAGGTTATGCTCCCTGTAGACTAAGATCACTAGGTTTCTCCATGTAGAGTAAGCTTACTAGGCGGTATTTCACGTACAGTATTCTTACCTACATCTTGTAAGTTTATGTTTTTGAACTGCGAATGGACTTGGAGCTGATGCCAAGGTTGCATGAAGTAGACTGGCTTCCTTATCCGCAACCACAGAGGCTTTTACAGTCATTACGTTGAGCAACTTCTTCATTCGTATAAGTAGATATTCATCACGTGTGTTGACGTGAGACCCCTTGCTCAGTCGCCAACATGGTCTGGCATCCTGTATAACTGATTTTCTCGTTCTATAGTTGAAAGCTTTGCCTCTGTGCAACAGGTCACATTCAGATCCAAAGAGAGTACTGCGTAGCAACTTGCCACAATGAGAGTCGCCGTCATTGGAGGCGGTCCGGGCGGACTGACCACGCTCAAGCATCTACTTGAAGCGCACAAGTTTGTTGGCGGGGATCCTGTCGAAGCGAAGCTGTTTGAAGCAGAAGAAGGTATAGGCGGCACCTTTCTCAAGCGCATGTATGAAGACGCCGAGGTATGTATGGATGGGCCTTTCAGAGCTGGGCAACAACAGACAATGTTGTCACATACATGGTTGATTAAGACTAACTGACTGTTCCTATCAAGTTGGTATCATCTAAGTACCTCACAGCGTTTTCCGACTTCCGGGCCCGTGAAGACGATCCCGATTACCTGCCCGCAGCGCGATACCTCGAGTATCTCGGCGAGTATGCCACTGCGTTCGACCTGTGGCCATATATACAACTCTCGACCACGGTGACTGCTGTTCGACGCAAAGGCCGCTCCCATGTCATCAGCTATGCCACGCAGGATGGCAAGGAGGGGTCGTGGTTATGTGATGCTGTCGCCGTCTGCTCGGGTCTGCACGTAACACCCAATATACCGTCAATCAAGGGAATCGACAAGGTTCCCAAGTCATTTCACTCGTCTGGCTTCAAGTCGCGCGAGCAGTTTGGCTCCGACACGACGGTTGTCGTCCTCGGCACGGGAGAAACTGCCATGGATATTGCTCATCTGGCCGTGACTGCGCCAACTAAGAGGGTCGTCATATGCCATCGCGACGGATTCAGTGTTGTTGCTAAGGTACGCTGATACTCACAATTCACTCCCTTCCTCCCTACCGCCTGCTTTTGCTATTTCGCTGCAATAACGTGCAACTAACAAATACTGTTCTAGCGAACTCCTAGCCCTGTTGTATTCCCTTCCCTGGCAAGCCAGCTACAGTCGCCGAACCCGCCTGTGCCAGTGGATACATATCTACACGCCAGCCACAAGTGGGGAAATCTTCCAGGGAACGTATTCGACAGCTTGGTTAAGCAGGGCATGTGGCTCATGACTGGTACGAGTGCCGGTTATGATCAGTGGGTGGGCGGTTATCCTTCTCCACGATGGCATACATCAAATGGTGCGTCCCTCCCCTTTGTTGGGGTACCTCAAACTGAGCAGGTACTTCACCAAGACAAAAGTTCAGCTACTAACTTATCTATCCCTACAGTAATCTTTACCAAGTCCAGCAAAGCGATGCCGTATATCAGCAAGCCATACAGAAAAGACACGATACTTCAGCGTTTGCGCTCTAGCATCGTTCAAGTGCCTATCCCCGAGACACACGGCCGGCATATAGACATAGCGCCCTGGCCGTCCCACATAGACAGCGAGGGTGTGCTCCACTTTATCGACAACGGTCGACCAGAGTATAAGCGCATGGAAGAAGCCGAGGTAGTACGACCCGACGTACTCGTCTTCGGCACAGGCTACACCCAACGCTTTGACTTCCTCGACTCGACATACCCAAGCACTTCGGACTTAGACGTACGAGACGTCTGGCGTCGGGACGAGCCAAGCGTGGGCTTCATCGGGTTCGTTAGACCCGGTTTCGGCGCGATCCCGCCCCTGGCAGAACTGCAGGCGCAGCTTTGGGTGCTGAATCTTCTCGCCCCCGAGCGTCTGCAGCCCCTTCTGCCCCAGGACGAGCCGCACTATCGGCTTGGCATGCCGTCGGATGCGCGCATCAAGTACGGCGTCAGCCACGATGACTACGCGAACCAGTTAGCTGTCGACATGAATGCCTCGCCATCGTTTATGGATGCTGTGAGGATCGGAAGCTCGCGCAAGGAGTGGTGGCGTCTTCCGCTGGTTTGGCTGCTCGCGGCTGAGTTCAATACCAAGTTTCGCTTATGCGGGCCTTGGAAGTGGGATGGAGCGGTCGACGTTATGAGCGGTGAGCTGTGGGATGTTGTTAAGCGGCGAGGTGGGCTGCTTAAACAAATTGTGTTATCTGGTGTGCCTCTTGTAGTGTTTGGGTCTCTGCATTTGGTGTTGTGGATATTTACGTCGTTGTTCAAGCCATCTAGATGGTAGTCTACTGGGTACTATGTTTTGGTGACTTTTAGTGATATTTTTCACTGTCCTTACTGTGAATATTCAAGTTACTTCATAATACACTCGAATGTATTTCAATTGTTTTCCCTCCAAGGTGTATAATGTGGCTTTCTGCAGTACTTCGCTAGTATATCAACTGTGATTACCTTATGATACCAATCAAGTCTCGTTCAATAAGTCTAGACAGTAAAACCGGTTTGTCGAATACTATATTGCCAGACTCGACGCAAGACACACATTACACCCTCGTCGCAAGGAGCAAAACCACAGGCCAAGTCACCGGCAGAGACTTGCCTCCCAAGACACGATCCAACTCCTCATACCAGCCTTCCAGCTCCAAATCCTCCGCCTTATCCTCAAACCAAGTGGGCAAATGAGCCTCGAACCACCTGCGCACCTCAGCAGCACCCCACTGCATCTGCCAAAACCCAGGGTCCGTCTTCGAAACAACCTCTTCGGCAGGCCCTACACAATTCACCCTCTCAACCGGTCCTCCAAATTGACTCTCGTCATGAAAGAGCATCGTAGTCTGCTCACAATTCCACTTATACCTAACCACATCTCGCCACTGCGCAGTAGGAAACGCAACATTATCCAGCTGCGAGGCAATAGTGCGCGTAGACCGCTCCCAAAGCGGCCCGCTCACGCCGCCTATCTTGTTCAATAACCGCGTGGAGATGCGATAGAAGATGCGCTGGCACGCCTCGTTCACGGCGGTATCAGGCCCAGCAAATTTTGGCCGCCCGTAGAACCACACCGCGCATGTTCCACCGGGCGCGAGTAGCTCTGCGAAGCACCCGATGGCTTCCTCAGCGTCCATAAGCGGAATTGCTTCGGCGTTGGCAACGAGGTCAGCGGTGCGTGGTGGTGATAGCCCTGCGAGAGCTAGATTCTCGCCTTTGCATTCTGCAAATCTGATCTTGTTTGTCTGTTGCTGGCGTTTCTGTGCGGCGTTGACAGTGTCAGGACTCGCGTCTGTGGCGATGACCTGTTCAAAGCGCTGTGCGAGCACGGCCGCTACGTTTCCAGGCCCAGTGCCCACGTCATGCGCCAGTGCCCAACTGTCACTGCCTTTTTGGGCGTGATGTTCAAATATAATGCTGTAGAAGTCGGACGAGTACGTTGGACGAGCGTCTAGGTAGGTGTTCCAGTACTCGGCATCGTAGCTCGCGAAGAGGTCGTCTGTTGCGTTTGACGTAGCCATTTCGAACACACGGAGATGGTGCTGGACCGAATATGAGTGGCTAGTATGTAAGTAAGCAGCTTTATTGCTCGGGTTGTATGATACGTTGCACTTATACAAGTCGCACAGCTCGCCGCCTATTGTAATACTGTGGATCGTCCACTCGGCCAACTCTTGTGTTAGTGCGATGATTGAGTTTCAACAGTACAGCCAAGTAGTAGCTCGCCTGGGTGTATTTCGAATGTACATAAATACAAGCCACTAACTTTCTTAGGCAATTGGCGTATAGAACCTAATGCGACCCCGCACCGCGCGTGCTCAACCTTGCAGTTCCTCAACCTTGTAGCTCACCGTGGATCCAAATGAGACACGATATGGTTGTCTGCAGTGAGACCCCTGGCTTACGGAGTGGATTCAACTCACCCCTGACCTACTAGTAAGATGGGTAATGTCTAAATACTGTATGCGTCCGTATTGCATTTCTCGGGACCAAAATTGTTTACCCACGTCAGTGAGACCGACATAGCAGTTTGGACCTACAATTCTGCCCTCCAATATGAGATTCTTAGGCATCAGCGGCGGCTCCGCCGGGGGCAACACAGAGCAAGCTCTTCTCGCCGCCCTTCGAGCGGCCCAGACTGCGGCGAAAACACCAGCGACCATTTCCTTAGTCCGTCTCAAGGAGCTGTCAATCGGTTCTGGAGCCCTAGATGGCCACCTTCCTCTCCCCGTAGTGGGAAAGTCGAATAGCACTGGGCCAGTCTCTGACGACCGTCCATTCATACTCGACCAGATCATGGAAGCCGACGCTATCATCCTCGGTGCTCCGTGCATAACGCGCACCATCCCATGGGAGGTCAAATGCTTCCAGGACAGCACGCTAGGACCATTCCAAGACGTGACGATGGCCCAAAAACTGGTTGACGCAGGCAAAGGCCATCTAGTCGACCAGCGCATCTTCAAGCCGAGAGTCCTTGCGCTTGTGACATTGGGTGGAGCTTTCACAACCGAGTGGGCGCCATTTACGCTGCCCCTGCTGCACCAGGTGTTTTTCCCTCTGGGTACCCAAATTGTCGACCAGATGCAGGTGTTTGGCACGGGTGTTCCGGATAGTTTCCTATTGAACAGTGAGGCGATGGTTAGGGCTGAGGAACTGGGTAGGAATTTGGCGCAGCAGGCCCAGGCGACGACGGAAGGGGAGGCTACATATGTCGGTCCGCGGGGCATGTGTCCGATTTGCCATCTCAGTATGTTCAACTTTGTCGGTCGAGACGCGGTAGAGTGCGCTACTTGTGGCGCCAAAGGCAGGATGGGCGTCGGTGACGATGGACATGTTGAGTTTGTGACTGATTCCGAGGGCGAGAGCTTCTCTGTGCTCAGGAGGTCTGGATTGAAGAAGCATTTGCAGGATCTCGAGCAAGGGCTTCAAGCGGAAGGGGCTTCCACTAAGGTGTTAGATATCAAAAATGAGTTACTAAAGCTGGGCCAGAGCTGGGTCGTTGCGCCGCCGAGCCGAGGCGGGAGGTAGAAATAGGTATTCACGTCGAAATATATATTGAGAAATATATAGATAGAAGCCCTCTTCCATGTACAGGACAACGCAAATTGGACAAAAGAAATTAATCTTAGCGTCCACGCTCTCCAAAGAAATCAATCGCAGCCTTTTAGCCCTAGTCCACACGTGTAACCTCCAGCAGACTCTCAGTGTCCGGCTCCAGCGTCCATATCTTTTTGATTTGCAGGCCGACTGACTTCATAAGATGGTACCACTGCTGCTCAGTTCTCTCCACAGCAGCATTGATAGCCATGAGCATAAAGTCGGAGTGGGTGGCGAATGAACAGGCGCCTTTGCGCGGTATGCTGAACTCATTTATGAGAAGCACAGAATATCCCGGCGTCATGGCGTCTCGGATATGCTTCAGAATCACGCAGCAGCGGTCATCGTCCCAGTCATGCAGCACGTTGCGGAGGTAGTATGCTCGAGCGCCTGTCTTCATATTAGCCTGGCCTTACTTCTCGACCTAGGAGTGGGAAGGTAATAGTGTCGTCACATACCCTTGATCGGGTTCGGTGTGAAAAAGTCATGCGCCATGGCCTCCATGCCATTCTCAGGGTCTACTCGCGCAATCGTGGCCGGAACATCCTGCAGTACCATGCGTCCTGGGATGCCTGGATAGCGTCTCTTGACTTCCTGGATCTCATGGCCTACGCTACCACCCACATCGACCATAAAGACGGCATCAGGATCCCCGGCGTCAAAGTCAGGAAGTAGCTGTTGCTGGAACGGATAAAAGTCGAGCCAGTGGGCATGTCCGTCCCGCTGCGTCGACATGAATCGGTGGAACGAACTGAGAAGCTCTGGGCGTTTCCCCAGCCAATCGAAGTAAGGCTCTCCGTTGAACTGTCTGCCGAACCACATCTTAGCTGGATCTGTGGGGTTTCTGTAGCCAGTTGCTCGAAGACATTCCGGCAGGGACTGCCAGCCGGGATGGTTTATGTTGTGACTGTTTAACAATTTCGTTAGAATGTCTGTCCTTGTGGCCAAAAACCGACATACACTCACAAAACATCCAGCCCTGACTGGCCCTTGACCGTTGTAAAAGCACGGGTGACCTTATTAGGCTCATAAAGCTCAACCCCGACCTCACGCACCGCATGAATTGAAGAAAGCCCTCTCATGATGCGAGCCAACAGCACCTCGTCGGCCCCTGAGACCGACATTAGCTCCCCAAGTGTCACGGGCGTGGAGCTGTCAACCAGTTTCCGGAAAATGCCCAGGTCAATGCCCATCTTAAGCAACAGGGGGTCGATCGTCTGGTGTCTCCATTAGCATTGACTTGAGATTACATGGAAGGGGGGTTCATTTCTACCCCGTACAAGTATCCTTCTACAATTTGGCCCTCATTTTGCAACTCATTGGTCAATTGTCGCGCCGCGCTCAGAAGCTCTCTCCTTGACTCGCGGCTCGCGGGGCTCTCCTTGTCGGTGCTTGCATGCTTCTTTACAGTCTCGCCGAGACTTGTTACCGTCGCGAGCAGTTTACTAACTTCTGGGTCCATGGTCCGTAGGTCAAAATGTATCGCGATGTTTTTTGGGATGGGGCATATGATTTGATAGCAGTTTCTGTCTGCACACACCACCGCGAGCTGTACTGGAACATGGACCTTAATTCTTGGTCCAGCCCCTCCTTCAGTGCTCGTGCTCCAGCTCCACGTCAGTGCCAGGCCTAGTTTGTAGTCCTACACATATCCCTCTTGGGACTGCCTGCAAGGGGGTCCAGTGGCTGCCATGATTGGGCTACGAGTCACCATAGACCAACAGTAAGCTGCATCAATGTGGACGCTTGTAACATAAATCATTCATTGCTATCCTCAAGATACAATCACTAGTGGTAATTAAAATGGTAATTATCTTAATAGACGAGATATAACATTCTGCAGGGATCAACTGCCCCCTGTCACACTAAAATCTCACTATCTCTATAAACTCTATCTGGTCAGAAACACAAATAGGCTAAAGGTTAAAATCCTTTACTCGGAGGATAGGCCGGCCGATCACCCTTTGCGAATGTGTTATCTCTCCAACAACATGCATAAGTGCTGATTTCACAAGTGGGGTATCGTGCTTGAGTCAATTGATGCAACTCTCAAGCTCCTCCTACCTTCTGTCGACGGAGTAGTTCGGGTGAGAGGTCATTAGGCTCCCATTGCTCATCACGAATGTGAAAGGGGGCATGAGGGACCGCACTGTCATGATAGCCCTGATTACTGAACTGGAGGAGCCAGTAAGAAAAACAGGCCAACCTTGTATCTTGTCCCTACTCAAATCATTTGTAATTTAAACTGTAACCACCAGCTATAGAAGGTATAACAGCCAATCCACCGAATCACGCATGATAGTACATACTAACAGTGCATTACTCCGCCCCCTCAGCCCGCCGAACTCGCTCCCAATCCCCAGCCATATAGATGATAGAAGGTTTGATGAGATCAATCTTCCACTGGCCATCAATCTTGACGTAGCGATGCTCCACCCACCCCCTCCCATCAGCCGTCTCTCCGATTTTGCCGCCGAATGCGCCGTCGTCATCCTGGCGCCGCCCGTGGGAGGCCACCTCTTGAAACTCCACGACGATCTCATCCCGCGTGGCGCTCTTGATGTATGGCATTCCTAGCAGGTGCTGCGTTGCCAGTACGGACAGTCCGACGCGATCGGGGGCCAGCCATGTGGCGACGAATTCGTCGGCCGTGTAGACCTTGCTTTTCCATGCGGGGATGAGAAGGCTGTAGTCGATGGTCACCTCTGGTGCTACGGTGGCTAGGAATCTTTCGGGATCCTGAGGAGAGAACTGTATTAGTGCTCGTGGTCTGGGGAGAGGGGGTGGGGGACAATATTCAATTGACTTTTCTGTCTTGGGCATCGGCCCAGGTTCTCGCGACCTGGATCACTGCAATATAGTCGGAGAAGGCAAGATTCTCGGGGATGTATATGTCGAAAGTCATGATCAACAAAGTGCTTGAGGGAGGAGTATAGATTCTAGGTAACTATACAAGCATTGACCTGTAGAGATGTAGAAGGTGAACCAACGTTGGCCGAGTGGTGGAGGCTTTTATATAGCTGGAGGTAAAGTACATCGTCAACCCAGTAGGTACAGATGAAATCCCCCGGTGCTGCCGAATTTGCAGAACGTCTCTAAGTAAAAACAGTTTCCCCTTCTTGAGCGCCCAAGTTTGTTCCCATGTATAGGTTTCATCAGCCCAGATGTTTCTTCTGCTCTCATTAATAAAAATATATTACAAAGCCGATTATTTGCTAACTAGGACCGTTTCTTGACCAGCAACAGCAACGCAACTTTTACCGTCTAGTGAGCTGGGTACTTTCATTAACGCATCCACGCGTGCCTCGTCTGCAAAGAAGGCTGACGCAGTATCTTCGTCCTTGAACCAATATTGCTCCGTCACACCCATCACTCCCCAGTCACCATTGGTAAATGGAGTGCCATCAAACAGTTGACTTGGGTCCGAAGGGGTCACATCACGATTGATGACGTATCTCAAAAGACCCGTTCCAGCACCTATTTTCGTAATATTATCAAGTCTCTGGGCCACCTCCTGCTCTGTAACGAGCTCCCGACTGCTCCTGGTCGCCCGCGGAATATAAACAAACACCATGAAGCGCGATTCCTGGCTGCTGTACCCGACCGGATCAAACACAAACTCCCCAGCAACCTGGGAAATAGATCCCACGATGTCTGGCTCGGTGAAGACGTGGTTTCCTGCGTTGGCGCGATACCCTTCGGATTTCAGGAGGGAGGAAAGTTCTTCAATGCTCGACCACGTCAACACTGCTTGGGAATCCCAGGTGCTGTTGTTCATATTGAATGCGGATATTCTGGGCCTTGGGATTGCCAGGACTTGCCGATAGCCAAGAAGGGCTGGTGCTTTCTCGGCTGTTGCTTTGGTGATTTCCGCGTGCACGACTGTGAATTCGTGGGCGAACTGCTCGTCCGACCATCCTTTCTTCCTCTGGCCCGCCACGCACATTTGGATGATTTTTGAATTGTTGGACATGGTTTCTGAAATTGATGGAGTTGTCAAGATGATAAGGTCACTGTCGCGTTTTCCAGCGAATTGAACAAATACGGGTTTGATAGATAGCCAACATCATAAGTAGGAGGAGGGGGAAAGGAAGACCAGGTAGTGTCTGATGTAAGGCACACCAGGCACATCATGCACCTAGGAGGCATTACCTGGTACTTTGCTTGCCACTGCTAGTGCTTACTATACATCCCACGCGAGGGGGTGGAGATGCTTTGCATGGATGTATTCGCAAACCTTGTCTGAGTAGACGCTGGTACTGACGTGTATGTAAAGTACTGTAGAGTATCTAATGCACATATATTACGACTACCATCACTAGTCTCGCAAAGATAGTAATCACGAAGTGTTGGGGATGAAGATCCACGGGCAGCTTACCGGCTGGGTCTGCGCTGCAGCGCTGTATGCATTGCAATCTTGAGCTAGCTATGATTTGACTTGGTCTCCTTGTATCTGAAGCATGAACACCACTCCTCTTGGAGACTGCTATGCTGGAAACATCACTGACACTAATTCCTTGAATCAAACCCATCATGGATACGACCGAGCTCACACAGGTTGAGGGCTCTATGATGGCCGTGACGAGACTTGCAACACATCCCGTCTTGACATTCTTCGCTATTCTTTTGGTGGCTATCTTGCTCTGGTACATGATTCCGTATTTTACCTCGCCGATTCGCAGCCGACGCGGTCCATTGCTTGCCTGTTGGTCAACTCTTTCGACAATTAGACGTGGAAAGAATTAACCGCTGATCCTCGACAGCCTTAACAAACTACTGGCGCATGTACCATGCTGCAGGTGGATCGATGCATCTCGTGAGCTATGCCTTGCACGCAAGATACGGTCCGGTAGTGAGGATGGCCCCGAACTACCTGGATCTCGACTATCCCTCCTTGATCAGTACGTGTCTCGATAGTCATGGTGTTTGGAAAAAGGTTCGTTCTGTTCATCCAACAGTTTCTCATATTGTCTTGGAAATTCTCTTCGTAAAAAGGGTAAATTAAACATTGGTAAGTGGCACTAACTCTAGCACCAGACAGAATGGCACGGCATATCAGGCGTCAAGCTGGGTAACAAAGTTCTATATAACATTTTCAGCGAGTGCAACCCGGCCGAGCATGCACAGATCAAGAAACCAGTTGCGAAGTATTTCTCTTCTACGGGCGTCAGCGTCATGGAGCCGCACATCAACAACGTGCTGGCATTCTTTGTCAAGCAGCTAGATGACCAGTTTACGGAACTTGCTGGGTTTGGAAAGCCACTGAAATTTGACGAATGGGCTTCGTTTTGTAAGATTCCACCTACTTTTCCATAAAAACCCACGTACAGCTAATCTCATACGACTGTGCCAAAAGACGCTTGGGACACTATTGCGCAGAGCACGTGGAGCAGGCGAGCCGGCCACCTCGAACACGCGTTCGATTTTGACGGCATGGTGGACACGTCTGCGAGAGTAATGGACTATCTGGTTACTGTTGGAATGCAGCCTAGTCTGGATAGATTCCTCGACAAAAACCCCATCTTTCGCATAGGCCCACCGAGTTTTGTACCCGTGGCTAACGCCGCCTTTAACCACCTCACGAAACGGCGCAGCGGCGAGGACGACCACGACCCGTCCAAGCCCGACTTCCTGGACTGCTATCTCGACGCCATGAAGAAGTATCCGGAAGTAGTCGACGAACCGCGTCTGATGTCGTACATTCTTGTCAATGTGGCTGCTGGAGTGGACACGACAGCTACGACACTGCGCGCCATCTTCTACCTCGCCCTCAAGGACAGGAGGGTATGGGAGAAGCTGGAAGCGCAAATTCTCGACGCCAGCTTTACAAAGCTGCCCGTGTCTTATTCCCAGGCGCGCGCCGTGCCGTACCTTGAGGCTGTGATCCGCGAATCCATGCGTCTGTGGCCTGGAAGCTGCTTTGCGCAGGAGCGCTATGTACCACCTGGGGGGCTAACTCTTCCCGACGGCTCGTTCGTCCCCGAGGGTGTGGCAGTCGGTTTTAATGCCTACGTAATTCACAGGAATAAAAACGTGTGGGGGGACGACGCTGAGGAGTTTCGACCCGAACGCTGGTTACAGGGTGAAGACGAGTCGACGGAGCGTTTTAAGGATCGGCTGCGTTTGATGAACAGCAGTGACTTGTCATTTGGGGCTGGAAGTCGCAAGTGCCTTGGTGTTAACTTTGCTACGATGGAGGTTTATAAGACGGTGGCGACCTTGATTGCGGTGTTTGAGTTTGAATTGGCTGATCCAGCCCGGGAATGGAAAGTACATAACAGCATGTTCCCTAGACAGTCCGGTATTGATTTGAGGATTAAGAGGAGAGAAGGGGTAACGGTACCACTGGGACTAGATCTAGGTAAAGAATTTTAGAGCTACGAGCTCACAGGTTACTGTTAACATGCCCACCGTATATATTGACATTTGACTGGTATTTTATTTAATGGGTGGTTGCCAATATTATCCAAGCCAACAGACTAAGCTCTTGCACATTCAATGACGTGCGTTGCAACTCCCTCTCCTCGATGAAACTTGATCACTTTCATGCCAGCAGCAGTCACTAGGTTCGTAAAGTCATCCTCACTCCGCTCTTTGGAGCCGACATTCATCATACAGATATCCATCATGGTCGTGTACGGATCTGGCGGCGTCGTTGTGATTTGCTCGCAGATGAGAACTCTTGCGCGCGGGTCAGCTGGTAGAGCAGCGGTCAAGTGTTTAAGCAATTTGATGGAAACCTCATCGGTGAATCCGTGGAGACACCGGCGAACATAGTATATCAAAGCTCCTTTTCAACATGTGAGCAGACCGTTCGAGTGGAAGGAAGGGGTTGGTATGCTCACCTTTGAGAGGCTGCCCCTGGTGGTAATCAACGGGCATTTTACGTACCTTCTTCAACACCGGATTGTCCAACGCGTCTGCAGCAGCTATGACATCCGCTCTATCCTGCAAAACACATCTATCAGGCGGGATCGACGACTCAGTGTGCGCGATGATCTCCAGAAGCGCTTGACCAAGATTCCCCCCCACGTCTACAATGAGCGGCATATCCGAATCGACTTCACCTTCCGCCACTGCTTCCCCAACCCACGCAAAGTCATATATGCCAGCTGCAGGCATCAGTTCCGGAATCCCCTGCATCCCGTCAGCAAAGTCAGCCATCCGCTCCGGTCCACCCCGCGCGATGACCTCGTAGCACGTCAACTCGCCATCTGCCCCCTCTGCAAAAGTCATCGGCACAGCGGTCTGGCCGCTAGGCTGTCGCGGCCCGTATTTGGCAAAGTAGCGCGGCCATTGAGTCCATGGGACGAGAGTCTCGTCGAAGCTCATTGAGAACCATACGGCTGGAGGGGATCGATGCGCAAAGGCTGTGCTCAGGCGAGTGTGAGCTACGTGCGATGGGGAGGTCTGTCGGAGTTTGCCTGTCGCGACGAGCATTTGGCCCATGCGGGCTTGGATGAGGTTAGCAGATCATTGTATTTCATATATCGTTTTGTATGAAAGGGTGATATAGCAGACTCACCAATTAGATTCTTATCAGCGTTGATGCTGGCGGAGAGATCCTCGTACGAAATGCTGCCACTGGCGGGGATCTTGTCCAAAAGCTTCCATTTCTGAAACATACGCAGGCATGCCATTTCTGCCATCTGTAGCTTCATAAGCAACGGTTCAAATGAGAGATTCTCCAGCAGAGGGGAAATACATTTATTGTGTACTGTGCAGCGACGTCACTGGGGTGAGTCGTCTCATTGATGAGCTCTCTGGCGATGTCCGCTACCTTTCTTCTGGCATCATAATCGTCCCTTCCAGTTTGCGATGAAATACGTCCGACTTCGCGAGTCAAAGACTTGCAGAGTGTCTCGAGACGTTTACTCGCCATTTTGATAAGAAGGTAACACAACGATGAGGGAAGGCAATGCCTCTGAACTACGCTGTCGGTATAGACTTTTCGACTTGTTTAGAAGGTTATTTTTCCAAGTACTAAAGACAATGTGATGAGAGTAACAAGGTTTCGTCTACGTGAATATGAAGCGCGCTAGCAGCACCATTTGGCTGCACTGCCTGCTGGAGCCTGGCAGAAGGCCCTGGCGGATAGCAGATCGAAGTATTTAGGGTACCTAGGTAAAGAAAACCATAGTATTACCAATACCGGCTGTGTTATGCTCGCAACGCTGGTGATACCTCCATAGCTGTCTAAAATATAGTGCCCAGATCGAGAACGTTGTCTTCCCCTCATCTTGGCTGCGCCCGTAATCTGAGGTGGGCGCGCTCTCGGTATGACTCCGTAAAGAATATAGTGCATGGTTGCGTGGCAAATTACTGCAGCACAACTAGCATTAGTACGCTGCAGGCCCAGGGCCTCTAGCCCGGGGGTCTATGCGAGGTGGGGGCGGGGGCCTGCACCAGAAGATGACGACTCCTGGCCGGATGACTCCTTACCGACGCCGTACGTAGCAGGTGTCGAAGGGAGTGGCCAATGAATACCTTATGCTACTTAGAGGGTTTACAGGGTCATACAGGCTCGGTTTCCATATACGAGGGCGCTACAAAACGTGGTAGAAACGTGAGCGAAACTCTCGCTGAAGAGCGCAGAAATCCGACATGACACGAGAACACTTCTTGGAAGGGAAGGACATCGTTGTCGCTGGAGCAGGAGTGGCAGGTCTCGCATTTGCACTCAACCTACAGAGACAATGGGGAGACAATGTTCCCCCACTGAGGGTGGTCGTCTACGACCGCGACAAGCGAGAAGTCGACCTCAGGCGGCAAGGATACTCACAGACGCTGAGTGGCATGTATGTGTCCGTACACGACCCGACCGCAATAGTGGTCACTGACATGTGGAATTTACAGCAAAGAGGACACCGGGCTCGTCGTCTTGAAGCAACTGGGGCTCTTGGACAAAGTCATAGATGGCGCCGTGATGACAGACGCCATCAGCAAGTTCACGATATGGGACAAGGACTGGAACGCCTCCCCCAGCTTCAACGTGCCAGCCTATGGCGACATGCCAACCTCCGCTGTGCGCATCCCGCGACGCGTCCTGCGAACGATTCTCATTGAAGCTGCGGAGGCTGCCGGTATTGAGGTTCATTGGAGTGTATCGTGTGAAGACTTCGAGTACCTCGACGACGGTCGGGTTGGCATACGCCTCCGCAACGCAGATGACGGTGAAATAATCGAGACAAGAGCATGCGATCTACTCGTCGCTGCGGACGGCGCAAACAGCAAGATCCGGACCATCCTACGCCCCGATGATACATTGCAATATACTGGCCTGATGATGATGGGCGGTGTTGCCGAGTTCCCCCACGGCGCTGTTCCAGATCACATCAGAGACAAATGGGGCATGGTTCTCACAGACCAAGGTATATCCTGCTTCCTTTCGCCTACAAGTCAAATGGGATACCATTGGGGGCTCAGCTGGTGGGAACAGAGTCCTCGCGCGCCTCCAGCAACTTGGTCCATCGAGTATACCCAGAGCCTGAAGTCAGAGGCCCTCCGGCGCAGCCGAGTGATCGCAGATCCCTTTGCCACCATCGTCAAACGAACCGACCCATCCACCATGTTTATCATGGCTGGAATGGACAAGCGACCCTTCAGCCACGAGCATCTGAGAAAGGTAGTCTTCATCGGCGACAGCAATCACGCCTTCTCTCCACTGGCAGGCAACGGCGCCAACGTGGCCCTTAAGGACGGTTATGACCTGGCTGAGCAGCTTTGTAAGGCGTCTTGTATGGATGATGCTATTTCACAGTTCGACCGTGAGAGTGTTCCGAGGGCCCTTCGCACACTTGACAGGTCACATGAGCGCATCGCCAGCGCACACACCACACAGCTTGATCGCGATCAGTTTACGGACGGCTCGGGTGCGAATGACTTCTTAGTTGGACAGCAGCACAGTGACAAATAGGACTATGAAAGTAGCTTACACTGTGTATTGGTCTCTTTGGGTCATGGCGTATCCATATTATTCTATGTGTCGGAGGGACCTCATGTGTCTTGGGAAAAGTTGCTCGGGACTCAGACCAATGGCATTGCACATCCTGTATATCAACGTCTTGTGTGCTACAAGAGTATCTATAAGAAATAGCTGCATTATTGCTTGTCTGGTAAAACCTACAAATCGGAACCTACCTCCGCTATCACGAAGGCATGTTGGAAAATGTTTGTAACTATCACTGTACATTGCTCTTTTACTATAGTTATCATGGGAGCAGATTGATATATGAGCCTTGATATAGTGGTCTTTCTGTCAATTCCCCCCAGTCCGTTTGCTCGTAACCATGATGATAAACATTCTCTGATGTATATTTTTTACAGCCTGGACACTGACCATGCGTGTGGTTTGTGATAATAGATCGCATCCACTGATTACAGTGTATATCATATAATAGTAGACACTGTGTGGTGGCCTAACTCTTTGGCAGCTATAGGATCTGCTTCCTACACTGTTACACATCATATTAAAACATGGACTGTTTGTTTTACAGGTGGAGAAACTGTTTACAAACTAAATAATACCAATCCATACCCAGACTTTATTTATAAATAAATAACAACTAGTTATGAGTATCTTATAACTCTGATTCGCCCAGTCACTGCAATGACCCGCCTGGTTAACAGTGTTAAAGGGCAGCTTCTGCCACATCTAATCTAACAAGCTAACCCGAAGGACTCAACAAACACAGCACACCATGAAATCTTCACCGGGTCTTCACATTATTATCGTCGGCGCAGGCATCACCGGCCTGGCTACAGCAACATCCCTCCGTCGCGCCGGCCACACAGTCCATCTCTACGAAAAGTCCGCGCAAGACAACGAAATCGGCGCTGCAATCTACGTGCCGCCCAATGTCAGCCAGTTCCTGCTACCATGGGGGCTGGACCTAGACAAGTGGGGCTTTGTCAAGTCGCAAAAGGTCTCTTTCCTGCATCATGCCTCCTTAGAAACAAAAATGACGCTGTCGGATGGCATGACCGCTAAGGGGCTTACTGGTGCAGAGCTGTACTATGCCCACCGCGTTGATTTGCATGGCTGCCTCAGATGGATGGCTACGCGACCTGAAGGTCCAGGGAGGCCGGCTACAATCCACCTTATGAGCAATGTGGTAGCATATGTGCGCCCTGATTGTCTCGTTTCCATGGAATATGCTGACCTATATGTTCTAGGACCCTCTTGCCCCGTCTATCACTCTTGCCAGCGGGGAGGTCATCTCCGCTGACGTCGTCATTGGCGCGGACGGGGTGCGCTCTGACGCCGTCGAGGCCATCATCGGCGACAAAGTCCAGACAATGCGCCCGAGGTTTGCCAACACATGCTACCGCTTTCTGGTGCCTGCGGATGCGATTGAAGCAGATCCTGCAACTCAATTCTGGAATGAGGGCTCGGACGGCTGGTCCCGTGTCATGATTGAAAGCGTGACGGGGCGCTCAGTAGTGTCCTATCCTTGTCGAAGGTTCTGACTCTCCCAGCAACATCTAGGGCCGTAATTAACTCTGGGTTCTAGCAACACTATCCATAACTTTGTTCTCATCAATAACGAGGAAAATGATACAAATATGTGTGCAGAAGGTAAGAAAACACCATCGCCTAGTAGGGACCGTTTGACTGACCGATCGCTTACAGACTGGCACGCCCGCTTCAAAATTCCCGATATTCTCAAGAAATTCTCGGATTACGACCCCAGACTGCTCAAGGTTCTAAGGCATGTAGCTCTCTAGATCTTCAAGTCCTGTCCTAACAAGGTAATAGCAAAGCGCCAGACGCACGCCGCTGGCCACTGATATACCGTAAGCCCATTCACCAATGGACTAAAGGATGCATGACGCTGGCTGGAGATGCTTGCCATGCTATGCTTCCTTGTACGTTTGCACTACATTCCATCTGTATACTCATTGAATGCAATGCTAACCCTGTGTAGTTCTAGCTCAAGGCGGGGCCCAAGGCATAGAAGACGCCGTGGCGCTTGGAGTCGTACTTCAAGGGGCGACGACGCGTGATGACATCCAGAAGCGGCTGCAAATCTATCAAGAAGTACGCATGAAGCGTGCATCTATTATCCAGATTCTTAGCAACATGGGTGCAGATCACTCTGTATCAGTCGAGGATCTCAAAGAGTATTTGAACGAGGACCAAATGCCATGTATGACACCAGTCCTGTTCTGTAACCTGTTGTTGCTAATCAACTTGGAAAACACAAGCTAACCTTCTGCTTAGACAGCCAGCATGATATGATGATCCATAATTATAAATATGACGTAGCAGAAGTTGCATTCGAGGCAATGAAGAGATATGATCCTTCATTTAGGCTGGGGAATGATTTTCTCGGCCGGTAGCCAGCTATATATATATAGATGGTTGAAGGTCCTGGATTGCCCTAAGACAAGACTCTACGTGAATTGATAGAGACCCCATAACGCGTATGACATAGTTCTGTTGCACAATCCAAAATTCTAGAATGCCTTGTCTATTTGTAGTAGGGTGGGCACAAGCCATCCCTGTACGGAGTATAAGGATAGCATTACTCGGATTATCCCAGGAATGTCCTTTGCGCCCTCCTTTTGTGAAAACTCTTACTGTATCTTGTCCAACCAATGGGTTCGCAGAGTGTGCAGGTGCAAAGATCACATCTTCTGTTTAGGGTTATCCAAATGAAGCAAGTCCTATAAATACTTTATCCGTAGACCGTAATGCTTGTTTACTCCGTAGTGGGACGGAAACCGTGGATCGCCGGATGAGGTAATCAAATGTTCGCCATTGATTGGTCAACAGGATGATCAAGAGGAGTCCGGAGTTCGACCCCCACTCCGATCTCCCCCTGTGGGTCCCGTGACCCTCTTTATAAATGATTCATCGTCACCCTTCTTACATCTTCAACAGGCTGTTTAACTTCCTCTCTCGTTTCCTTATACATACACGCATCCGCAGGCATTATGCTGGTGTCGAATATCCGATCGGGAGCTCTGGGGTGGAGCCGACGAGTTCGCTTGGAGACCACGTACGAGAGAATCTCCCCATCGCGTGTTCGCAAATCAACAGATACTAACAAATACAAATCAGATTCAGATGTCTTCTACCTGCCGGGTGCCGTTTCAAATCCGACGAGTCGCTCAACCGCATCTCATCGAAAATCACCCAGCCCAAGTCCCAGGGCGCCTCCCAAGCGATGCTGTACGCCACCGGCCTCACAGAGGAGGACATGTCGAAGCCGCAGGTCGGTATCTCCTCTGTGTGGTTCGAGGGTAACCCCTGTAACATGCACCTCAACGACCTGTCCGGGATCGTGCGCGATTCCGTCCACCGCGCGGGTCTGGTGCCTATGCGATTCAACTCGGTGGGTGTGTCCGATGGGATCAGCATGGGCACCACGGGAATGAGATACAGCTTGCAGAGTCGGGAGCTGATTGCCGATGGCATTGAGTCGGTGATGAGTGCGCAGTGGTATGATGCGAATGTGTCGCTGCCGGGTTGCGATAAGAACATGCCTGGCGTGTTGATGGCGATGGGACGCACGAATCGGCCGAGTGTTATGATCTACGGTGGGAGTATCAAGCCCGGGTGTAGTGCCAAGGGCCAGAAGCTGGACCTGGTCAGTGCGTTCCAGTCGTATGGCCAGTATATCACCGGGCAGATCGATGAGAAGGAGCGGTTCGATGTGATTCGCAATGCGTGTCCCGGTAGGGGGGCCTGTGGTGGCATGTACACGGCTAATACGCTGGCGACGGCCATTGAGACTATGGGTATGGCTGTTCCAGGGAGCAGCAGTTGTCCGGCGGACGATCCCAAGAAGCTGATCGAATGTGAGAACATCGGCGAGGTGGTGAAGAATCTGCTCAGGGACAGTATCAGACCCAGTGATATTATGACCCGTCAGGCGTTTGAGAATGCAATGATTGTGGTGACCATTCTGGGTGGCAGCACCAACGCTGTTCTGCATCTAATTGCTATTGCGGACTCTGTCGGTGTCAAATTAACTATCGATGACTTCCAAGCAGTATCCGACAAGACACCCTTCCTGGCGGACTTGAAGCCATCGGGGAAATATGTAATGAACGACCTATACAATATCGGTGGCACACCCGCCCTCCTTAGATACCTTCTGAAGGAGGGCCTGATCGACGGCTCAGGCATCACCGTCACCGGCAAAACAATGAAGGAGAATGTGGCCTCATGGCCTGATTTCCCTGCCGGCCAGGACATCATCCACCCCCTCAGCAAACCCATCAAACCATCCGGTCACCTCCAGGTTCTCCGCGGATCGCTCGCCCCGGGCGGCTCCGTGGGTAAGATCACCGGCAAGGAAGGCCTGCGGTTCGAGGGCACAGCCAAGTGCTACGACTACGAAGACGCACTCATCGAGTCTCTCGAGCGGGGAGAGATCAAAAAGAACGAGAAAACCGTCGTTATCATCCGCTACGAAGGTCCCAAGGGCGGCCCCGGTATGCCTGAGATGCTGAAGCCCAGCGCCGCCATCATGGGCGCCGGTCTTGGCCAGGACGTCGCGCTTCTCACGGACGGGCGATTCTCTGGTGGGAGTCATGGTTTCTTGATCGGACATATCGTGCCGGAAGCCATGGAGGGCGGCCCGATTGCACTGGCGCGAGATGGTGATAAGATCGTGATTGATGCTGAGAAGGGAGTGGTTGATTTGGAGATTCCGACCGAAGAGCTGGAGAAGAGGAGGAAGGAGTGGAAGGCCCCTCCTTTCAGATACCAGAAGGGAACTTTGAAGAAGTATGCCACTCTGGTTAGTGATGCTAGTCATGGCTGTGTTACGGACGGACCGATATAGATGTCCCGCTGGCTAGAACTCTTGATGGTATTCAAAATAGATAATTTGCCGTACTCCGTACGATTTAGGAAATACTGTGCAACCGCTGTACTTGGCTATGATCATCATCATATTACTGCTCCTTAAGCTAATATGATTCTAAACAGGATCAAAAGGTATATTTTCTTGGTGTCTGGAATTGGGACTCGGCTACTACCCAATTACCAAGGCACGCTGGGAAAATAGATAGAGAAGTATTAGAGATAGAAATATATGGCTAGTAAAAGACAGACATCCCATCAATCAATTCTTATAGATTGTTACGTATCTGGACATGGAGAAGAGCCTTCTCCAGGAGCTAGTCAATTACAACAACTTTGCCAGGAACACACAGATCACAACCGAAATTACAGACCGCCTGACTTTTCTGGGTCAACATTTAAAGGAAGCCTTACAGTGACATGACCTGCTTTATCAGCCTGAACGCACAGCCAAGGTGGTTCGTATCTTGCTAGAGAGTTACAAAATCCCATGAGATTGTAGTTATCTTCACGTGCATCTTATCTCGTCAGGAACCTCAGGCATAGGATACTTCGGGCACTACGCTTTGTTTACACCCTTGGTAGTGGATTGGCATGTGCGAGAAAAGATTATGACACCAGGGACAACTCGGAACAGTCAACACGTACAAACCATGCAATTCTGTGTGCTTGTAAGGGGTCAAGGCGCTGGAGAATTTGAGATATGCTAGCTAAAGGTAGGATTGACTTCAGACTCCGTAAAACAATAACCAACCCACATTTCATTCAAGACTCCGCAGAGGGCATCACAACACTTACAAAGTATGTTGTGTGTCATCTATAATCTCTTTCTAGTGCACATGAGACACAGGGAAATGAATCCAAGCAAGGCCTAGACCGGGTAGACTTTTGAATTAGTAAACTGTAAGGCAGATCGCGTATTTCCTTCTCGAACCAGTGAAGGGAGGGCTAATCGTCACCCACCGCCAATAGATACCATTAGCATGCTACTGTCAAAACCCTGCATTGGTATTTCTTTGAGGCAGGTATACTGCCGGACCCTCTGTATTGCTAGTGACATACACATGATGTTTGGGTTTATAGGGTTTGCTATATCACCTGCAGAAAAGGCGAGTTGATGGGCATTTATCTAAGATTCAGAGATGATCTCCAGCCAAACAGATCGAGCAGTAGCTCTGGTCATCCTCTGAGAAAGCTATTGGTTTTTCATCGGTGTTCCATGGGATATCAACGGCTGGGAGCCGGCCAAAAAAGTATTTATGATCGAGTCGGAAGATTTCTACTTGCATGGATTAGATCAAGTTCCCTACTGACAGAGTTTTCCCGCGGTGTTATCCTGCATAATTTAACAATTGTTGTTGGCTACTCAGTCAGACTCTCATCTTCTCTCCGAGATCGGCCTCTGCTAGGGATCGGTCACTGTGAGAGAGCGAGCCAACGAGCTATGATCCTATTTAATTTAATTTAATTCATACATTGCAATGAACACCATACTCAGTTGGCGCGGGCACCTGCCTAATCAAGGCTGCACGGGCCGATCCGCCATTGGCAAGCCCTAGAAGTATCTATCCCAAGATATCCACCGAGATTCGCCGAGCACTATGGACATCTTAAACCCTCCGGAGAGATCACCGTTGGCACGGACACCGGAATGATGTCCGAAGGGGCAGTCCCACTTGTATTTTCAAGAGGGCATTTTGTGGATATTACCATCGTCTAGGCTAGAATCTGATTTAGCGCTAGAGTAACTAATTGACAAGCATTATAGGCGGTGGACCAGAGCGCCAGGACCAGTGAGCTCGAGTCTCGCTAACCTGACAATGGAATCGGTATGTGGATCTCCAGAAGCTTGTTGGTCGGATGTCGGAAATACTGGTCGATAGTTGTTATGAATTTTGATTGATGGAGACTTGACCATCGGTAATTCGTTTGAAATGATCTTGATTAGCACAAAGAAGGAGACAAAAATTCCAGTGTATCCTTAAAAACTAGAACGAGCGTTATATATGTCCTAATCCAGTCTAGCATGGCTGTTCCTTATCATTGCCTAGCGAGAGCTCCCCTCACATACCCTGCCACCCATTCAAACATACCAATTATTAGACTCCCTGCGTAATCTTTGCTGTGGTGGCCAGACGTATCGACAGAGAACTCAAATGCGCTAGACTGATACGCCTGTATCTCAGATCCTTTAGGGGCCGGCCCGTCGACTTCTCATGAGTCTCGACGTCCGATATCAAGGTCAGAATGAATGTGGACGTAAACAGTTGTTATGAGTAACGTTCTATTTGTGCGGGTTTTTCCTGACGTTGGTCGGGGCCATCTCTCATCTCACGTTATTAACATATTGAACTGCTGAACGGTCAACTCCACTGGGCAGTAAACAGAGCTAGGTATCCTCTGTCAAGATGAAGTTGCTAGAAGTGTCAAGTAACTGATTTTGAGTGTAGGATTACGTGGGGAAGAATACCACTCGGCTACAAATGATCTCTAGACACTTCCGAGCTTTGTCAGAACAGATTGTATACACTATCTGGTTACCGACAATTTATTTATGTCGGGCGTATTCACGCCAGGCCCAATAGTCCGTGGGAGGGTCTCCTCTGTTTTATTGGGGTTGCGTATAGCGACTCATGAGTTAAAATCTATAATGATAGTCGACAGGTAGCCTCCTGCATAATAAGAGGAAGATGGTTCAATCAACTAGAAATACAGTTATTGCATATGCAATTAACGCCAATATCTACAGATCTGTTGATGTTCTGAATGAATGCGTGGTAATATAGTGAGATTAACGAGATATTATCTGATGGTGATCAAGACTTTATTACACTGCTCGATGGTCCTGGGGCTGGATATCCACCACTCGTTTATTACCAATCAACCCTTACGTAAAATCAATCATGCGCATGCTATGTGGCATAACAGGGCCTATTAGGAATTCATGATGTTTAACATAGTCCCCCTCAGGCCACATTGAAGAATGCCGATCTACTTTGTTATTGGAACCTTAGGTGTCGGGCTGCCTATTATAATTCAGTTCTGTATATGTTGGGTATATCAGTCAGATTGAGCCTTATATTAAATTTTGATCAATGCCTTGACGTAGCGGTCTTGAAAGTATATCTACTAATGAGCCTACAGTGGGTTGAACTAATCGTTAAAAGAAAAGAGGCACGTCTTGTCCTACTCGCAGTACGCATGACCCGTGGAATTGCACTCACTGGGGTCTTTCGTAGGCCCATTTTCCAATCTCAGTGAGTAATCAAGTCACTTAAGTATAGACTATATTAAAGATGACTTGGGTTCAAACAATAGAAAATACAACTGTTATGTGAGAGGACTTTGCATTCGCATCGAGATATAGGGAAACCTAACTAAATAGGGAAAACCTCTACCAAGCCACAACCAAGCGCAGTACTACCCGACTAATTTCCGAGGGAAACAAAAGACATAAGGTACAATGAGTCGAGAAGCATACTAATACCGATGTTAGCACAAAACAATTTCACGATAATACTGAGTCTAGACATGTCTCAATGCTCCAGAGAGTAACCGCGAATGATCGACAGGATCAATTACCGCACTTAACAGCAATACTAAATTTGCAGAGTTAGCATCTTGAAAGCAATTGTATGCACTACCAATCGATGACCGGTATACACTTACAGCCCATTGACCGCCGGTAGGGCACCCGACAAAGCACGGAGTGGCAGGGCAGCAGATATCAGCGCTAGTATTCTTTTCCATCTCTTCCACGGCTGTCAAAGCGTTCAATCCCTTCTCGCTCGTGATGGCGGCCAAGCCAAGTCCAGCGAGCACGGGCAAGATGGTCATAGACAGCTTCATGTTGGTAGGCTGGTGCTTGGGTGAGATGACTGAGTGATAGAAGAGAAGTCTGGAAAGAAGTCTGGAAAGGAGATTTTGGAAGTGATGCTATGTTTGTAAACTGGATTGGAGTGTTACTGTCCTTTGGAGGGGGATTCGCGCCTTTTTATGTCTAGAGGAGCTCTCCATTTACAGATAGTTGTCATGAACTCGCTCAAATAAGTGCTTCTATTGATGGTAAGTGGTATTACAAGGGATAATCCTGTCCAGTGAGAGATGTCCCACAGAATACCAGCTCACGACTGGTAGACATGGTAACAGAATGGCGGTAAAACATGACTGTATATTGAGGGGGGAAGCGAAGTAACCATATAAACGAACAATTGATGTAATAGAGCATGATGAGTAGCAGTTGCAACATGCTATCCAATCTATTCTCAAGACTGCTACACCTAAGATGCAAGGGCTCTAGAGTTATCCAGGGGTAGCAAGAAGCCGATACATTGCAGAGGGCCAAGTAAGTAGAGATCACCGGGCTTCATGTACCTTGACTGTGGCTATCAAGTTATCAGTAGTCATTGGTTAAACGAGGAATGCCAGGCAGTACCTCATTTGTTACTCAATCTAAGTATTCTTTGAATCCTTGGCATAGTCAAGGAATTCGCTATGTCTCAACATGCTTGTTGTCAGCGAACGTAGGGTTGGAGTTGTCATATGAACTCAAGAGAGAACCTCAACGGAGTCGCTGTTTTATATATTAACAAGATAGTAAAAAGCAGACAATAGACAGGAGCAATACATCTCGAAAACAGCCAGACATCAAGCCCACTTACAACATGCCCGAGCATAGAAGTCACAGATGCCCTTGATTTGATCGCTGAAGAGCATATACACTATGCTAGTATCCTGGTTCTTTCGTAGCACGGTCCTGCAAATATCGTTTTTTGAAGATAGACAACACAGTCCTTGTACACTGTATAGAGCGAGAAACACTAGTTCAGCAAGGGATATTGTCAAGGAATGTGTCCGGTAGGGTGGCAGGATTAACCCCGGAAACCCCAGACTTTCCTTTTTAGGCAGGTATAGAGAGAGAGAGTTGCATTCTCCTCGATTTTATCACTGTTTCCAGGATTCTTCCGAGACGCTGACGGCCGCAGGACCCTGTTAAGGCCGGTCAGCTCACATCAGCAGTGTGGTTATTGTTTTATGATGATCTTGGAGTGCTTGATATAGGAGCAAGAGAGCAGTGATACTAGCAGGCTACCTACACCTCTCTACACAGGGCCGAAACTGTGGTCTCCTGTTTAGAAGAGAGAGATGCAGCCTGCCAGACATGTCTGAAGTTTTAGTATTACATGTATAATGTAGAGAATATTATTACTTTTAACAGGGTTAAGATCTTTGATGGTATATCTATATTCTTGATCTCTGTAATAAGGGGTTTATTATAATATAGTGACTGAAGCATCTCTGACATATATCTTTGAGACTATTTAATAAGTCTGACTCTTACTATATGATACTTATAGTTATTTAGAATTTTAGATCAAAAATCCTTGCAACTTTGAACAAGCCCATAAGTATGTACGTGTTAGGTCGAATGCCCGGGATATGAATATCTCGCCGTATAAGCCCATTCGGCAAGGGAGGGATTTTATACGACCCTTAGATATGTAGCTAGGGATAGCTTTGCACGCACGGTTTTTTCAGGGATATCGCCAGTCCCTTGGTGGTATGGCAAGTACCCTGGTGGGTGGTATGGCAAGCCCCCTGGTAGTATAGCAAGTCCCTTGGTGGTATAGTTGGTCTCTTTATACGTATCTCCTCCAGGGGTGCTAGCCACGCTCATTTTAACCGATTCGAAGAAGAAGAGTTGTAGAAATGGGCGTCTACGTGGTTGAAGGAGGATGCAAAGGAGGAGAGGTGTTTTAGGCAGGTATATATTACCCTCTAATCCGGTCAGAATCTAGTACTATGGCAAACTATAGGGTGAGTACGCGCGAGACAGCCATTCACTTGCTCAGCTTGCCGCCCAGCTGTGGACCGTAATTTACCCTAACTTAGGATTAAGTGACCCATACCCATGCTAAGCCACCGTTAAGTCCATTAATAATCAATGTTGAACCAACATCCCCGCAGAGACCGTTATCGCTATCTACGAAATCTATGACGGCATATGAACGTCAAGGTGCGCTCGATTCCTGTTTCGCGAATTTCTACTGCTACTGTTGAACTCAGGCCAGAGACGAGTCGGTCCACTGTGCTCATTCAATCTTTGACTGCCTGAGTGACTTATATTATTTATCATTTAGAAATTCGATGTAACTACAATTGTCCATTTATCTTCGATAACTTTCAGATCGCGAATTGGTAAGTTCGCCTAGAGTCGCATATCCATACAAACGCGATGGCAGTGCCCATTGTTCAACTGAGATGTGGTGTCAAGGTTAGTATCAATGTCCCGTGCATGCATCTATGCGTCTGCCTCAAAAGAACGAGAAGCCGACTGATATCTTGAACACAGAACGATGCCTGGGGAAAGAAGGGAAAGGAGTCACTCTCCGCGCGCCTTTGGGCACAGACACCAGGCAATGGCCCAATTGACGAAAACCAGACTTATTCAGAGGTCAGAAAGACATTTTGTACCATTCATTTGGTATTTAGATTTGCTGACATTGTACGTACGCAGATGTGGATGGGCACGTACCCCAGTAATCCTTCCTACGTACTGTCGAATGGAGAACTCCTTTCGGACTACATCAAAAACAACCCCCAAGTGGTCGGCGACGCTGTGATGAAACGCTGGGGAGCTGAGATTCCATTCCTACCCAAGGTACGATCCGCAACAAAGAATCGAAACAAAATCGCTAATTGAGCAAGTAAAAGATTCTCTCGTTCTCCTCAGCCCTCTCGCTCCAACTTCATCCAGATAAGGAACTGGCTGAAAAACTGCATCACAAGGACCCCAAGAGGTTCGGCGATAGCAATCACAAGCCAGAGATAGCTGTTGCCCTATCGAAATTCGAGCTATTTGTTGGCTGGAAGCCCCTCAACGACATCCAGGCACTTTTCGAACTGCCTGCATTAAAGCGTTTTACACCAAGTGAAAGCCAGTTTAACGACCAAACCCTGAAATTGATTTGTAAGGCCTTGTTGGAGGCTTCGCCGGATACAGTGAACGAGACTGTCAAGGAGCTCCAAAAGATCCCGACAGAGCAATTTGGGCCATATCCGTATATCCCTTCCATCCTTGATCGTCTGAGCGCGCAGCATTCCGAATTTGACAATGGGAACCTTGTGGCAGCCCTACTGATGAACTACATGATTATTGGACCCGGTGATGCAGTATGCGTTCCGGCCGACAGTGTCCACGCATATCTCTCGGGGGACATTGTTGAGTGTATGGCTCGCTCTGACAACGTTCTTAATGTTGGATTCTGTCCTAGGGCCGATCGCGATAGTGTGGACTTGTTCACACAGGCTTTGACGTTCAAACCACACAGTTCACAGGAGGCTGAGTTGCCGAGGAAAACGAGCGACAAAGGATTGAGTGGCAGAACTGTAGAGTACGCTCCACCAATGAGCGAGTTCAATGTTCTTGCAACTTCTCTAGCTCTGGATGAAACCGAGACTCATAAGGCCATACTTGGACCCAGCCTTATGATTGTTACTGAAGGGTCTGGCAAGATGGAGGCTCACGGAGCCACGACCGCCCTAGATGAGGGTCAAGTTTTCTTTGTCGGGCAGGGTATTTCTTTGGAATTTTCGACGCCGACAAGCATGACCATTTACAGAGCATACGCAGAGTAGGGGAGTAACAAATATGTGATCGCGAATATATTCGCTATTTTCCATTCATCAGTTGAGCGTTGATAACAAGAGACATTTGATTTAGCCTTGACGCCGGACTGAGGGAAGTAAAAAAAGTGTAAAACAAGATAGTGGCATTTTCCAATGCTGCAAGTCAATGAAAGAGTAATTAACATGCTTGTCCGTTAGATGTTTGTTCTACATAGAGTAACCTCTTTATGGACACCTCGCTCATGGTGTTGCTGTTATTGGCAATATCTTTAGCTTGCTTATGATAGTGGGAAAGAGACGGCCGTGTATATTTGCCGGGAAGGTCATGGCTCCCCAGTCAGATAAGCTCATCCTTGCTGGGCTTTTCACCAGAGAGGCGTAGATATCGTCAGTTGAATGTATCCAAAATCGAAGGTTTCGTCATTGTCTCTACATTCACGACTACATTCACGAATTTAGAGGCTCTGATGGCCGGGAGGGAACATCGGTCCCGAGAGGGTCCGAATCTGCCGTACACATCTTAACGGCAACATATCGGTTAGTTATGTGCCGTGACCGAGTTGCTACACGACATGGTAGCGATCACGCAAGGTGATCATCCATCTCTACACTATGGTAGCCACCCGCCTGATAAGATTCCATTTATTCTGCGCTGTCAATAGGCTCGAACGAGATCCTTGACTTGTGCTCATTGTCGAGCCCATTAATCGGGATGCAGTGACGAAGAACTCTCGTAGGCGGGCCCCGTAAAGACATCATAATGAAATTGTGGCAAGAAGGAAATTTCTACTGCCTATAGAGCCTACTCGATGAAAACTCGGGTTTATAATAGATGAAACAAAAACGGGATTTGAAGATGGTAAAGCAACTGAAACAGAAACAGAAATTACATACAAAGGCTCCCACATTCGTGAAAAGGGAAGGGAAAAAACTACATGAGAAAAAACCTTGCCCAGAGCCCGCGACTACCCAACTAGACACTCAAATCATCGAGACTATTTTCTAGGACTTCTTGAAAACGACGTGCTTCGTCCCGGCGAAGGCTGATCTGCATAGATTCTCCAGCCATCCGAACCAATTCGTCGGTCTCGTATCCGCTCACAAGAACGGGTTCGAAAACACTCGGGAGTTTCGCAATGATGTGCCGTTCGATGACCTGTCTACAAACGTTGTCGACGAAAGTCTTCATGGCAACCTAGCAGGTGAATGTTTTAGAAGGCAAAAGTCATTGCTATTGGGGAAGGTTGACCAACTTTGTAGTATGCATTCAAATCATTCTGCGCTTCGAAGCAAGCTTGCTTTGTCATATCGACAACCACCCGCTCCTGAAGTGAAGTGACGAGCTTGTCTATTTCCTCGGTCGAATTGCTCACATGGAACCTGCCTTTCCAGTCTGTTTCAATAGCATTGTGCATTGAATCTTGGATCTGGCGCTTTGACTGGTCATGTCGAGCCTTCTGGATGTTGTCCGTAAAATAATGATTGTACGTGATAGGTTGGCGTGCTTCGTCCTCGAGCAACACGTTCAACTCGTTGGTCGCGCGTTTGATATTCGTTTGAATGGACTTCTCAACGCAGTGTTGGACATTTTGCCGAACCTTGGTATCTTTGATCACGAACTTCAATGCGGCTTGTAAGAAGCTGGACACCAAATTCGCGACGGCGTCAACATGGTCACGAGCGATCTTGCCCCAACGCACTGATTGCGAATGGAAAAGCTCTGCAAGCAGGGCGTGGTTATAATTTCCTGGTAGTTCCCTGCCACGCGTCCGATGATATACCTGATATCATTAGCAGGTGATTGACAGTCGTTGAGTTCCCCACTTACTTGCTTGATCCACGCAACCATTGTCTCCTTATCAACGAGAATCTGGCCCTCTTTGTTAAGAGATGACTCCATCTCGTCGTCAGAAGAAGTTGGCTCCAAAGATTGATCGTCTTCCCGACAAACAATTTTTCGTGTCTGGCCAAATTCTCTCATGTAATTCGCAAACTTCTCATTCTCGAGGTGGACGACAGCGCGCAGCCGATTTGCAAAATTCTTGCCTTGGATGTCGAAAAATCTCGCGTCTCGGCCACCATAGTCGCCATCGATACCAGCACGCACCAAGCTGTGGAAGTCGGCGCTAACCTGCGTCAGGTATATCCGTATCTGACCAGGACTATTTCGTTCGATTCCAAGGGCAGCAATATCCTGGCTATTTCGCTCGAGAAGCTCACGCAGTTCCTCTCGTACTTTCGGAAGCTCACGTTCAATGTGACTATCCAGGAGGTCTTGGAGAAACACTCGAAGGTTCTCGATCCCAACGCGTAACGGATCAAGTCCCAGGCTACTCCATGGTTCGCTGGAGAAGAAAGCCTGCTCTGCGCTCTTTCTAGCAGTTGGAGACAAGCCCGCCCGCAACTCGGCAGGGGCCGGATTTTTGAGCAAGAAGAATCCCAAATTGAGCTTCGTACGATCCAAGTTCTTCGCCAAGCGTGCAACCCGTTGCTCAGTTCCAGTATTGATAAGATCTGGTTTTGTGATGATACCGACCGTTCGTACCCCATCCTTATCGTAGCGACGGGCTCGTTGGATAATACCTTGAGTATCAACATCGCTACTTGCTGGAACAACCGCAAGCACAATTGTCCGCGAGCTTTCGAGGTAGGAATCAACTAGATCACTGACAAGCTCCACGTCGCGCTCATTCTCGGAAACCGAAATCAATCCGGGCAGATCAACAATCGTCAAATGTAGTCCGGTATTGCCAACCAACTCCAATCGCAGGACATCGGCGGCGAAAGCGGGAGCATCGGCCTGGTCTTCGGAGACACGAATGCCCATGCACTGACCTGCAGCTTCGATGATTCCGGGAAGCTCAGCGAAGTCACGAAATTCCATTCGGAAGGAGGCCAAGCGCCTTCTCTCCTCATCATCTCGCGACAAATGAGGGTTTATTGTGGCCGTCATACGATTCGCTTGTGGAGTATGTCTCAGGACAATTTCCGTCGCGAACCTAGTACACAAACCATCCTGCCGGGGGAAAGGGATTCCACTAATCCCTTCCAGCACAGAGCTTTTGCCGGCGGACTGATCGCCGCATACCACCAGCTGAGGCAGTGCAACATGATCGCCAACTCCGTTGGCGCGAACACGGTCGATTTGGTTGAGTCGCTCAGACGTTCTCGATGATTGGAGACCGAGTTCGTCTCCGACCCGGCGGAAGTCGATCGCTGTCCATCGTTCTTCCGAACTCTCCGGATCTTCTGACGTTGGGGTCAAAGTTTCCATGTCGTGAATTCAGATGGTCTAGGAACTGTCGCTTGGTTTCTGATTTTTCGGGTTCGACGAAGAGAGTTTGGGGACATAAAATAAGGAGTGAACCGAACTCTTTATAGTTGCGATTAACTTGCGCCAGGTCAAAGAAGGACTCGACCGACAATCATCGGGAACGTCCGAAGCCACTCAACCAAATCGACCGTGTGACAGCCGGAGTTGACGACCAGGTTGCAAGCGGCGAAAGGTGCCAATGTGTGCCAATGTTTGCGGTGCTCACTTGGGGCCTTTTATATCCCGCACCCGGCGGGGGCGAGATCCCTTGCCGTCTGCAACCATCACCGGTTGTTCGATGTTCTCCCTCACTGCGGTAAGGAATGTCTGTTTACATCAGGCTGCCTTGACCCGAAGTCCAGGGGAAAATGTAATTGGTGTCAGCTTGACCTGCTGACGAACATTCGATCACGTTAGGGAGAGATCCTGAAGATCGGATGTTTTCCCGACTATTGAAGCGTAGCGTCTTTGCTTTGGTGAGCTCAAGCTCTGCTAATAGCTAGATCAGATACATGAGATATAATCAGTCAATAAGAAACCACGTTTCCTGGTTCTCGAGCCAGTTTTGTTTGCACGTAACCTTGGAGGTCAGGATCGATGCGGCGCAAGGGGGTTGCTGCTAGGGATGCTCTCTCCGCAATGAGCTAGAGCGATTTACCGCCCCTTGGTGCCTTGCTACATCCCTGATTCATCTGAATGAGTGTTGTCTTCAGGCCGGGTTTGGGCGAAGTCTAGGGAGTTGCACCCAATCCGGCCGGGGTTTGGGAGCTAGCTTCAGGATCCGCCCAAAACCCGAATCCGGCCGATTGGGGCAGATTCTGGGGGTCCCTCCTAAGATATGACCTTTTTAAGGTATTTGTCATTTTTATAGGTAAGTTTAAGCAGACAGGAAACCTTGTTCTTCACACCCTATAGTCATATGTACAAGTTTGTATACTAAGGATGGTTATAAAGAGTTCTAAGTACATCAAGTGGTTTGGAGGGGTCTCCTTTGTTTTGTTAGGGTTACCAGGAGGGAGCTACCTAGCCGCCTCTTTGGCCTGCGTATAGCTACTCATGAGTCAAACTCGATGATTATAGTCGATAGATTACCTATTGCATAGTAAGAGCAAGTTGGCTGAATAAACTAAGAGAGGACACAATATATTCATCTAGGGCAGAGTTTCATGTCTAGGTCTTTCCAGATTCAGTTACTCTGTATGTGAATGTGTGGTCGTATGATTAGATCATCTATATATTATTTGATGTTGATTCGGAACTCATGGAACCAGTCATTTTTTACCAAAAATCTCTGTGGGCGATCGATTGTGCCCATTTTATATGCCATGGTCGGCAGATTGCACAAGGAATAGAGTCCAAAGATAAAGAAGGGGAGGAGGAGGAAAAGCATTCAACAGCCAGGATTTGCATGTGGTCACCTATCATAATACTAATCAGTCACTTAGCGGTGGTCATCATTTGAGGCAACCTCATTAACAGTAATGCCAAACACATTAGAAATCTGGCAGAAGATAATGTATGATAGTTCACCTGCTTAACTTCCTTATGCCGTAAATCCTTATAATTGCAGCTTACATATATGTCCCCCATCTTCTACAAATATGTAGTATCCCCGAATTCCGTTTTGATAACACAAATATTACGGTCTCTGGCATGTCTCTGCAAAATGTCCCCAAATTCCACCTGTTGCTTTGTTAGACAAATCTGATTTGATTTAAGTATTATGACTCACATCTGTAGCAATGCCCTTTTTGTCGAGTGCATGTTGTGGCATAGTGATTGAAAGAGCCACCTATTAGCAGAGTTTGATTAGTGAATGCATCTCTTCATAGATCAATGGTGATGCTCACATCTGTCACAAGTGGGGTCACGACATTCGTTTCTCCAATGTCCATATCTTCCACAGTTATAGCATTTGTCACGACGGTGATTTGAGGCATTGCCTCTACTTTCCAAGATCTCACCATCACTTTCCTCGTCTTCGCTTGCTTCATCCTCGTCTTCGCTTGCTTCAACCGAATGCGTATCAGAATCAGACAGAATCTCTTGCACAGTCTGTGCTTGATCAATGTGGATGACTGGTGTTTCCAGGAGAAGTTCTTTGGTATATGCTGCTGCCGTGGCCGCAGCATATCGTTGCCATTCTTTGTTTTTGTGGGAGTCCGCGTAATCACAAATGCCGCGCACCACGAGACATGGAAAATTATTCATCAATCCCGCCGCTTCCATCTCCACACAGGATGCCCCGAGTTCACGACCTAGATTATCTCGTAGGTGACTGTTTTTCACAACTCGATTCGCGGACGCAATCATCCCATAATGAATAACAGGGTTGTTATCCTTTCGATTGGCTCGTTGGACGGCCATGTTTTTATCACAACCATCACAAGTTTCGGAGTTGGGAATGACGTGATCATAGTCGGTCATATAGAGACAGTCCGCTTGAGTTGGACGAGCGAAGTTTGCAGCATAGTTGGGTATCTTGCGTTTGATGTCGTCGAGAAATCTCGGGACTCGGCTCCCTTCGGTCATGTAGTTCGTTTGTACTTTATTAAGAGTTGTCAAGAGGATTTGAGGTGGACGGTTGAGCATGCCTGTCCGCTGAAATCTGCCTCTTAATGCTTTGCCGTGGTCATATTGCACCACTCCTCCGTGTGTACCCGTTGGTCTACTGACCACAACATCACCAAGGCGAATATCACCTTCCCCTGGCACCCCTCCTCCGATGCCGACCATCAGACCAAAGCGAATCGAGCGGAAACTGGATTGTAACTGCGTGGCTACAGCAGCGGCAGACGCAATGCCATATTCACCAAGTGGCAGGCATGCAATTACTATATTATGTTGTCCAATATTCCCAAATAAATAAGAGTTATGGTCGTTCAGTTGTGACGATAGATTCTCGTGGACCTCATCGAGCATGAGCTTCGCAGCTGCCATCTCCAGAGATAGGGCGCATATCCATCCAACCGTGTAATCGGCATGAGAAAGACGGATCCTGCTTGCCATTGTAGTCGTTCCACTGGTCGGGCTATTGAGCTCAAATGATAAAATAATAGTCTGGAGTATATGAAACACAAAAACGACGTTATAGAAACTGGGTGGGAAATAATCAATTCAGGGGTTAATCAGGAGAGGGGAGGCTGGGAAGTGAGGCCGACTCCAAACCATCCACGACGGCGCGAGGGCCTAATATCTTGCCCAATCATTTTCACGAAATTCGACAAGGATGGTTGAGGCTGGAGAAGTCCATCGACTTTGGTAGGTAATGTACGCTTCTACAGTGGAAACAGGGGAACGGCAATAGTTAGCCATAGCAATTGACAGTTGCTGTTAACAAACACATGGCTTTGGCTGGCAACATATTGTGTTCTATCATCGGATAGCTATAGTTAGGGGGCTCCACAATGTGGAGCAGAGTCGGAAATCTCCATTTGTTCGATTATGCGCTCCCACGAAGGCATTGCACATACTGTTCACTAGAGGATGGGGTTTCTAGGGAGAAGACCCATCTTGTTTGAAACAGGTATACTATTGAACATATGCACTGGAATATTACACCTGATGGTAAAATCATGACCTTGACAAGAAGTCGCAAGCTCAATACTATTATGCCTATAGACGCCTTGGCAGTGGGTCCCCAGAAAGAAGTGGCGTGTGTCGTGAAGTTAATTCCAAGAACCACTGCATGTAATCCTTCTGGTATATCTCTTTCCCTCATTTTTAATCACTCTATATAATGACTATTCGAGGTGACATAGAATTGAACAGTGTTGATTGTTAGATTGATTTGAACTAGTCGATATCTTTTCTATCTATTTTCCTTCACATGAAAAGGAAACTAAACTTTGAACAAGTTATTAGATATAATTAATTTGATTTCCTTCAAATCCCTTCTAAACTAGTAGGATCATATAAGATACGGTTTTATTTAACGACTGACAAAGTCTACATGAATGTAGGCCCTGTAGTATATACAGATAAGACTTATAGTGATATATATTTCATGAGCTGAGCTAGGGGTTTCTCCTATGGATCATCATCATGTCCTGTAAGCTCTACAGACAGTAGTCATTTCTTGATAATACCAATCCGTATATTTCTCTATAAAATCCTGTTCACCATTCCTAGCACGCTACCTTTACAACCCTTTGGTGTGGCGTTCTGGGACCCCGCATAACAGGCGGGCCATGCCAATTAGATCTACTACTCTGCAGTTAGAAGCCCAAGTGCCCAGAAAGTTCGCAAGTTACAATGCTTATATGTTAGTACTATATATTAAACCCATGATCTACAAACCATTCCTCATGGGGTACTCTCAACCCAAATATCAACCGAAAATACTCCGTTCTATACTGCAGATTGGGGCGGGCGCAGTGCATCCACAATTAATGCCTCAGGCCGCCAATCCGACGATCCCAAATTTTCGTCTTCGTCATCGCTCGAACCATCAGTCGACCTCTTACTACTACCCACCAACGTACGACCTACCTACTTACCCTTTTCCGACCCAAAACCTACAACATATCCCACAGTAAAAAGAAACTGCACCAAAAAATGGACCTCGAAACCTCCTATAACACCCATCCCGACCCCACCTCCTCCTCCAGCTCCCTCGCCGCCCCGCACTCCCCAACAGCAACGATGACCCCCCCATCCGAAATCGACGCCCCCCCTCCAGCAGGAACAGCAACCACAAACGCCCTAGACGATATCTTCGGCTCCTCCCCCCCAGCAGCCCTCTCCACTACCACCACCACTACCGCTCAGCAACCCTCCCAACACGACACCCCCACATCAAATGAACCCTCCGAGCTGCCGTCCCTCCGCAGACAGCACGTCACAGCGGGCTACCGCGACGGCATCGCGGCCTCGAAAGGCGAGCATGTGCAGAATGGGTTTGACGCGGGATTCCCCGTAGGCGCGCAGCTGGGGATGCGCGCGGGCACTGTGCTTGGGATCTTGGAGGGGTTGGTGCGTGGGTTTGAGGCGCGGGTGGGGGGTGGGGCTGTTAAGAAGATTGGGTCCAGTTCTTCTTCTTCTGCTGGTGGTGATGGTGTGTCGGAGGAAGAAAGGAGAGCGAAGAAGGAGGAGATCCTGGCGCTGTATCGACGGGCGGTGAGGGAGTTGGATGTGCGGGGGGTGTTTGCAGGTGCGGATGAGGCGCTGCGGGAGGATGGATCGGGGGATATGGAGGGGGGGGATAACGAGGAGAAGAAGAAACCGGAGGACAGGCTTGCGAAGACAGGGGCGGGCGTTGTGGAGGGGTGGGAGACGAGGGTGCGCATTGCGCGGTGGGAGGAGAATATGGAGGCTTTGGAGGAGAAGGATTCGAACCTAGCTGAGCTGAGCTGAGCTGAACTGGACTGAACAAGATTGGCTTGGTTTTTTTGAAGTGTCCTTGCTCGCTGTTCGTCGTGTTCTGCGCTTTTGTGGTCGCGGTACTGAAGGCGAGAGGGTCAGGTCACTTGCCGACCCTATTACGTCTATTATGGATCGGTCGTACGGGATCAGGACCGACTTCTGACGCACATTCCTGATGCAGAGTCTCTGTCCCTACTTGGCCATGTCTCCCGCAGTGCCAATGGCGGAGGATGTATGGACGGATGGATCGATAGATACCCTTGCGGGGGCCCGACTACCCGGATTCCGTCAGGGTGACTGGACTGCAAGGAGCGGCGGGGGGGAAAGCAAGACAGGGACCTACGTGGTACTCTACTTGGATAGTTGGATACAAGACTGGATAAGGACGACTGACGTTGAGAATATACACTACGATAGCTATATGAGCACAGTCTTGGTGTACATACAGATACCTGTCTCAGACCAGACGATCGAACTAAAACTATACCTACGAATAGAATCATAGACATAAGAAACAAGTATCAGACTTAGTCTACCCGTTGTCAGGACAATAAAACACTAGCCAACCCCTACAAAACCCGAACAATCCTCCCTTGACAGGTAGTCCGTATCTCATCCAATACGCTTCCATATCCACCAAGCGACCTAAACCAACCCAATAACCAATCACCCTCCTTCACACGAGCATAGATAATAAGAAGAAAAGTAAGCAAGCGAGCGGTAAAACTCGAACCAGGGACCAAGACATTTGTCGCCCTCTTTTCAACACAACGGTGTGGATGGATCCAGGGGGGTCAAGGGATGCCCATATTTGGATCATAGCATACATACATACATACATACGCAGTATAGCTTAACATAGAATGGTATAGTATAGGACAGCACTGTAAAGCATAGTGTGCATAATATAGCATCGTAGAGTACAACACAGCATAACATAACGCAACGTAATCAGGGAATGTAAGCAGCTAGGTAGGTAGGTAGGTATCCCGGTGAGACATAACAGTAGCAAGGTTTTACCTGACTATCTAGGTAACTACCCACCTACCCAGTGTGTAAACAAGGAATTGTGAGGAGACTTCATTCTTGAACTGGTGTATTGTCATTCCGGCTAGATCTAAGTATGTATGTATGCATGTATGTATGTAGACGCTAGCTAGGTGGATCTATTTTGGGGAGGATGGGTTGCGCTGAATGCTGCAGAACAGGGATCAAGAGACTGAGAGTGAGAAAATTATGAAATACAGACTTCGTGAGCGGTATATATTGTGTATATTTTGTATTTGATATTGAGGTGACATGGCATGACATGCTCAAAGAAATTAGATATAGCGATGGAATGGGTAGTAGGTAGTAAGTAGTAAGTAGTAGGGAGTGGATAGGCGTAGGTGGCGATATTAACGAGGGTGATTTGGTGAAAGAGTGAATATTAATGAGTGACGTGCCCATACTCCAAACACAAGGAAATCAATCAAGTCGCTAGAGAAAGGGAAAGCGAGTCAAGTCCTAGACAAAAGAAAAAAAAAATCATGAGTGTTTAAGATAACAAACCAGGGTATCTATCCATACCCACACTATAACCTCATCAGGTCATCGATCAAGTCAAATCAAGTAAGTCATTTCATGGTTAGTCAAGTCATCGCTGGAAAACATCATCATCATCATCAGCCAGACCCGCGTGAGTCTCATTAATCATGGAAGATTGTGGCCGTTCTGTCTGCCCAGTAAGAAAAAGAATCATATCGTAAGGCATCAATTATCGAAAATCAAGTCGTGCACCCAGCCCAAAAGCCACTTTTTCGTAATTTGGAATAAACCCGCTGCAGAAACCCAATGTGTAACATGTAACGCCGGAGCTTTTCTGTGTGTTGCCGAATTGTGTTGGCTGTTTTTCCCTTTTCTTTTTCTGTTTTCATGTTTGTTTGCTATTATCTGGCCGGGTTTCTATTTTGAGTCACATGGGCTTGCGAGGGCGGGTGGTTGTGATATCGGCATGACAGCCCAACACACGCAGGGAATCCCAGACGCGTTTGTAGAGCGGGGGACGAGCGAGTGTTAAGGTGTGATGGATGGCCTTGTCGGAGCGTTCCTCGCGACAGAAGGAGCAGAGCTTGTCGCGGTCTGTTCGGCGCGACGACGGGTCGGGAGAATCCGAGCGCTGACGACGACGCGATTTGGCCTGGATGGCAGCCGCGGTGGAGCGGTCGATATCGACATTATGTCTCGGCTCATTGGGATGGGGATTGGTGTTGTGACGCGAGCGAGGGGGTTGTGGGTGATGGTGGTTGTGATGGACGAGGGAGGAGGTGGACGGGGCGACCAGTCGGAGGGTTTGGTGGGCGGCTGGTCGAAGCGGATCGCGGTCGGGGCGGCCTGGCTGTGTGACCATGGCGTCGGATGGGTGGTCGGGCATTGATGGGAACTTTTCTAGCCCTGACCCCTGGCTGGGTGGTGGCTGGTGTTGCTGATTGCGGTTGTGGTGGTTGTTCTGCAGCTTGGGGGTTGACTTGGCGACGCGGAGCTGGACGCGACTGCGCACCTTCTTCAGGGTATCGATTGGTTTGCGGGACAGGGACCGCGGGTCGAGTGATTCGTTCTCCGAGTCGGATTCCCAGACGGACTGCTCGCAGCGGTGGGCTTCCGAAAAGGACGTTGAGGGCCGGTGCCTGCCCGATGTTGCTGTGATCTGCCGTTCAATGGCGGGGGAGCCTGGCACGGGACTGGGTACTGGACTCGGACAGTCATTGGCGGGGATGAAGAGGGCTTGGTCGAAGTGCGTCGTGTGGGGTTCCATGGTGACTGGATTGATGAGACTGGGGGGCGAGATCATCGAGGGTTCGATGGAGGGCCGTCCGGACGGCGTCTGGGGCTTCTTGGGACCCACTGCGTTGGCATTGCGTCCGGATGCTGGGGCATTGGCGAAGGGAGGCAGAGAAGGAAGCGGCTTGCCCCGGAGGCTGGCGAGGTCCTGGCACTCGGGCTGAGACATGATGAGCGTGTCGGACGATCCGCTCGATGGGAGCGGTGTCCTCACATCCCGGGTTGGGGTGCGTGGGACGATAGGCGCCGGTGGTTGACAACGATTCCGCAGGGACGATGCCGGCATATAGAAGGCGCTTGACGCCGGGTTGCTGCTGGTACCTTTAGGCATCTGGACGAGTGGTTCCTGATGAAGGGAGGTAGAGTAATTGGAGGAGAACGAGCTGCTAGGGGTCAACTCTGGCGTGGCCTCGGTTTGTACCGAGCTGAAGGAGCCCTGACTCTGATGGATAATCGGCTGGGTTCCCCGGCTGTGGCGCAAAGCTCCGGTCTGCTGTAGCCCCAACTGGTGCTCTAATTCCACGACTGAAAGGGTGGATCGGTTGACGTTGGGGCGGGACCGGATGGTCTCGTCACGCACGGCCGACGAGGGACGTGACTTGGAGTGGCTCACGGCAGGAAGCACAAAATACTGGTGAGCATCACGAAGGCCGGGCCGACCTGGCCCCCAGGAGTGGCCTGCCAGTGAGTGTTCGAGGTAGAAGGGATCCGGGTTAGGGTTGGACTCGTCAAAGGCCTGGGTGGGATAGTAGGATGATGCTCTCTGCTTCGGGGGAGAGGAAGTAGGCAAGAGCACGGTGCTTTGAGAACGATTGTGACGGTTCTGAGAAGTCTGCATGCCTCTGGGTAGTCGAGAGTATCCGTTCGCCATTGACTATATTCACGATAGCCAAACGCGTGGGGTAAGTATCTTAATCTTGGGTGGAGGAGGGCATCCGTAACGACAGACAAGCAGTGGATGATAATCCACGTAGCAACAGAGATAAGTGATCAGAATGATCAAGCGAGAGGAAATGGGAAGATTAAAGGAAGGAAAAGCAAGACATGAATGACAACAAGGGCGAAAGGGAGGGAGGAGGTATGTTTATAGAGCTATCTTGTTTTTTTTATTATTATTATTATTATTATGACTATTATTATTTCCACCATACCAGCGCAGGACGGTCCTTTCAAGGCCTCAGACCGGCCGAACGGTGGCTAGGCCGGGGGGAGAAAGGGCCGACGCATGCCAATGCAGTGGCGATGGGATGTAAACAATCCCATATACTCCGGTGGAAAGAACCCATCAATGAGGAATGAATGCATTGAGCTTGGAACCATGGAGCAATGAGCACAGACACCAATGACCTATCAGACCTTACATCCCGTTCCTTTTTCTCTTTTACTTACCCTACGGTAGGGTTGCCGCAAGGGCAACGCGCCTTGGTCCAGACGGGTTTATAATACCGATCGTCTGTGCGGAGCAAGGGAGTTCGGGAATCGATCCGCAAGTTTATTCAGTATACACAGAGTACTTGTAGTTGTGTTCTGATTCCTGGTCAAGTTTAGAGGCAACTACATTTGTTGAAGCCGTATCAATAGTGAGTCAGTGTCTTATCCAGGGTATAACCACTAGTCTTGCAGAACAAGAGGAATAACCCCAATGATGGGAAAGGAATGATCCTGAAGCAATAAATAGAAGGTACCCCCATGTTCCCCAGCCCGATTCCATTCCATCAGGGATGATCATTCAATCCGTACACCGACGTCATGCACCCTCGGGATGGAGGAGACTGAGAACCAGGAAACCCCCATGAAGGCTGGAGCAGTCCACAGCATCCGTACTTCTGCTTTGAATATGAGCAATCAGATCGCCCCCGCACAAGGTTAACGAGGACATTGGTATTGTCACCCCAAATGGCGTCCGCCTCCTCCAAAGAGTAGAGTAAGAATAGAGTTCCGAAGATCGTCCTCCATGGCGGTTGATCATGGCTGATCAGTCAACGGCAATGACCGTCCGTGCAGCCAGAACCGAATTTCGCGGAAGTTTAAAGCGCCATTGATTTCAGCCAGTCGAGTCTTGTTTTATCTGGTTTATATGTTGCGTATTTATGGACCTGTTAATTACCATTTTGATTTTTTCGAGTTTTTTTCCATCCTATGAAAATAATTATGCAGCAAGACCCGCATTCCCGAGGCACATTCCGGTTGCCGGGACGCTGTGAGCTAAGTATGGATATTGAGTATGTGGGCGATCAATGCCTTCTATTTTATTGCGAGGTTCTTATTTTTTATTCATAACTTTGATTCTCTGCTATCCCCTCCGTATTGTATACACCTTGTTTTTCTATTCTCTTCTCCGTTCCATGATTAACCCCGGTACAGAAGATGAGGCTGGCAAAGTCCCTGCCTGGGGATTCACTTCCGAGGGGCGTGACCTAGCTAACCCTATCTATCCTTGCTGGCCAGTATTCAACGCACCTTGATTCCAAAAGGGTGATATCCCCGTTTCACGATCAGCCAATGTGAGTTCGCCCGGGTGGCTGATTCCCTTCCCCAGACTCACACTGCACTACCTGTGTGACTATGGTTTCAGACGCGCTGGTCCAAAACTCGCCACTTGGCATGGGTAGTTACTGTGGGTGGGAGTGTGTATTGCAGGTGTTGGGTGGAGGGGATGCGATGCGGGCTTCGATGGTTTGGTTTAGCCCTTGCCCATTCCTTTCCTTTCCTTGTCCTGGGAGATGAGGAGGTGGATGGTTGTGAGTCTCGACGGGCTTAGACTGGGTTTGGTGTAGGTTTTGCAGGGAGGTGATCCGCGCGGTTGGAATGACGGCTGGATTTGAGTTACTGATACGGGGGATACGGGGTTGAAAGCTACTACGGGTTGGAGATAGTAGATAGATTAATTGCTACGATCGTCTATTTCGGTGCTGAGATGCTCGCGACCTCATCTTGTTCATATCGCTGAACTGAGCATACTATAGTAAAAACCTTGGTGAAGCCAAGTCGATACACCAGAACTGTCTAGACCAGACCGACAAGTCCCACATTCCAAACCTCGACCTACCGGACGAGAGCCTTTCAACGACAATAACCAAAGCACAACCAAGCTCTAGATATAGGCCATAGGACCTGCAGATACGGCGTACTTTCCACCTGCATATCATTCTCAGGATATGCGCATCTGCATGTCCGTCGAGTTATGTGCAGACAGCAAGTAAGTATTATAATACCTCCCCATGTACTACGTCGGTGCCTGTCGATCGGGACCAAAAGCAAGTGCTCTTGCATCCCCGGGGGAAGTCCCTCCTGCATCTTCGAGGAGGGTAGTGGAGGAGGAGGTACAGTAGCTCTTCCCGGAACCCACGGTTGGATGCAGCACGGGTGTTCCTGTCGGGTGGGAGGCTCGTACATCCGGGACATTCCTCAGGATGCAGAACGTCGATCATTGGTATGAGGTGGTGGCGGCGACGAAGCTGTATATCGTTTCTCATCGCAGTATTTGGAGTATTTAGCTTTGCTCATCCCTCGAGATTCTTATCTCAATTGTCTCGACAAGTCCGCCGATCGAAGGTTGATCATGTTGACGGACTCGACGCAGCTTTCCGTCCTACCTCTAAGACAAACTTCCCTATTGGCAGCCTGCAAGTCATTACCGTCGAGGCATAGGGATCGTGGACATGAGACATGCTGCAAGGCAGTTCGAGGTGTTTTGAGACCGGGACGGTCGGAATCGCCTCCTGGACTTAGAAACGACGCACTCCTTACCTAGGAGTGATTCTGGGATTGAGATGGGATCGCTTGAGTCGTTGTTCTCTGTTCCTTTCTCATTTGTTCTCTGCGACATCTCTTGAACCAGGGTTTTCCTGTGTTCATCCGAATGATCTGCGTCTTGGCTTTCTACGGAGGACTCCGTACACTATGGAGCACATTTGATCAGTCTCGTTGTTCCAACAAGATAGACAGATAAAGGAGCACTGGAAGAAACTGCATTATTCGGTTAAAATGATGAGTATGATTTCGGTAACCCTCGTTGTGGAATCATGATCCGTTGTGGAGTCGACTCGTCTCTTTTAGTCTTTGCCGAGGCACATTTCCACCCAAGAAAGGGACTTCTCTGGATGAACCCGATCGAAGGACCCAGTGTGGGGGGAGAACCCGGTGGTTCGTTCCAAATAATCAAAATAGGGTCTCAGGGGTAATTGATTAATTGATCCATTCATGATTATCCCATATCCCCCGATGAGGAGACCATATCAATTCGAATCCGACTCATCTATACCCCTCTGACCTCACCGGCATGTGTTGTGAATCCAGAGTGAGCTGGCTCCAGCTAGTTCTTCAGGGGTGATATTAATAGCAGTCGCTGAGCAACTGCCAACTCAGCAGTGACCACTGGCCAGCCTGTTCCAATCTGTCGTTCTTCGATCAGGGGAGATTTCTCACGTTCGTAATTTCTATTACATGATGAAGGAAAGATCATCTGTGACCATTGATTTCAAATGAGTCTCATCTCCTGTAGGATTAGTAGAATTACATGTGTTGACAGTAGATAGATAGATAGAAGAATAAGAATGATTCATCAGAAGCAGAAAAACCAATCTAACCCCTTGCAGTTAGTCCTCGACCCTGTCTTCTTTCCATCTTTCCTTCTTTTCTTCTCCTTTCAATCAATCAATCACATTCTTTCTCGCCTCCTCTCCGTGTTGATATCCCGCGGACAACTGGCATCCTTGACTGCCTCCCTCCTTTTTTGGCGTCCTCCTATTTCTGTGACTTCTGAATGGTGCTCCATGACCGCTGGGATTGAAGGAGTCTGTCACTCCTCCAAACTAAGAAATCCCGAGCGGTCAAAGCGAGTATCGAAGCAGGTACGTTACTACGTGGTTCATCATCCTTCCCAGCCATCACATTTCCCGCCTCACTCCCATTCGACCAGCCTCTCTTTCTCTCTCTCTCTCCCCTTCAGTGCCCAATTCAATTCAAGTTGGCTCAATTCAATCAATTAATTCCTTCCTAACCTTCCTATCCATTCTTCCATTTTACATTACGGTCAGATTGTTGCAGTTCTGTCTGAATACCCACATTCCATTCCACCCATTCCAATCTCTCCGCAATTACTGACATCAGGGCACTTCTAGAGCCACTTCATCACTGTGCTGGATTGAGCCCCAATTCTGTTTGACAGGCCAATTCATTTGACAAGAGCCCTCCACGTTCACAACGCACCGTGAAGCGCCCGGTGCTGTTCCACTTCAACGCTCACGTTGTCGTCGCATCCTGCACCCCTGCCACGACCAACCTCAGCAGTGTCTCACCACGCTCGCCGCATATCTGACGAGACCTACGAAGTTTACGACCCCTCCACTGTAACGACCCCCCAACGGCACCGCCAGCAGCCGGCTGCTTTTGATCCTGCCCCGTCCCCTGCCCTCGCTTCTCACCCCAGCAATCGATCCCTCCGGAGAACCTCCCGTCTCCCCCTCCGTCCCCCGACCGTCGATGTTTCGGGCCGTCCGCGCGTAGAGCAGACTATCCCCGTCTTAGTCCATCCCATCCGTCCCGCCTCGAATCGCACCAGTGGCATTGCTGCTCTCCGTCCGGCCTTATCGGAGCCGCACACCGAAGACGACGAGGACCCTGACTCGTATCATCCCCCCCCGGGTCAGTCCTACTGGCCCCGTCATTCCAACCGGGTCTCGCCGCACACCGCCTCGGCCATCCTCTGGACACTCGAAGAGGCCACTCGCAAACCATTCCCCTTCACCACCGACTGGGAGGAGGTGAATTCGTCTATGGCGGACTTGATGAGCCCCACCAGTGCCCCCGGGTATGGAAGCACCGGTCGTACGCAGAATGGCGCCGCCCGCGCCGCCCCGGGCCCCGTTCCCGTGAACCCGCATCCCCCTAGCGGTGTGCGGACGCCCACCGATATCATGAGACAGCGTCGCGACCGAGAGGCACGCCGGAAGGCTGAACAAGATGCACGTGACCAGGAGCAGGGGGCGGGGGAGCGCCGGCCGCAGGACCCCCAGGATCCGGCCCCAACCCGCGCCCCGTACCCTGCTGGCGTTGCGGGGGAGCGCCCCCAGCGTCGAGGGTCCCGCGCGGATCCTCAGCCCGAGTATCGGGCGACCGCCCCTGACACCGCGCCTCCTGGGATCCCCGTGGCGCCGCGACGATCGGCGCCGCCCCTACAGCCCCCGATGGCGGCCTCCAACCGACCGCCCACCGCGACCGGCCCACCTGCTTCTGCTGCGGTTCCGACGGACCCCGCGGCCCCCCATGCCGCGGCAGCGCCCAAGCAACCCGCACCAGCGACGCCCACGGCGGCTGCGGGCCAACCGCAACAACCGCGGCGCGTGGCCTTCCCCCACGCGTTCGAACGATGGGAAACGCTGTCGTCGCACTGGGAGGGACTGACCAGCTACTGGATCCGCAAGCTGGAGCAGAACAATGAGGCCATGGAACGGGACCCTATCAGCCAGCAGATGGCCCGCCAAGTGACCGATCTGTCGGCCGCAGGCGCCAATCTGTTCCACGCCGTGGTGGAGCTGCAGCGTCTCCGGGCATCCTCCGAGCGCAAATTCCAACGGTGGTTCTTCGAGACCCGCGCGGAACAAGAGCGGTCCAAAGAAGTGCAGGCCGAACTCGACCGACAGCTTCGCGCCGAGCGCCAGGCGCGGGCCGAGTCGCTGGCCACGTTCCAGAAGACCGAAAGCGACCGGGCTCGCATGGAAGGCCTGCTCAAGGAGATGCGTCGCGAATTGCAGATCTCCAAGGAGGAAGCGCGTCGCGCCTGGGAGGAACTCGGTCGTCGCGAACAAGAAGAGCGCGATCGGACCACCTCGCTGCGAAATGGCGAGCCCACCATCGTCGGCGGTGTCCAAGTGGTGCCCATGATCCAAGGTCTCTCGGGGCGATCCAACCCGTCGAACCGACCGCCCACCCACGAAGCCCCCTACGACGAGGCGGAGAAACGTGCCGACTCGCCCGAAGGTGGCTACTACGAAGAAACCCCCGTCTCGCCCACAGTGACAGATCCATTCACTGAAGGCCAGCGCGCTTACCAAGACACTGACCCCCAGCGGTTCGGGACGCAGCCACCCCCCGCGACAACCGCCGAAACGACCTCCTACTACAGCCAGACGGCGTACGCCCCGCGGCCGACGTCCGGCAACGACGAAGCCAGCAGCGAGCCCGGCGAGGACGAGTACGATGGCTACCGCCGAGATCCAGCCGGCGCCCCGATCGTCTACCCGCCCGCCATGTCAGAGGAGAGTGACGAGTTCGAGCAGGGCTCGGCGGGCAGCGACCACGGATATCCCCCGGGTACCGCGCCTACGACGTCGGCGCCTCTGTATGCCGGATACCCGCCGACGACGGTCGATTACACGGGGTCTTCATGGGGCGAGGAACATGAACAGGGGTGGGAGGCGATGACTCCGCGCCATCGCCATCCTACGCGTCTTAGTGATGTTCTAGAAGAGGAGGAGCCCCGGACGACGCCCAGTCGAGCCAGCGTGGCTAGTCGGAGTGTACAGTGAAAAGTTTTCTTTTGATAGCTGCATAGCATGCTCTTCTTCTTTGCTTCTTTTTCCTTTCCTCTTCTAACTTTTTTCCTCTTATCTTATTCTATTCTCTTCTTCTCTTCTTCCCTATTCGTTTTCTTTTTTTTTTTTTTTTTTTTTTCTTCCAATCCTGCATCCATGGCAACGTCTGGTGTTGGCGAATGGTCAGTTCAGTTCATTCTTCCGTTCTGGTTCTGCAATAGGCAGGCGTAATTCTTGTAATTCTAGTTGTGGTTGGGTTGGGTTATACATAGTAAATAGACATTTACTACTTTATTATTGATTGCTGTAAACGATTTGTTCCAAGATGAAGATATGCGGAGATATATACTACTGTATGTACGTACTGGAAGTGCGACATGTTTCAGAGACAGTTGGAGAGAACCCACCACCAATAGCAATGTCAAACAACGGAAGCACACCATCCAACTAAAGAACCGAAAAGAACTATCTCATTGAACGAACTGATCATCGAGGACATATATCATCGACCAGTCCCTGAACCAAAGATGTCAATATAGCCACGTGACATATGAACTAACCCAATCGGACCGATAATCCCGATCCTCCGCGGCGCGGATCCCATCCGACAATTCGAACCACCTGATCTCATTCCAGAAAACTCACCCGCTTACCTATCCTATCTCCCAACACAACGCAAACAACATAAAGAAAGACAATGGCATCATCCCTCCGAAAACCAACAACGCTAACCCAGCTCCTGGGCCGCGTGCCCCCGCGCGCACCCCGCGCAGCCTCCCCACGCACCCTCCACACCATCACCACCCGCAGCAACACCAACCGCGCAACATCCCCCCGAGTACCACCCACCATCAAACCCGCGCAACACCAATGGCGGGCCAGCTTTCACAGCTCCTCCAAGGTGCAAGCTAAACCCCCCACAATGGGCCAGCTGAAGGCGCGCAACTCGACGGGCCCGTTCTCGTGGAAGGCCGCGGCGCTGTTTGTGGTGACGGGCGCGGCGATGATTATCTATTTCCGGGTGGAGAAGGAGAGGCTCGCGCGGCAGAGGGTCGCGGAGATGAATAAGGGGGTCGGGAAGCCGAAGGTGGGGGGGCCGTTTGTGTTGACGGATTTGGAGGGGAAGGTTGTCACGGAGGAGGAGTTGAGGGGGAGATATTCTTTTGTTCGTATTTCCTTTCCTGTTCCTACCCTTTTATATTGCGGGAGCAAAGAAAGGAAGAGAAGCGCAGCTTGGTTGAGGATGATCGCTAATGGTTTAGGTCTACTTCGGCTTCACCCACTGTCCTGACATCTGCCCCGACGAGCTCGACAAAATGGCCGCCATCATCGACAACGTGAAGGCGCAGACCAAAGGCGAGAATGTCTTCCTGCCGGTGTTCATCACGTGTGATCCTGCGCGCGACACGCCCGAGGTTCTGAAGAACTACCTGAAGGAGTTCCACGATGATATCATCGGGTTGACGGGCACGTACGAGCAGGTGCGCAACGTGTGCAAGCAGTATCGGGTGTATTTCAGTACTCCGCGGGACGTGAAGCCCGGGGAGGATTATTTGGTGGATCATAGTATTTATTTCTACCTGATGGGTCAGTGTTCTTTCCCTTTTGTTGGTTTTTACGGCTACTCGGATTGTGCTAACTGGTTGATTGTAGATCCTGAAGGAGACTTCGTCGAGTGCATCGGCCGCCAGGATACGCCCGAGTCCGCGACGAGGGTCATCATGGAGCATATCAATGACTGGAAGAGAGCGGGCAAGCCGTTGAAGAAGTAAAGCTTGGACATGTAGTATAGTATGTATAATATGTACAACGATAGACACAAAACAAGAAACAAAATAATCCACCCCCCTCAATACCATCCGCCCATCATCAATAATCAATTAGAGGTAACGAGGTTACCCTCCCCATCCCTCTCCCTGTTCTCCCTCCAGCAACCCCCCCCGTCAACAAACTCCTCCCTCTTCCAAATCTCCACCCCCTCCTTACACCGCTCCAGCACCTCCTCTCCGGCTGTCCACGCCGCAGCGCGATGTCCCGAGCTAACCGCAATCGCAATCGACGCCTCTCCCACAGGAACCACACCCAGCCGATGCTCGATGACCAGACCGGTCAGGTTATGTGTCTTGACGGCGTCCTCCGCGATGCGCCGCATGGATTTCAGGGCGAGGGGCGGGTAGCTTGTGTAGCTGAGTTGCGCGACGGGGCGGTTTTCGAAGGTGTCGCGGGTTGTGCCAAGGAAGAGGACATTTGCGCCTGCTTGGGGGGAAGATACGTGTTTGAGAACGGCGGAGGGATCGAGGGGACTGTAGGTTAGGGTGAGGTGGATGTTGAATGTGGGGTCGGTTATGATGCGTGGGTAGGTTTTGGGGTCGAGGTGAGGGGGGAGGGGTGAGGGCGGTTGTTCGGGTTGTTGTTGTTCTGGGCGATTTGACATTGTGGGCTGGCTGGTGAATCAACAGGTGGGTTTGTTTGGGTTGGGCTAGGTGAGAGATGCTTGTTGTTGATTGTTGCGATGAGTGGAGGGTAGGTGGATGTTGGTGTTGATGTTATCTATCGTCTCTCTCTATCTCCGGTGCGGAGTGGTTGTAGGCCTGAAGCAGAAGCCTTATCTTATCGCAGATCTTCTTAACTTATCCATCTGATCTTCTGTCTTCGCTTCTTGACCTCTTCGGATCTATCGAGGACTGTGCAGATATTTGGCCATGAAAGGATGAACTGGTCTATACTGTTAGGTATATAGCTTTATGGACTGATTATTGGATTACGATGGTTTTAAATATTATATGTATTGTGGGAAGAACTCATTTATCCTATATTTTGGTTCTTTCACTCGGTTTGTCTTCCCTCCATCTTGACTTCTGCCTATTAGAAGCCCAACCAATGTCCTCTCTACAAGACACCCCACATTTCTCTCTCCATATATATATATCTCCTCCGAGATGGTCACTTGTCTGTGCCCTAGGAGATTCTTCTCTGATTGGGGTTTGCTAGGTTAGTCAATACTATTAGTGTCTTTGACTGCTTTCGGAATATATTCTCTACTTGAAGATGTATTATGAATGCTAGACAAACACCAGATCCGAATAGCTTTGATATGGGATTTTTTGGTGAGAACTGATTGTGTTCTCTCTGTACTGTTAGGCGACTGCAAGGCTGTCTATATAGCAATAACGCAACGCCCTACCCTATACTGTAATATTTTGATATATCTACTGTTTACTTTGGAAAATTGTATCATTGATTGGCACTCTGCTATATTGTAGTATATTATTTTCTCGACGCCAGCTTGATTACGATGTGTTTGACCAAGTAAGCATAGGGTGAATTGAGCATGGTTTGAATCAAGGATTCTAAAAGGTAAATGTTTCAAATGACTGACTCAGTTTGCATATGATTTTCAATAACGATGATAGATGATGCTCCACATGCGCAGTCGAGGCCTGTTATATATTGATCAATCACACTAGGACCAGTGCGCTTTTGGTCTCCCTATTCATGCTTTTGTGCTTTTGTGCTTTTGGTAAACCCCACCATGCCAATTCTTTCATCATCCTGTCCAGTATCCGCCGCAATCTTCACTCCATCCTTGTTTCTCGGAGATATATGATGATTCCCATCGTAAGCACAGCAAAAATAACAGCAGTGACTGCGTCAGTAGTTAGCAAACACCACATTCTAGCATTAATAGAGATGCAACCCACTCGGTATAAACTGAAACGCACGCAAATACGCAGCCCGAATAGTCTCCTGGATCGCCTCAGGAAGCGTCTCCGAGAATCTCGCATCGTTGACAATTTTTTGAACCAGCTGCAACATATAACCCATTACTTGAGCCCTCCTCTCCGTTCGACCTTGAATGATACATACCTGCTTTTCCCCAAACGCAGCCAGCTCCTGCGATAGCCGATCTCCAAAAATCCGCTGCACCACAGCGACGCCCAAAGCCGGCCCGATAATGAGCCCCAGCTGCTGGCTGAGATAGTAGGTGGTGATGCACGTAGGGAGGGCCCCCTTCGGGGCATCGAGCGACATGGCGACGAACTGCGCGGAGTAGATGACGCCCATGCCGACGCCGATGGTGAACAGATACACCATTTCCCAGTTGAAGCAGCCGTTGCGCCAGCGGATGAGGATCGCGACGAACGAGGTTGCAATTAGGCACATGGCGGCTATAGTGATGTGTTTGTAGCGGTGGGTTCTGGCTTTTTGGTGAGATTGATGTTGGTTTGATACATAGAGCGTGAATCTGGGTCTTACCGTTTGATGACGGTTCCTGAGATGAGGCCGCCGATGCAGACGCCGAGGGAACTGAGGATGAGGCTGATTGAGGCGAGGACGTCGCTGGTGTGTTTGACTCGGATAAAGTAGGGTACGGTGTTGGTTATGAGCTGGCTGTATCAGTGGATGATGGGGATTGGGAGGAGAGCAGGCAACTCACGGCAAATCGACCCCCGTTCATGAGTATCTGGACTGCGCAGTAGCCTCCTAGTGGTGTTTTCAATATTGATAACGGTATAAGTGGATATGCCGCCCAGTACGCCTCCACTAGGAAAAATGCTATAACGGCGGCCAGGAAGATCGGCAGCAAGATATAAGGCAGATTGGAGTTATCTCCCGGCGTGCTACTTTCGCTTTGGACAAGGAACACTAATGTAAGAATAGATAGTGTGAAAGTAAAGAGGCCCGCCACGTCGAGATGCGCCAGCTTCGAACGAGGGGAACCACTCTCCGCGCTAACTGTCTCGTTCAACGAGGCCGGAAGGCCATATACGGCTACCAAGATGCAGACGCCTACGAGGGGGATCTGAGAGAGGAAAGACCTAGACCAGTTAGCAGCGTGCGGGACTGAGGGAGAGTCTGCTAACCATCTCCATCCGATTGTTTGAATCAGTAGGCCTCCAATGGGGGCACCCAGGCTGCGTCCGGCGACATTGATCACATTGGCGTAACTTCGGAGAAGGGCGACATCACCGGGTGGCATGAGGTCTGTCGGCAATTAGCCATGACATTGATGTTAGGGGAATTCCTCACCTGTAATGACTATCGAAACCAACGAGATCATTCCTCCCCCACTGATCCCCGCGACAACTCGAGCCACGACTAGTTGCTCTAATGACGTGCTGATCCCACTACAATATCCAATTAGTACAAAAAGGCGCGAGGAGACATGGACGTACCATGCAAGGCATCCAACCCCAAACAGAATATAGGACCACAGCAGTATGTCTTTCCGTCCGTACACGTTGCACAGGGCACTATACTAGATCCAAGTCAGCGCCATTCACTTCTGTACACAGGGGTATTTACCACAGGGAGGGAGACGCAATAGCCAAAGTTATAGGCTATTACAAGCCATAGGCCGTGTGAGAGGCGGTTGAATTGCGAGGCTATGGCGGCCCATGTCGAGACTACAATTGAGTCGTCGGCTGCTGCGAGAAAGATGCCTGGATATGTCAGTGGGGCTCGGTATAGGTAGGCAGGAATCTTACCGATGAAGCAGCCGTAGACAATCCATCGGGTCGACTTGGTTTCGGTTTCTGTGGACTCGTGTTTGACTTGATCTCCCAGGCTCTGCGCTGATGGTGAACTCAGGAGAGGCGTCTCCTCGTCGACGGTCATTCTTGCAGCAAATACAAAAGCGCAGCACAATCAATTCCCTGACTGTGAATTGACGACACCCGAGAAACCCAACGCAATAGAGCGACTAATAAATTCACGGATTAAGCTCCGTTTAAAGCAATCCAGCACTCTCAACAGGTAAGACATAGTACTCGATACTATAGGCCGGCCCGGAGAGCCCGAAGCCATGGCATCCCTCAGTTAAGAATCGTCGATCAGCTTTCCCTGCGAAAGAGCCCTCTCAAAAAAGCAAGCCCGTCATAGCTCCCAATAAAAGCTTCAGCTCGTGGCGATCGCGTCAGCTTCGATGTATACTTAGTAGTTGAGAGCACCTGCATGACCTCACTAGTGGGTCAATAGTTTGCCAATGCGTCTCTAAATCAAGCATGTCGGTGCTTCTTTGCAGAATGCGGGGCTCAGATGGGTGACATACTTTGAGAGTGGCCAATTGCGTTTGCCAATAGAGATCGATGGGCGGGCACTATGCTGTAGATCGGTATTCATGATCCCTGACCGGATCGCCAGACCGGCTGATAGGTGGGTCGGGGATCGAGCACGCCTGCGTTGCTGATGGTGGGGTTGGAGACCGCAAATGGGACCGTGTGTGTACTTCATGCATAGGATTTACTGTGTGACGCGCTTTGCATTGCGGTTTTGCCTTCCTATAATTGGCAATATCCATTCCATATCCGACTTCCGTGACCGCATCCTTCCCTCATAGCGGGACTGAAGTATCTCGGCTCCGTGCGATCCAGTAAAAAAGCCAGACCAGTTACATGATATTCGAGATAGAGTCCCATACAGAAGAACAACCATTTATTGATTTAGGTTTGTGACTGTGTAGATAGCCCCAAACCACATGCGGTATCATGAATGATCTGGACTGACACATGGGCACCGGCGTGTTCAGCTGATGTTTGTTTGCCGACAGAGGCGTAGCACAATATCGAAAAGTGGACAGCTGAGAAATCAACCGATCAGAAAAACCAAATATAAGACCCACAGGTGCCAATTTCCCTGCACTTGGTCAGCCCCAATCAACCAACGCGTCATATTCCCAGCATGCTGTTTAAGATTCTGCTCCTCGGCGCACTCGGCGCAGTTTTCGGCGCTGTAGTCCCGGGTGGCTTGGTGGGTAGAAGAGGTGCTGTGATACAATCTGATTTACTCTGATCTAAACATGCTAAATATCAGCGGTATAGATATACCCCCCGATCTGTTAGAGGACTTTTACCGCATCTCGCAGTATGCAAAGGCGGCGATTTGCAAGGCAAACCACAACGCGACGTCTGTGGGATCTCCGGTATACTGCGACCCTGAAAACTGCACTATCATTATGCAAGCGCAAACGGAGATCTTATATGGATTTTCGGGGTATGTTGCCACGTGGACTGGACTGTCTAAGATACATTAGCTCAATGTAGTGCATCTGTAGGATAATGCCTGGCGACACAACGGGCTACATCGCCGTCGACAAAAGCGCAGAGCTCATCGTGCTTTCTTTCCGCGGGACTGTCTCCGCAGCAAATCGCTGGATAGATTTCCAGATTAGTCACGTCGATGCTTCAAGCCTGTGTGACGGATGCAAGGCTCATAATGGATTTTGGAACGCCTCGAGCACTGCGCATGAAATTCTCCTGCCACAGCTAGCATCTGCCCTGGCCAGTTACCCCGGATATAGACTTGTTGTGACAGGGCACAGCCTCGGAGGGGCCTTGGCCACACTAGAGTCATTGTATCTGCGGCAGGCTGGGTATCGGGTCGACATGGTAGGGTGACTACACCGAGTTGTGTTTCTGGGTTGACGAGTCCAGTATACATTCGGTGCTCTCTCCGTGGGAAACCTCGCTCTAGCAGAGTATACCACCTATCAGGGAGTCGGTCACAACTTTCGCATCACTCATGATGCTGATAATATCCCCAAGATACTCTATCGGCTGTCACGTACTTTGGTGGGGATCATTCCAGAGTATAGCCAATCATCGCCGGAGTATTGGATTACGTCTGGGAATAAAGAAGACCCTCCTGTAACCCCAGCTGATATTCAAGTGATCGAGGGAGTCAACAATGAAACTGGGAACCTGGGCGCAACAAGACCGGAGCGAGAGGCGCACTTGTGGTACCTAGGGACAACAAAGGTGTGTGAGGATAAGTGAGTGATCGATGTCTGGTGGATGACTTGATACTTCATCTATCCAGAGAGTCAAATATGAATGATGGCATGTCCAAGTCAATAGCCTCTGTAGGTATTACTGAAATGAAGTTGTGAATAAGTTTTTTTGTGGACCACGATCTAGATCCATTTTGAACCAATTCATGTGAGATCCCTAGTACTTTTCTTGATGATTACCTGCAGTGATGAATTGATACACTGCAACAAAGGAAGTGCATGAGCAGATGCGGGAATAAAAGAACACCTTCACTCATGATGAAGTGATTTACTGACCTCTTTTCTTCTAAATTCCTCGAATATAAATACCCCCATCTTCTCCCAGCACTGCAGACTTTCTCTGACCATCTCTCCCATCCTCTCCTCTCCCATCCCCTCTCCTCCTCATCTCTCCTAAGTCATATCTCTCCACACCCTGTAACTCGAAGCACTTGCAACAGTAGTCTCACTCAAGATGAAGACCAACCTTGTCTACCTCCTGACCTTCGTGGTCTCCGTGACTGCCTCCGCCATTCCCGGTCCCAATGCTGTGGACAGCGGTACATACCTACTCCACCGCCATATATAACCGTTGACCACGACTAACACTATATACAAACACAGCTGTCTCTGACAAGCACCTACTTGTGCGCGATGACGGCATCTGCCACAGCAGCATTGATTGCGAGGGCGGCCTATGCTGGGAAGGTATCTGCATTGACAGCCGTTGCCGCAATAGTGGCGATTGTCCCGACGACTATTACTGCTTGCGTGGAAACTGCAACCCAATCCCTGGTCGTGAGAGGGATGTAGACGCGACCCAGATGCTGACGGAGCGCAACGACCCCAAATGCCACAGCATGGAGGACTGCCGCGGCGCCTTGTGCATCAGAGGTGTCTGCACTGACAGTCATTGCCGCCACAATGGCGATTGCCCCAACGACTACTTCTGCTTCCGTGGCGATTGCAACCCGATTCCTGGTCGGGCGAGAGATGTGAAACCATATATCTCCGACAAGCACCTGCTGGCGCGCGACGACGGCATCTGCCACAGCAGCACTGATTGTGAGGGCGGCTTGTGCTGGGAAGGCATCTGCATTGACAGTCGTTGCCGTAATAGTGGCGATTGTCCCGACGACTACTATTGCTTCCGTGGCAACTGCAACCCAATCCCCGGTCGGGAGAGAGATGTGAGCGCGGACCAGATTGACCAGTCTGGTGAGATCAGCCTATTCACGGAATATACACCCTCGGGTTACTGACATGATATAGACGACACTGTCGACATTGAGATGTGTCCCATCAATGTGACTGACACTGGCCTCGAGGCCCCTCCTACCCCATGCAAGCATGACAAAGATTGCAAGCGCTGCATGCACTGCATCAAGGGCCACTGTGGCTACAGACACGGCAAGGCTGAGGACGAGTCTGAACTCATGGGAAGCGACGGCAACTGAGAGACGGGATGTAGCGAATTTTGGCTGGCTCCGTGTATCAACATTGAGGATCAACCTTTCGGTTTTGAGCTCTACGTTAAACAAGTAGAGCCGGCTATTCTCGAAATCAATCCTTTCTTACTTCATGTACCTAGTTTTTTTTATGCTTATGTCAACCGACATTCAAGCCAATTAAACAATCAATTGATTAAATCTTTGAATTTTCCCATGTAGACCTGGTAGCGAACTGCCTTGTTAATCTATAACCCCGGTTGAGACTTTCAACACCTAGACCCCACCTTTCATAAACGAGATGGATCAACTCCCCGATTCCAGTCCGGCGCCTGTCTCGCCCCTACCCACTGTCGTATTGCCTCGAAATCACGACACGTATGCGTGACATTCGCGAGCGGCAGCGTCATTTGGCAACTTTCGTGCCATGCCCACACCACAGTTGAGATATCCGACGAACACATGAGACTCTGTCGGATGGAGTCAACGCAGTGGTCGAGGTGCTCTATTCCGAGGACGCCACGTCCTTTCTCCTGAGAGGTATTTATCTGGGAGACATTGAAAACTGCAGGACTAGTTGGAAGGGTGTTGTTATCGTGATACGCCCACAGCTTTCACCGGATGTGGTTCTACAGTCAAGAATCCCATCAAACCCCACTCTACACATGGATAAAATTCAACCAGAAGAATAGGAGCGGAAAAGAAAGCCAAAAAAAAAAGGGGGAATGAGCATACCAGGCAGTGAAGCTAATAGAAAACGTCTAGTCCCACGACATAATACCCTGGTGCCTCCGGGATAGCGGTGGCCTTTACGGGGAGCTGGGCTGCCTGCTCGTGGGGAATCATACTGATACCCACTGTATCGTGTTACATAACTGTCTACACTGAATCAAGATCAAATGGAAAGATATGAGAATGATGTACCTTGGTAGAGACGATCCCAAGCTAATCTATTCTCTTCCGTGGGAGGGCCCATATACTCGTTTTTGTCGCTGCCAAAGCCAGCGCCGAAGACTTTGGTCTCGTATCGGACAGCGTCTTTGGCGGGGGCTATGAATACTTCTCATTAGCATGTCATGAGTAGATGTGGGGTAGGAAACGATGAACAGTATAGCTCGTTAGGTATCCAGTATATCCTGTCATTCGCCCTTGACAAAAGCACTAGCACTGTGCCAAAGACAAGAATCACGATAGCTGTTCATTGGGTAATAAGTACGCGCTGAAGAGCTTTGTGCCGTTTTTCGTAGTACTCCACGAGGATGATGCAGCCGCAATCCTGGACGGTGTCGGCTGGCAGCAGGGGCTCCTCGGAATTGTGGGATGCTGCTCGGGGGCGGCTGGGTCGGGGCATTGAGACGCTTGCGGGGTCTGTGGAATAGTTTTCAGGATGAATGAGGTCGAGGGATGAGGTTCATTGTGCACTGCTGGGTCTCTTATCTCCGACCATGTCCCTTGCATGTGCTGGGCAAGGTGTGGACAAAGCCGAGGTGGGGGTAAGGTTGTTCATTTGCTGGATTCTATAGACTTGTTACGCAAGGGTCTGCGACTGTTCTTTATTGGGGTTGTTTGGACGTTTTTACACCGTGAGAGGTGATATCCACATGAAAGAATGGACGCCCACGTGTGACATATAGAGCACAAGGGTCCAGGTCCATAAACACGAGATATGGATGAAAACAGTAGGCATTCGAGTAAGAACATGGATAGTAAAATAGAGTCTTGTGTGTCCCTGGACACCGTTTCTCCAAACCGGCAAAGAAGACTAGGTAGGTCAATATTTAGGGCACGAATAACTAGATTGATAATATCATTGTTCAATCATCCCTTTTCCTTTGCAGCACTTTTGCTCTAGTTCCTTGAGCATTGTGGACAGATGAGGCCTGCCGAGGCGGATAATGATCGTTGACTCAATCTCAATGGATATGAAGATGCGACAACTGCGAGATGACGATCTGAAAATGAAACGCGTTGGACACTGAATAATACATGAGATGGTCCGTGCGTCATCCATCCCCGCGGGTCGGAGATCTCGGTCAACGTCATTGGACGCGCCAACCCCTCGTCTGCATCCGATCTTGATCCTTGACCCAATCTTAGTTCCTTTTACAAGCCAGGTATTTTGGGATTTTCTCAGCATTATGGTCAGAATTCACGCAGCTCGAACACTCCCCGTCAACCCCGCAGATGCACCATTCGTGCTAACTCGCCAGCAACTGTGGAAAGCGCTGCAGCGCAAAATCCGCCACGCCGACGAGTTCGTCCCTGCCATGAAGAAGTGCGTCGTTGTGAAAGATAGCAATGACATTGTGCTGCGGGAATGTCTGATTGAGACGCCATCTGGGGAGACGAAGACTATGACGGAGGAGGTGACTAGTCATGGAGAGCAATTTGTATGTTGAATGGATTGGTTGGACTGGCGTGTGCCCGATCGGAGGGATTGTCTGACGTGCGTGTTTGCAGATCATATTTCGTCAGCTTGATGGGTCGGTCACTACGAATTTGGTGTCTAATGGGGAAGATCTGGGCGATCGCGGTCTGCAGTTGACATATTTCTTTGAGTGGAATCATCCTGAAATTCAGGAGGGGACCCCAGCCTATCACGAGGCTGTGGAGCAGAAAAATGCAGTAAGAGACAACACTGTTTGGCTATTCTGATTAAGCTGATTATGCGTTTAGATCGGTTTGATGGCTGTCAAAAAATCAATTGAGACGGCGCGGGAGCTCATACAGAATCACGTCATCGATGGCTGATTCGAGAAAGCATCCTGTCTTGAGGTATGTACGGCTTGGTTATGTCTATTGGGCTCTAGTGAGTGAGGTATATACCCACGTGAGGTTTTTGGTATAAATTACGACATCCAACATATATTCGGCTCTACATATATTGCGATCCAATCCAATCCAACCTAGCCATACCGCCGAGCCAAATCTCTCATGTCACCAAGCATTCTGGATTCTCGTTAGCTTGCCTCATCGCCGTAATTCCGGGGACATACTGCTCTCTTAGGCCCTGATTCTCTGGAAATAAAGCAGATACCTGGGTGTTAAACCTCCTGGTATCCGTTAGCGACGAAGCAGAAGACTATCCCGGCTTCTCACAATTTATAAAGATCGAGACGACCGTCATAGTCTTCTATTGGCTCGGAAATCTTGCAATGGGCGTGATACGCTTTAATATATTCCGGTCCAAATCGATTGCATACTGGTCTCCATTGACCAAACTCGTCTGATAGAATAATTAGAACATTAGAGACGGCCCCAGTCTGCGGAACTCGGAACGTACACTCATTATGTGCGTAAAAAGAGCAAGCATCAAATATAACAGGGCTGTTCGTCCTGGAATCTATCCCCGAATTCCCATACCAAAGATCGCCGTGCACCAAGCACGGCTTTACACTCCGCCCATTCGTCTCGAGAGGGCGAAGCAGACGCGGGATAACCACATCAAACAAGACCGGTACTAAGTTGTCAAACTCTAGATTAAACCCCTTGGCCTGGATCTCGCAATCCAACGCCTGTCTCATATTCCTCGCGAAGAATACTTCCCAGCTTTCCTCCCAGTTGTTAGTCTGTGGCAAATGCCCGGTGTATGTTGGAATATGGAACCCGAATTTTCCATTCGGAGACGTGCTCTCTTCATGCAATGACGCCAGACATAATCCCATTTCCTCTGGCCGAGGCATGTCACCGTTCATGTCTCTGTATTCAGCGAGGAAGAAATGCGTTCCTGGCGTGTCGATGTATGTGCCCCAAGCTATGGGTTTAGGGGCAAACTCTGCACAGACCGCGTGGATCGCTTTCATTGACTCGTACTCTCCCTGCACCATGTGATGTCCGCGGTTGTGGGATATCACCTTGATGAAGAATGATTCTAGCTGCCTGTCGCCTCGCTCGACCTCGATTCTTCCAGTGTAATTCCAGAAACTCGTGCCATGGCGAGTTACAGATAGCACGCGCGATCCTTTTGGAAGTGCTGTAACCATCGGTGAGTATAACAGCCGGACATGTTATGCTATCACAATCTACTTTACCTGCGGCAACACTAATGTCCACGTCGTTATTTTCACCGGGAGTTGAAGAGCCGATGGTATTCATGACCGGAACGTTCAGTCAGACTTTAACTCCTAGTATTCCCTTGGAGCATCAGTATTGCGTTCCCTGTCGGGACTTCAGACAACGAAAATATCAACCAAGCAGGAGGAGATTGGAATCGTGAAGGCATTGAGCATTTCGACATGGCTCCACAGCCTCTTGGCAACCCGAAGAATTCCCCACTTTCCTATTTCGTAATTTTATTGTTCTCCATTGTATACAGCAAGTCGTGGAATGTTCAAACTTCTTGATTTCTTTATTTGTATTTGCTCTCGATCTGAGCCGTGCAGGATACCCTGCATGGTTTTTGACAGCCTACACTATTCCATGCGCTCAAGACACGAACATACATTGACTTGACCTTTGATGCCGTTCTTGGAACTCATAAAAGAAGCTAAAAGCGATTCATTGTTAGCATAAAACAATAAAACATTGAATAACAAATTTCTTGCTAAACTTTGCATGCATTGTGCAGTTATCCAATCTTTGTTTCTTTGCCCTTTGACTGCATACTTTGTTGCACTGGCTATAGTCCCAACTATATCAACATACTACAAAGGATGAAAGAGACGCCTCGAGTCAGAATGAACAATCAAAACACGTCTCTCGATGCGTGCATCCAACCCGTATAAGTATATATGTATTCCCCGATATACTCATATCACCATCAACCCAGGCATCCTCTCAGGACATCAGCATCAAAACGAAACCAACCAAACCAACACTATCAACAGAAACTCCCAAAAAGCACCCTCTCGCAAAGCTCACCTACCCGCGACCACAATGAGCGAACCCAGCGAAGTTATGGTCGACTTCGACCTCAAAAAAGTCTTCATATTCCACGCAGTATTCGGCGTGCCCGAGCGCCCCGAGTCCACAGCCCGCGAGTACTTCTTCCAAAGCGTGTTCGTGCCCCTCGAAGGCGGCTACACCGGCGCGGTAGCGCTTCTCGTCTCTATGATCTACAAGATCAAGAACCATCCAAGGCAGATTCGTCTGCGATATGACACGTCTCCTGAGCACACGGGCGGAGTCTGGTACGGGCTCTGGCTGGATAAGGAGTTAGAGGCGGCGACCAATGACCGCGTTCGCGCTGCTGTTGTGGAGGACATGGAGCGGATGATTGGGAAGTTTGTAACTGGGTATAACGCTTCTACTCCTCCTACCTCTCCTACTGTAAGAGAGGTTTGAGTGTTTTATTCATCTGGGATTCCCTTTTTTTTTACGTGTTATTAGGGGTTGGGGGTTGCAGTTGGGGGAGAAGTAGTGGTTGGCGTCTTGCTGGTTGGAATGGTCAAATGTAGATTGGTCGAATGAATGCGGTCAGCTCCGTTGATATGCTGAATATAGAACTTATTGCTCTAGGGCTTTATGTCAAGAGGGTACTGTTTGTTGAGTTGCTTTAGTATTTGTAGTGACTATATTTAGTGTGAGCATGGCAGCATAGTAAACGGCCTTGTTCCATTGTCTAGAATAAGACGTTCACGCGAGGAACAGCCACCGCTATCAAAAAAAGCGTGGAAACTTGAGCACAGCAGATAACATATACTAAAGACCACCGTAAAACCGCCACCACGGCCGATAATCCTGCGACAGCGGCAAATTCAGCATCAATGCGCGAAACAGCTCAATCGGCATCCTATTCTCCCTCAAAAACCGATCATGAAACGCAAGCTCATCCACGCGATGCGTCTCAATTAACTCCTTGCGCAGGGCGTAGATCTGCAACGCTCCCAGCATATACCCAGCTTGGTACAGCGGTGAATAGTCGCCTGATAGCGACCTCCGGACCTCCCCCTCCGCAGTAGCACGCTCATGTCCGACCTGCTGCACCAGCAATTCCACGCACTCCTCTGGTGTCATCTTGCCCAGGTGGAAATTGATCGAGAAGATAATCCTGGCACATCGGTGGAGTCGCCAGAACAGCATCCCCATGCGGTTCTCCGGGGTCTTATTGAATCGCGAGTCGTCCCACAGTATCATTTCCCAGTACAGGGACCACCCTTCGACCCAGAACGGCGTGTCAAATAAAAGCCGGTAGGGTCGGTGGCGTGCGTTGACGTGAAACTGGAGATGATGACCCGGGATGAGCTCGTGGAAGACAGTCGCGCGGGAGAAGTGGATGTTGTTGCCGCGCATGCTCATCATCTTGGCTCCGTGGTCCATTGTATCGGTTGGGTAGGACACGATGATCGACTCGCCGCCTAGGAAAAACGGATTCATTTTCTGGCGCTCGGGCGACATCATGAACGTCTGCCAGGTGTCTTTGGCGATGGCTGGCACGGTGACGAGGTTGTGGTCCTCCACGAACGCGATAGCTTCCTGTGCTAGCGTTCGGACGAGTTGGGTCTGTTGTCCAGGCTCGACGTAGTCGTTTTTGACCTTTTCGAGAGCCCTTTGCCAATCGTCGGCGTATCCCATTGCATGGGAGGCTTTCTTCAATTCGTCGACGCACCAAGCGAACTCTCTCTCCCCGATTTTGATGATTTCTTCCGGGGTGTACGGGATCACCTCGGCTTCCAGCTCTGCGAGGAGACCTTCCCGGCCAATTGGCTCTCCCACGATGGCGTCTTCATCACCTGTTTTGATACCAACAAGCCTATCTCGAATAGCCTCCTGAAGCTTTTTCAAGGACTCGTCTACCTCTTCATAAGGCTGAGCCACCCACCAATCGAACATGGGATCATACCCTTTATAGAAACCATACCACTCTTCGAGATGATGACGCAGAGAATCAATTATTCTCGCCCCACGCAAAGCGCTAGATTTCATCACAGAGGCGTAGTCGCCGTTTTCTACACCGGCCGTCACATCCAGTATGTGTTTTCGCGTTTCAAACAGTTGCCCTGCGGCATGCTTCGGCTGCAGAGGAACCACTGCTGCTCGTGCCTCACACAGATCCACAATGCTCTCGCTGAATGGGAAGAGCGAACTTGCATTTTTGTCTAGTTTGGCATTTAGTTCGATGCTGCGGAGCTGTCTCTGGAGGTAATTCTGCAGTAGCAGATAGTCGACCCTGTCTTGTTGGTCGTAAAGCTCGAATGGCTGGCGACGGAGAGATAGGAGCTCGGATTCCAAGAACTGTCTCAGCTTAGACATTCTCTGTGGCGATATCTCTATAGAGAAGTAGTTGGTGAGATCCCGGTAGTCTTCCCAGACTCTTGTGATACGGTCGCGCATTGGGTCCGCCTGGGCGCGCTGCAGGGCGATGCCTCGTGGTGAGGTGGAGGAGACCATCGCAATGTTATTCCGTTCAATGGACCTCCCAGTCAGCTGGAGGACCTAAGGGTAAGTTAAGTATTTGCAGGTGGCCTGAAAAAGTTTAATGATTTTTTCGATGATGAGGTTATGCATGCATCGTCCCCTCGAATTGACAGTCATCAGACCGGACACTATCGCATCACCCCGCTTCCTAGCCTAAACAAGCAACAGACTAATCAATCATGGATCACTTATAGTTTGAGGTTTGTTTTGGTCGGACAGTATGCATAGAAAGACTATTACTAGATGGGGAACTACAACCCTTTGTGGCTTCTTTGGAAAGTCACCGGTCGAACACATGAAGTCGATAATATCTCGAGTTGAGCTTGTGATAGTTACTATGAAACAGTGCTTCAATTGTGCAGACCTGGTATAACTCATGTTTGTGTCAAGATCTACTTGAAAATCATTGGAAAACGTTGTTGTCAGTCGTCCTATGCTGGTTCATGAGTGTGATGTACAGCTGTCAGTTGGTGGATTTACGGCCTTTCAAGTTATACGATGCTACCATGCATTCCCTACGCAAAACACCCTGTGTCATGGATAATGACTTATCATGAAAATATGATACACTCTGATTGACCATCACTGCCTCTCATCCTATCCATCCCGTCCATTCAATTTTCTCTATAGGAATACCACTGCTAAAAAGCCGGGTCCGCCGCAAAATACACCTTGTACGATCTCATCTTCCACGCCCCATCCACCTTAGTCATATTCAACACACCAGACCACTCAATGGGTATAGTGCGCCCATCCTTGAGACGATATGTGACAGTACCATACATCATGAAGGAGTCGGAATTGGTGCCGAAGGGAAAGACCTTCTCGAGGTTATGGCTGCGCGAACGGACAAAGTCCCAGCTGGACTGGAGCAGTTTTATGATATCTGTTGTTGAAACTTGTGTAAGTAGCGTGAGTCAGTAGACCACGACGCAAAGAAATAAGAGAGAGCTAAACCCGGTCGTCCTGTGGCTCCTTGCAAACCCAGCGTGAAAGAGGCATCTTCGGTGAGGAAGTCGGCAATGGACTCGACGGCGCCGTCGGTGTCGACTGTGGAGTAGAAGTCGATGATCCACTGCCGGAGGGCTGCGTCGGTGAAGGTGTCTGGGTACTGGGGCGAATAGCTGGCCATCTCTGTAATGTCTATGATTATCTCTCCTTTAGTAGGGTCATGGGGATCATTTATACATACCAAATAGTGGTGGCGTATCCAACAGAGAAGGGCGCGGTGTGGAATCAATAGTGAGGGAAGTGGCTGATGTGGGGACGATAGGACGCCATGATCAGCGTCGATTTCCAGATCTCCAGATCAACCGATCAACCGCTGATTCAGGGCCATCTGTCTTGTTGGTTAGTGGAGGGGATTGATGGAGTGATTGGTCGGTCGTGGTGTTTGTGCCACGGTTGACGTTATGCGGGCGAAGACAGAAGTAGTAATTCACTGAATGCGCCCGGGCAGCCATAGAATCAACTTTGAGGTACAGTTGCGACTTCTCCCTTGCTTCTGCTTCCCAGTATCAGCAGGCTTGTTCCTCCGTGCGACTGGACTGAGTAGGCTCTGTTGGGTTGACCATGGCCACTAGTTGACTACTGTCGCCTTTTCTAATGACATTTAGACTTTTGCTAGAATTAGGTCATAAAAAGCCCATTCTTTGTCACGCATCAAGACAACGGACTTCAATTCTGATGAGAATAGAAGTTTGACTAACATCTAAGTGCGCAGCAAGGAAAGTGGCTCACGCGTTGCATAGTCTCCATCATGGACTCATCATTGGATGGCCAACATATATTTGATTCCCGACAAACTCCTACTTTTATTGGAAAAGCGAATACGCTGAAACAAGTTTTCGAATTGGAAAACAAACTGAACCTTATGGATCAATGGCTAGCAAATCTAGCTTGTCTCAAATCGCGTTTGAATGGCGTCTGGCGAGTCTGCAGTCCGAGATTCAACATTCCAAGATCGCTATACTACGCTTGAATTCAGGGATTTTGGGTATTCCCAGACGCAAACTTAGTCTTGTGTCGCCTGTGACGGTTTGTTGGGCGCGCTGCTAGACTTTATAGGTCTCCGCCAGAATCGGGTGTAGGTGTTCACCAACATCAGTGGCATCCATTTTGAACAAATACTCTTCCTGAATCCTTTGTAAATACTTCCTAAGGAAATCTCCACCACGTCACATGAGATGCTTAAAACAAGGCAATGACTGACGAAAGGGCTAGAAAGTGCATGCTTACCCTAACGTGGCATGTACAGAAACCCGCCCTTGCTTACTCCTTCCAGTCTCACGATGCGTACCACCACGGGTTTTCTAATTTGTCTGTTCCTCTTATTATCGGCTCTGAGCACATGCTAGGGAGTTGTTTCAGGTGTATAAGGTAAATAGGTAAATCGCAATTGCATTATCCACCACAAGAACACTACGGTGCTAGCCTAGGACAATGATCCATCCTTCCTGGGAAAAACCATCCAGGTCTTCTTCACAGGGACCACGCCAAGCATTCGGTATACCTGCTGAATATTTCAGAACGGTACCTGAGATCAAGGATTCTTTATAACCTTCAATTTCATTATCGTGTTCTGCAGTGATGCGCCAAATACCTACATTCCCGAGGAATTCTAGCCCGGCGGTTCTGGCGGTGGTAATACTCAGATGAGTTAGGTGTTTCCAGCTAGCTTAAATCTGGTATGCAGACCTATCACCCCTGATATGAGTATATATAGAAAGGCAATGGAGTCTCTGAAGAACTGGACCTTTCATCCCTTTCTTGGAGCTTGTGTGTTTCGCCGCGTGACTTCTTGAGGCCTGGTTGGCTAGCTTTCTCGCAGATTTGGATCTTTGTCTCGTTATGATACCCCCCAAAAGTACCGTGTATATCTTGTTATGACTTTCCTGAACTATCCTGCTTATATTCAACCGTGACATTCGCTCAACTTCCTACCTGTGGTTAAAGAACCGCAAGCCCAGTATGGTACCTTGTCGTTCGTGGCTTCTAACAGCCACACTCCTGCTGTACAGCGGAGCTTGGGGCAACGGAATTGATGAGAGAGTCGCAGGGGTAGACTACTTTCTGCCTGCTAGCTATGTTCCAGTGACCATGTAAGAGTACTACCATCTCCATACTGTACATAACTGACAAGGGCAGTGGGATCCCGTTCACAATCCAGGATTATGCCGCCCAGCCATGGTCACCACATCACGACGCCCCGGTAACTCACCAAACGCTTGACACGCATTCATCTCTATGTAAATCGTCGAACAAGTCTTCGGGGTACTGGTACGAGCATATCGAACACAACGGCCAGTCTTCATTTCTTTCTGCGGAACACAAAGATAACTACACCGTGTTCCGCGATGTTGTTAAGGATTATCACGCCGATAACAAGGGGAGGAAGAGTGCCTCCTCGGCTCTTCAGAAGGCAATTCAAGGTGAGCGTCACCACCACCAGATGAGAAGTTGACGGGTTGCTTAGGGCAAAGTCGCTGTACAGATGGACCGGCAGAGGGACCAGATCGAAGCTCCCACATGATGGGCACCACGGGCCAGCCGGCAATTGTATACCTCCCTAAAGGACTGTATCTGTTAGACGAGCCCTTGCAGCTGTACGTGGGGACAGTCATAGTAGGCGATCCCACCGATCCACCAGTTATCAAAGCCGCCGAGGGCTTCTCGGCCGATCATCTCATATACGCGAAAGATCCCAATTTCGGAGGCACGATTAACTTCTACACCGGGATCAAGAATGTGGTGTTGGACTCGACGGGTATGGACTCCAGACAGCCTGTAACGCTCCTGGATTGGACTGTTAGCCAGGCGACGCAGCTGTCGAACGTTGGTTTCAACATGCCTACTGAATCGGCGACGCATATTGGGTTGACGACGAAGTACGATTACAACAGCAACTTGATCTTGGTAAGCCACACCACTGATTTTGCGACAACGCTAACAATACACAGAATGACTTATGGTTCCAAGGGGGCTCGATTGGAATGAAATTGGATGGTCAGCAATGGATATTTCGGAACGTTCGGTTTCAAGGAACAGCTACTGGCGTGGTAGCCGGAGGAACAGATATTGTATTTCTGGGATGCAGCTTCAAGAATGGAAAGGTTGGCATTGATGCCGAGGGAACATCAGGCTCGTTGACTGTGATCGACAGCCATGGTTCGGGTCTTGGCTCTCTCATCACGTCGAGTGACTCGGGTAACGCAGGGAATGCGATCATTCTGGAGAATGTCAAGAGCGAAGGTACCACTGTCAGACTTGATGGAAATTCCGTTCTTCATGGCGACGTGATGGATACCTGGGTACACGGAACGCTGGTGAGTCACTTTGCGAATCTCTATATCCGACCTCTGGCTAACCCATTCTCAGTATGCCCAGGGGGAGAGCCACAACAGGCGAGTATCGGGGAAGCATGTGAAAACAGCGCGCTCTCAACCCTTACTGTCTGGGAATAAGTACTTTACAATGCAACCGCCGACATATACAGACTATACCGTAAGCGAGGTCCTCAATATCAAGTCTGTCCCGGGTAAGCCCGTGCATGGTGACGGCGCTACGGACGATACCTGGAATATCAACAATATCCTCGCTCAGAACCGCAATTGCCAAATCATTTATTTTCCCGCAGGCACGTATATCGTCACGGACACCATTCATGTCCCAGTCGGGACACGCATCGTCGGTGATGCTTTTGCATCGACTATCAGCGCAGCTGGCGACAAGTTCGGCAACTCGAGGGATGTGCGTACCATGGTCCGTCTCGGGAACCCAGGCGATATGGGCGTGATTCATGTCAGCGACATGCTATTTACGGTCGCCGACGTTCTTCCCGGGTGTAAGCTGGTCAGTAGTCACATATCCCACCTTCACTCTGCGTTCTCCCCCTGACCCATCGCAGGTTGAAGTCAACATCGCCGGCCACAAGCCCGGCGATGTCGGATTGTGGAACACGCATTTCCGCATCGGCGGTGCAGTCGGGAGCCAGGTACAAACAAAATGCCACAAGGCGCCCGCGGACTGCAAAGCCGCCTGGGGCCTGCTGCACCTGACGCGCACCTCCTCCGCCTACATCGAAAACGTGTGGGGTTGGGCGGCAGACCACGACCTCGACGGCGACAACAAGCAAATCATCGCAACCGGACGGGGTCTCCTCGTGGAGGGCAACTCAGCGACGTGGCTAGTCGGCACGGGCTTCGAGCACCACACTCTCTACCAGTACAACTTCGCCCGCGCGCGCAACGTCTTCTCCGCCATGCAGCAAAGCGAATCGCCCTACTGGCAGGGGCCTGGCAACACCCTCGCCCCGGCCCCCTGGAACGACTCGGTACATTCCACCGACCCGAAGTTCGGGCAGTGCGCCCCCGACGATGCAAAGTGCCGCATGGCGCTGTTCGAGATCATCGACCATGCCCGCGACATCTTCTTATACGGGGGTTGCAACTGGGTGTTTTTCAGCAACAGCGGAGATTGCAGGGGTAAGTGTCAGAAAAATGCGATACAGGTGCTCGAGTCATCGGGGGTTTATCTCTATGGCACCAATACCAAAAGCACGGAGAATATAGTGCTGGAAGGAAATCACGCCGTCGCGACGGAGAATCATAATGCGGGGGGCTGGGGCGGTGTTGTTGCCGCGTATTTGCATGATGCTTAACCTCTTTGACACTTGGTGTATCGTGTGATATATCTGTCTGAGTTTTGCGACACTATTGACCACCATATAGAGTGTACACTGCTTGGGGGGTGCGGTGAAGGAATATATATACATGTCTATGTATTTATGATATATATATCAAGACTAATTTTTGGCCATGGTTGAATCTGTTTCAATATAATGGAGAATGACCACCGACTACAAAACATACCATGACACTCTTATCCTCATAGGTCACTTATAGTGCGAGATCAATACTGAGAAGAGAGGAAATGGAGAGAGGAGGATCGGGCCGCAACGTCGATCGCCAACTTGACCCTCGTATCTACTAATTGCTAGTCCCGACAACACACACCGCACCACCACCCAACACTTCACCTGTTTCACTTGGTCATGCAAGTTGGATCTCTTGATCCAGAATTTTTCATTCGTGTCTGAGACCCTCGCCCTCCAATCAAGCCTCGCCATGTTGG